CACCCATGTTAGGGTTAGAGCCACCATCTGGACACCCATGTTAGGGTTAGAGCCACCATCTGGACACCCATGTTAGGGTTAGGGCCACCATCTGGACACCCATGGTTGGGTTAGGGCCACCATCTGGACACCCATGTTAGGGTTAGAGCCACCATCTGGACACCCATGTTAGGCTAGGGCCACCATCTGGACACCCATGTTGGGCTAGGGCCACCATCTGGACACCCATGTTAGGGTTAGAGCCACCATCTGGACACCCATGTTAGGGTTAGGGCCACCATCTGGACACCCATGGTTGGGTTAGGGCCACCATCTGGACACCCATGTTAGGGTTAGAGCCACCATCTGGACACCCATGTTAGGCTAGGGCCACCATCTGGACACACATGTTGGGCTAGGGCCACCATCTGGACACCCATGTTAGGGTTAGAGCCACCATCTGGACACCCATGTTAGGGTTAGGGCCACCATCTGGACACCCATGGTTGGGTTAGGGCCACCATCTGGACACCCATGTTAGGGTTAGAGCCACCATCTGGACACCCATGTTAGGCTAGGGCCACCATCTGGACACCCATGTTGGGCTAGGGCCACCATCTGGACACCCATGTTAGGCTAGGGCCACCATCTGGACACCCATGTTAGGGTTAGGGCCACCATCTGGACACCCATGTTGGGTTAGAGCCACCATCTGGACACCCATGTTGGGCTAGGGCCACCATCTGGACACCCATGGTGGGGTTAGGGCCACCATCTGGACACCCATGGTTGGGTTAGGGCCACCATCTGGACACCCATGTTAGGGTTAGAGCCACCATCTGGACACCCATGTTAGGCTAGGGCCACCATCTGGACACCCATGTTGGGCTAGGGCCACCATCTGGACACCCATGTTAGGCTAGGGCCACCATCTGGACACCCATGTTAGGGTTAGGGCCACCATCTGGACACCCATGTTAGGGTTAGAGCCACCATCTGGACACCCATGTTAGGGTTAGAGCCACCATCTGGACACCCATGTTAGGGTTAGGGCCACCATCTGGACACCCATGTTAGGCTAGGGCCACCATCTGGACACCCATGTTAGGGTTAGAGCCACCATCTGGACACCCATGTTAGGGTTAGGGCCACCATCTGGACACCCATGTTAGGGTAAGAGCCACCATCTGGACACCCATGTTAGGCTAGGGCCACCATCTGGACACCCATGTTAGGGTTAGAGCCACCATCTGGACACCCATGTTAGGGTTAGGGCCACCATCTGGACACCCATGTTAGGGTTAGGGCCACCATCTGGACACCCATGTTAGGGTTAGAGCCACCATCTGGACACCCATGTTGGGCTAGGGCCACCATCTGGACACCCATGTTAGGGTTAGAGCCACCATCTGGACACCCATGTTAGGGTTAGAGCCACCATCTGGACACCCATGTTAGGGTTAGGGCCACCATCTGGACACCCATGTTGGGCTAGGGCCACCATCTGGACACCCATGTTAGGGTTAGGGCCACCATCTGGACACCCATGTTGGGCTAGGGCCACCATCTGGACACCCATGTTAGGCTAGGGCCACCATCTGGACACCCATGTTAGGCTAGGGCCCCCATCTGGACACCCATGTTGGGCTAGGGCAACCATCTGGACACCCATGTTAGGCTAGGGCCACCATCTGGACACCCATGTTAGGCTAGGGCCACCATCTGGACACCCATGTTAGGCTAGGGCCACCATCTGGACACCCATGGTTGGGTTAGAGCCACCATCTGGACACCCATGTTAGGTTAGGGCCACCATCTGGACACCCATGTTAGGCTAGGGCCACCATCTGGACACCCATGGTTGGGTTAGAGCCACCATCTGGACACCCATGTTAGGTTAGGGCCACCATCTGGACACCCATGTTAGGCTAGGGCCACCATCTGGACACCCATGGTTGGGCTAGGGCCACCATCTGGACACCCATGTTAGGCTAGGGCCACCATCTGGACACCCATGTTAGGGTTAGAGCCACCATCTGGACACCCATGTTGGGCTAGGGCCACCATCTGGACACCCATGTTGGGCTAGGGCCACCATCTGGACACCCATGTTAGGGTTAGGGCCACCATCTGGACACCCATGTTGGGCTAGGACCACCATCTGGACACCCATGTTAGGCTAGGGCCACCATCTGGACACCCATGTTAGGGTTAGAGCCACCATCTGGACACCCATGTTAGGCTAGGGCCACCATCTGGACACCCATGTTAGGCTAGGACCACCATCTGGACACCCATGTTAGGGTTAGAGCCACCATCTGGACACCCATGTTAGGGTTAGGGCCACCATCTGGACACCCATGTTGGGCTAGGGCCACCATCTGGACACCCATGTTGGGCTAGGGCCACCATCTGGACACCCATGTTAGGCTAGGGCCACCATCTGGACACCCATGTTGGGCTAGGGCCACCATCTGGACACCCATGTTAGGGTTAGAGCCACCATCTGGACACCCATGTTAGGCTAGGGCCACCATCTGGACACCCATGTTAGGCTAGGACCACCATCTGGACACCCATGTTAGGGTTAGAGCCACCATCTGGACACCCATGTTGGGCTAGGGCCACCATCTGGACACCCATGTTAGGCTAGGGCCACCATCTGGACACCCATGTTTGGGTTAGGACCACAATCTGGACACTTGTGTCAATATTTTCAGGTAATAAAATGTTCAGTAATCTTGAGGTCATAGCTAGATCACTTTCATCATCTTGTCATCCATTTCCTAACTACACGACTCACAGTCCCGCTTGATGTACCCATCACCATGTTGTGTGGGTAATGGAATGTGTCACAAATTGCAACAAATTTGAGACTTGTGCAGAATCAGTCACTGTGTGAAACTGTACACTTGTGTGACATTGTATACTTCTGTGACATTGTATAGATATTGTGTGACACTGCATGATTGTGTGGTGTTCTTGTGTGGCACTGTATAGTGGTTTCATGGCACTGTGTAGTTGTGTGACACTTGTCTGACAAGGTATAGTTATTTGACACTTGTGTGACACGGTATAATTGTGTGACACTGTTCATACGTGTGACACTGCATAGCTGTTGTGTGACTGTTGTATGAGATTGTTTACCTAAGTGTGACACTGTTTGTTGTGTGAGATTGTGTACCTAAGTGTGACACTGTTTCTTGTGTGAGATTGTGTGAGAATGTGACACTGTTTGTTATGTGAGATTGTGTACTTAAATGTGACACTAATTGTTGTGTGAGAGTGTGACACTATTATGTGAGATTGTATACCTAAGTGTGACACTGTTGTGTGAGAGTGTGACACTGTTTGTTATGTGAGATTGTGTACTTAAGTGTGACACTATTTGTTTTGTGAGAGTGTGACACTGTTGTGTGATATTGTGTGCCTAAGTGTGACACTGTTTGTTGTGTGAGAGTGTGACACTGTTTGTTGTGTGAGAGTGTGACACTGTTTGTTGTGTGAGAGTGTGACACTGTTTGTTGTGTGAGCTTGTATACCTAAGTGTGACACTGTTTGTTATGTCAGATTGAGTACTTAAATGTGACACTGTTGGTTGTGTGAGTTTGTGTACCTAAGTGTGACACTATTAGTTGTGTGAGATTGTGTACCTAAGTGTGACACTATTTTTTGTGTGAGTGTGACACTGTTTGTTGTGTGAGATTGTATACCTAAGTGTGACACTGTTTGTTGTGTGAGAGGGTGTACCTAAGTGTGACACTGTTTGTTGTGTGAGATTTTGTACCTAAGTGTGACACTGATTGTTGTGTGAGATTGTGTACCTAAGTGTGACACTGTTTGTTGTGTAAGATTGTGTACCTAAGTGTGACACTGTTTGTTGTGTGAGATTGTGTACCTAAGTGTGACACTGTTTGTTGTGTAAGATTGTGTACCTAAGTGTGACACTGTTTGTTGTGTGAGATTGTGACATTGTTTGTTGTGTGAGATTGTGTACCTAAGTATTACACTGTTTGTTGAGTGAGAGTGTGACACTGTTGGTTGTGTGAGAGTGTGTACCTAAGTGTGACACTGTTTGCTGTGTGAGAGTGTGACACTGTTTGTTGTGTGAGAGTGTAACACTGTTTGTTGTGTGAAAGTGTGACACTGTTTGTTGTGTGAGAGTGTGACACTGTTTGTTGTGTGAGAGTGTGACACTGTTTGTTGTGTGAGATTGTGTACCTAAGTGTGACACTGTTTGTTGTGTGAGAGTGTGACAGTTTGTTGTGTGACAGTGTGTACCCAAGTGTGACACTGTTTGTTGTGTGAGATTGTGACACTGTTTGTTGTGTGAGAGTGTGACAGTTTGTTGTGTGAGATTGTCTACCTAAGTGTGACACTGTTTGTTGTGTGAGATTGTGACACTGTTTGTTGTGTGAGATTGTATACCTAAGTGTGACACTGTTTGTTGTGAGAGTGTGACACTGTTTGTTGTGTGAGAGTGTGTGCCTCAGTGTGACACTGTTTGTTGTGTGAGATTGTGTACCTAAGTGTGACACTGTTTGTTGTGTGAGAGTGTGACACTGTTTGTTGTGTGAGAGGGTGACACTGTTTGTTGTGTGAGATTGTGTACCTAAGTGTGACACTGTTTCTTGTGTGAGATTGTGTACCTAAGTGTGACACTGTTTGTTGTGTGAGATTGTGTACCTAAGTGTGACACTGTTTGTTGTGTGAGATTGTGTACCTAAGTGTAACACTGTTTGTTGTGTGAGATTGTGTACATAAGTGTGACACTGTTTGTTGTGTGAGATTGTGTACCTAAGTGTGACACTGTTTGTTGTGTGAGATTGTGTACCTAAGTGTGACACTGTTTGTTGTGTGAGAGTGTGACACTGTTTGTTGTGTGAGAGTGTGACACTGTTTGTTGTGTGAGATCGTGTACCTAAGTGTGACACTGTTTGTTGTGTGAGATCGTGTACCTAAGTGTGACACTGTTTGTTGTGTGAGATTGTGTACCTAAGTGTGACACTGTGTACCTGCAGACCCACCTGGGAGAGATCAAGGCCAACCAGAGACTGGGACTGGCCAGCATCAACCTGAAGGGGAAGCTGTACCACCAGCCAAACATGGTGAGTCCAACAACACCGACAGGGACATCATATAACCAGTGACTCACCATGGAGTCAGGCCATTGTTTGTTGTGTGAGATTGTAAGTCCAACAACACCGACAGGGACATCATATAACCAGTGACTCACCATGTAGTCAGGCCATTGTTTGTTGTGTGAGATTGTAAGTCCAACAACACCGACAGGGACATCATATAACCAGTGACTCACCATGTAGTCAGGCCATTGTTTGTTGTGTGAGATTGTAAGTCCAACAACACCGACAGGGACATCATAAAACCAGTGACTCACCATGTAGTCAGGCCATTGTTTGTTGTGTGAGATTGTAAGTCCAACAACACCGACAGGGACATCATATAACCAGTGACTCACCATGTAGTCAGGCCATTGTTTGTTGTGTGAGATTGTAAGTCCAACAACACCGACAGGGACATCATATAACCAGTGACTCACCATGTAGTCAGGCCATTGTTTGTTGTGTGAGATTGTAAGTCCAACAACACCGACAGGGACATCATATAACCAGTGACTCACCATGTAGTCAGGCCATTGTTTGTTGTGTGAGATTGTAAGTCCAACAACACCGACAGGGACATCATATAACCAGTGACTCGCCATGTAGTCAGGCCATTGTTTGTTGTGTGAGATTGTAAGTCCAACAACACCGACAGGGACATCATATAACCAGTGACTCGCCATGTAGTCAGGCCATTGTTTGTTGTGTGAGATTGTAAGTCCAACAACACCGACAGGGACATCATATAACCAGTGACTCACCATGTAGTCAGGCCATTGTTTGTTGTGTGAGATTGTAAGTCCAACAACACCGACAGGGACATCATATAACCAGTGACTCGCCATGTAGTCAGGCCATTGTTTGTTGTGTGAGATGGTGAGTCCAACAACACCGACAGGGACATCATATAACCAGTGACTCGCCATGTAGTCAGGCCATTGTTTGTTGTGTGAGATTGTAAGTCCAACAACACCGACAGGGACATCATATAACCAGTGACTCGCCATGTAGTCAGGCCATTGTTTGTTGTGTGAGATTGTAAGTCCAACAACACCGACAGGGACATCATATAACCAGTGACTCGCCATGTAGTCAGGCCATTGTTTGTTGTGTGAGATGGTGAGTCCAACAACACCGACAGGGACATCATATAACCAGTGACTCGCCATGGAGTCAGGCCATTGTTTGTTGTGTGAGATTGTAAGTCCAACAACACCGACAGGGACATCATATAACCAGTGACTCGCCATGGAGTCAGGCCATTGTTTGTTGTGTGAGATTGTAAGTCCAACAACACCGACAGGGACATCATATAACCAGTGACTCGCCATGGAGTCAGGCCATTGTTTGTTGTGTGAGATTGTAAGTCCAACAACACCGACAGGGACATCATATAACCAGTGACTCGCCATGGAGTCAGGCCATTGTTTGTTGTGTGAGATTGTAAGTCCAACAACACCGACAGGGACATCATATAACCAGTGACTCGCCATGGAGTCAGGCCATTGTTTGTTGTGTGAGATTGTGAGTCCAACAACACCGACAGGGACATCATATAACCAGTGACTCGCCATGGAGTCAGGCCATTGTTTGTTGTGTGAGATTGTAAGTCCAACAACACCGACAGGGACATCATATAACCAGTGACTCGCCATGGAGTCAGGCCATTGTTTGTTGTGTGAGATTGTGAGTCCAACAACACCGACAGGGACATCATATAACCAGTGACTCGCCATGGAGTCAGGCCATTGTTTGTTGTGTGAGATTGTAAGTCCAACAACACCGACAGGGACATCATATAACCAGTGACTCGCCATGTAGTCAGGCCATTGTTTGTTGTGTGAGATTGTAAGTCCAACAACACCGACAGGGACATCATATAACCAGTGACTCGCCATGGAGTCAGGCCATTGTTTGTTGTGTGAGATTGTAAGTCCAACAACACCGACAGGGACATCATATAACCAGTGACTCGCCATGTAGTCAGGCCATTGTTTGTTGTGTGAGATTGTAAGTCCAACAACACCGACAGGGACATCATATAACCAGTGACTCGCCATGTAGTCAGGCCATTGTTTGTTGTGTGAGATTGTAAGTCCAACAACACCGACAGGGACATCATATAACCAGTGACTCGCCATGTAGTCAGGCCATTGTTTGTTGTGTGAGATTGTAAGTCCAACAACACCGACAGGGACATCATATAACCAGTGACTCGCCATGTAGTCAGGCCATTGTTTGTTGTGTGAGATTGTAAGTCCAACAACACCGACAGGGACATCATATAACCAGTGACTCGCCATGTAGTCAGGCCATTGTTTGTTGTGTGAGATTGTAAGTCCAACAACACCGACAGGGACATCATATAACCAGTGACTCGCCATGGAGTCAGGCCATTGTTTGTTGTGTGAGATTGTAAGTCCAACAACACCGACAGGGACATCATATAACCAGTGACTCGCCATGGAGTCAGGCCATTGTTTTTTTTCATAGCTTACGGACTTCCTTTTCATAATGGTAGGGTGGGGTAAAAGTGAAAATACAAAATAATTAATCAATCAATCTTTATTTGTGCTTGGGGCCTCAGGCCCATATACAAAGTATACAAAGTATACAAAATACAAATTATACTACAAAGGTGATGGCGGTTTATCATACTTATATATTCAATGATAACAGAGTGTACAGTAATTAATGATAACATTCTCTCCTTACAAGTGAAGCTTTACAGAATTTTAACAAGTTTTCTACTATAGCTGGATCATAATCATTCATTAAATTAACAAAACATTTGGATGTGCATTTGCTTAAGTATTTCGTTGGTACAAAAAGTTTTCTCAAATCATTAAAACATGGGCATTTCATTATTATGTGGATTTCACCCCTGACACAGTTAAATTACAATTCTGACCATGCTGACAGATTCTTTTACATATTTCAACATTTATGTAGACTTTTGCACCTCCAGTTCTTAAAAGAGCTAAGTATCTTCTATGCATTAAATAACTTTTGCAATACACATATGGTTCAGCATTTAATGAAAATTTGTATTTACTGTAACTATCAAATCTTATACTTTCTCTTAATTTTCCTTGCCACTCTTGAAAAGAAATATCTCCTAATCTAAGTTTAATCATACTTTTTAAATAATCACTATTTCCAACTCCTTGAGAGAACCAGACTTCTCAAGACCTATCAAACATAAAGATTCTCTAATATTTGTTACCCAGTTTCTCCTGTCACATTCATCTAAGTGTTTTAATATATTATACGACTTTTTTGGTATTATATCATCTGACATGTGTATTAATCTAAGCCAATATTTTATACATTGCACAAATGAATCATCATATAAGGGGTATCTGCCACATTCTCTCACAGCCATAGCATTTGGAGTTTGTGACGGTAAACCAAGAAATCTTTTACATGCATAATTCTAAAAGAAATTCAAATGTATTGGTGCCCCAAATATCTGCACCTTGGTGGTATTTAGAAAAATATGGAATTTTGAAAAAACACGAACGATGGACTTTTAATAACCAAAATGTTGAAATAGTATGAAATTTTAAGATCATTAAATGAACTTGGGTGCTTGTCTTATGACTATGTAAAGGAATGTAATGTTGAAAATAGGAGAATCTAGTCATCAACCAAAAATAATTAAAAAACATGAACATAATGAATGTTTATGATGATCTTTTACAATTATTGGCAGTTGAGTAAAATAAAGAAATACATACTTTATCGTGGAAAGTAAAGAGAAAGGGTTGTCTCCCTTTCCCAGTTGTCTCCCTTTCCCAGTAGTCTCCCTTTCCCAGTAGTCTCCCTTTCCCAGTAGTCTCCCTTTCCCAGTAGTCTCCCTTTCCCAGTAGTCTCCCTTTCCCAGTTGTCTCCCTTTCCCAGTAGTCTTACACTGTTAATCAGACATGTATGGTCTTCCCAAAGTACTGTCTGCAGCTTGTCAATAAGGTATTTATTATTTAGAGCCTAATGGTAAACAAAGCTACATTGTGTCCCATCAGGAAGGTTATAAGACATGAACCAGTAGTGTAAAGATTCTAGTTTCTTTGTAGAAACGAGTGCAGGTGTACCCTAACGGTGAGAGCCTGGAGAGGGCGTTGTACGTTTGGGGGGAGACGCTGGATCAGCTTCTAGAGACTTCCACCCACAAGCTGACGCTCTGGAAGAAGGCCCAGATGTTCTTCACATCCGATGGAAAGCTGGTCAGTAGATAGACACTTCATATTCACCAGCTGGTCAGTAGAAATACTCTCCATATAGACCAGCTGGTCAGTAGATAGACACTTCATATACACCAGCTGGTCAGTAGATAGACACTTCATATACACCAGCTGGTCAGTAGATATACTCTCCATATACACCAGCTGGTCAGTAGATAGACACTTCATATTCACCAGCTGGTCAGTAGAAATACTCTCCATATACACCAGCTGGTCAGTAGATAGACACTTCATATACACCAGCTGGTCAGTAGATATACTCTCCATATACACCAGCTGGTCAGTAGATAGACACTTCATATACACCAGCTGGTCAGTAGATAGACACTTCATATACACCAGCTGGTTAGTAGATATACTCTCCATATACACCAGCTGGTCAGTAGATAGACACTTCATATACACCAGCTGGTCAGTAGATAGACACTTCATATACACCAGCTGGTCAGTAGATATACTCTCCATATACACCAGCTGGTCAGTAGATATACTCTCCATATACACTATGCAGCTGGTCAGTAGATATATTCTCCATATACACCAGCTGGTCAGTAGATAGACACTTCATATACACCAGCTGGTCAGTAGATATACTCTCCATATACACCAGCTGGTGAGTAGATAGACACTTCATATACACCAGCTGGTCAGTAGATATACTCTCCATATACACCAGCTGGTCAGTAGATAGACACTTCATATACACCAGCTGGTCAGTAGATAGACACTTCATATACACCAGCTGGTCAGTAGATATACTCTCCATATACACCAGCTGGTCAGTAGATATACTCTCCATATACACTATGCAGCTGGTCAGTAGATATATTCTCCATATACACCAGCTGGTCAGTAGATAGACACTTCATATACACCAGCTGGTCAGTAGATATACTCTCCATATACACCAGCTGGTGAGTAGATAGACACTTCATATACACCAGCTGGTCAGTAGATATACTCTCCATATACACCAGCTGGTCAGTAGATATACTCTCCATATACACTATGCAGCTGGTCAGTAGATATATTCTCCATATACACCAGCTGGTCAGTAGATATACTCTCCATATACACCAGCTGGTAAGTAGATATACTCTCCATATACACTATGCAGCTGGTCAGTAGATAGACACTCCGTATACACCAGCTGGTCAGTAGATATACTCTCCATATACACCAGCTGGTCAGTAGATATACTCTCCATATACACTATGCAGCTGGTCAGTAGATATATTCTCCATATACACCAGCTGGTCAGTAGATATACTCTCCATATACACCAGCTGGTAAGTAGATATACTCTCCATATACACTATGCAGCTGGTCAGTAGATAGACACTCCATATACACCAGCTGGTCAGTAGATAGACACTCCATATGCACCAGCTGGTCAGTAGATATACTCTCCATATATACCATGCAGCTGGTCAGTAGATATACACTCCATATACACTAGCTGGTAAGTAGATATACTCTCCATATACACTATGCAGCTGGTCAGTAGATAGACACTCCATATACACCAGCTGGTCAGTAGATAGACACTCCATATGCACCAGCTGGTCAGTAGATATACTCTCCATATACACTATGCAGCTGGTCAGTAGTTATACGCTCCATATACACCAGCTGGTCAGTAGATATACTCTCCATATATACCATGCAGCTGGTCAGTAGATATACACTCCATATACACTAGCTGGTCTGTAGATATATGCTCCATATACACCAGCTGGTCAGTAGTTATACATTCCATATACACCAGCTGGTCAGTAGATATACACTCCATATACACCAGCTGGTCAGTAGATATACTCTCCATATATACCATGCAGCTGGTCAGTAGATATACACTCCATATACACTAGCTGGTAAGTAGATATACTCTCCATATACACTATGCAGCTGGTCAGTAGATAGACACTCCATATACACCAGCTGGTCAGTAGATAGACACTCCATATGCACCAGCTGGTCAGTAGATATACTCTCCATATACACTATGCAGCTGGTCAGTAGTTATACGCTCCATATACACCAGCTGGTCAGTAGATATACTCTCCATATATACCATGCAGCTGGTCAGTAGATATACACTCCATATACACTAGCTGGTCTGTAGATATATGCTCCATATACACCAGCTGGTCAGTAGTTATACATTCCATATACACCAGCTGGTCAGTAGATATACACTCCATATACACCAGCTGGTCAGTAGATATACTCTCCATATACACCAGCTGGTCAGTAGATAGACACTCCATATACACCAGCTGGTCAGTAGATATACACTACATATACACCAGCTGGTCAGTAGATATACACTCCATATACACTATGCAGCTGGTCAGTAGATATACACTACATATACACCAGTTGGTCAGTAGATATACACTACATATACACCAGCTGGTCAGTAGATATACACTCCATATACACCAGCTGGTCAGTAGATATACTCTCCATATATACCATGCAGCTGGTCAGTAGATATACACTCCATATACACTAGCTGGTCTGTAGATATATGCTCCATATACACCAGCTGGTCAGTAGTTATACATTCCATATACACCAGCTGGTCAGTAGATATACACTCCATATACACCAGCTGGTCAGTAGATATACTCTCCATATACACCAGCTGGTCAGTAGATAGACACTCCATATACACCAGCTGGTCAGTAGATATACACTACATATACACCAGCTGGTCAGTAGATATACACTCCATATACACTATGCAGCTGGTCAGTAGATATACACTACATATACACCAGCTGGTCAGTAGATATACACTCCATATACACCAGCTGGTCAGTAGATATAAGCTCCATATACGCCATCTGGTCTGTCGATAACAAACATTGACAGATATGACACACACTTTGTATTTAAAGGATACATTGACAGCTGTGATATAGCTGTGACACACAATATTTAGTTATAGCTACTGTCAAATAAATGGGATGTTTTTGTGTTTTTTTGCAGATTGAGACATTCGAGGACATCGAGCGGGACCAGTTGCTCTGTGTCTCCACGGGGAAGGCCTTCAAGAAGCCGCGAGTGCAGATGTTGGATGTGGAGGTCAAGGCCAGCTGGGGTCGAGCACGACGAGAGTATGGGCCGTCGGCCACGGATGTTAGAGTTGACGCTAAGGGGAATCCTACAGTGGATGTAAGCTTCCTGATAATCGACATTCGATCTTTCATTGAAATAAATTTACTTTACATATTTGATTTTCAAGATTCTTGATTTCTTGTGGGGTTCGGTTGTTTGCGGTATATATATATTACCACATTGTAGCACTGGAGACCCTATCAAACTTTCTGATTACAGTATTGAACCAAGGAATGCATTTAACATTTGTTCACATGAAAACTACCCCAGTGTTGATGTATAGTGGCCAAGTCATTGGTTCAAGGAGATGGTAAAATGGAATGTACACATAAGAAATTCTGTGAATGACCAGTTGTCGTCTCATGTAATGACCTATGGTGGATCTGCATGTGTGTGTGCTATAATTCTACTTGGTGATATGTGTATTATGTGGGCCAGACGACCTTGAAGTGTTAAATTAAAAACTTTTCATAATCTGTAAATGCCGAGTCAGCTGATTCTGCATCCACTTCTTCATCACTACAACGTATGCTTCATCTTCAGGTGGATCCGTTTGGTCCTCCAGAGCTGGCCTTACCTTTAGAAGCTCCAAAGTAGGGCGGGACAGTCCGTGGAGCCAGGGATGGAGCAAGACTCACAAGCCTTCTTGCAGCAGCAGCAGCAGCAGCAACAACAGCAGCAGCAACAGCAGCAGCAGCAGCAACAGCAGCAACAGCACAGTACATTGATTCCAGAGATTGGCTGGAGGTGCTACAGTCTATGCCAGATTGATGTGTATATAATGCAGAATTTGATGTAGGGCTTAGCTTTAATAAGACATAGCATCAATAGGTTTGACTATGGCAATGTTATAGAGTTCTGTGTGGGTTTATTTTCATCTGCAGTTGTTAAAATATGCAACTTTCAAAACTTTGAGCCCAATTTTGATCAGTATGTAGTTATTCAATACAAGCCCGGTATCAGTGTGGTAGATAGTTGCAGAATATTAATCAGAATACCAGGGCGTTGTGGGGACATCTGTCTGTGATTGTGACATAGAATGATCTCAGCTGGAGTGAGCACTCCCTGCCAAAAGAAACTCTGACCAGGTGTATATATTCAGGAGAATCAACTTGGGGATGGAATGAAGGTGACACCATGAACTTGGTATCTTGGGGTCAGGGATCCCTTGTTCCTAATTGCACAAAAGTTATTTTCTTGATATGGCCTGTGTACCACCACCCAGAGACCTGCTTGTAAAGCTTAATTTCCCCTACTTGGGAGTTTCTTGCCCATGACCTTGACCTTTGTTTTATCTGTCTCACACTAGTGGAGTGGCTGGTGGGCAGTTGTCAGGATATACCCAGCGCTTTCTAGTCAATGTACCCAGATCTGTATGTGTGGCCATTAAATATCACTTGCCTCATTCTGGTGTAACTGATGATATACAGCTGTGAGTTGCTGAAGCTTTCTGAAGGACAGTTACAAATAACATGTATGACTGGTACTTCTTGGTCTGTAGACGATGTATTTGTCTTCATTGGTGGTTGTGCTTCACTTGGTAGGCACACAGTGTGTCTACGAACACAAGGTCCATGTGAACATCTCACGGTCTATGTTAGCACCAGAAGGTCCATGTGAACATCACATGCAAGGTCCATGTGAACATCATACGGTCTATGTCAACACCACAAGGTCCATGTGAACATCACACGGTCTATGTTAACACCACAAGGTCCATGTGAACATCATACGGTCTATGTCAACACCACAAGGTCCATGTGAACATCACACGGTCTATGTTAACATCACACGGTGTATGGTAACACAAGGTCCATGTGAACATCACACGGTCTATGTTAACACCACAAGTTCCATGTGAACATCACACGGTCTATGTTAACACCACAAGTTCCATGTGAACATCACACGGTCTATGTTAACACCACAAGGTCCATGTGAACATCACACGGTCTATGTTAACATCACAAGGTCCATGTGAACATCACACAGTCTATGGTAACACAAGGTCCATGTGAACATCACACGGTCTATGTCAACACCACAAGGTCCATGTGAACATCACACGGTCTATGTTAACACCACAAGGTCCATGTGAACATTACACGGTCTATGTTAACATCACAAGGTCCATGTGAACATCACACGGTCTATGGTAACACAAGGTCCATGTGAACATCACACGGTCTATGCTAACACCACAAGTTCCATGTGAACACCATTTTAAAGTACCAACCGGAAACATTGTGACCGATATATGATATTTTATCATTTTATTTAATTTATGTCGTCAAATTTGTTTGTTTTACTTACGAGAAGATCTGTGTGACAGAAATTGTTTTAATCCTCTGTCCAATTCCGTCCAAGTTATTGGTTGTGTTTGTCTGTGATATGATCCTGTTTACTGTACGTTTATCTGCTATATAAGTTTATGAAATAACATTGATAGTATACATAATCATCTTACCTCTGTAGCAGACTAACATACTTTCTAATTAATTAGGAATCATTTTACAAGTGTTTACCGTATACATGACAAGAGTCTTTACCGTCAGATAGAATAGGATTTTGTTACTGTTTTTGCTTAGTGTGTACCATATTTTTATAGAGAAATATTGATGATGTTACTTGCAAACATTATTGTACAAAAATCGTTTTCTAAGGAGCTTGTTTCAACAAATAAACTTGCGGAATAAAATCTAAATAGCATTATATCCGTCATTAGTGATTTGTTGTGTGTCAGAAATATGTGAAGGGTTGTTGTGTGTCAGAAATGTGGGAAGGGTTGTTGTGTGGAAAGAAATATGTGAAGGGTTGTTGTGTGTCAGAAATATGTGAAGGGTTGTTGTGTGTCAGAAATATGTGAAGGGTTGTTGTGTGTCAGAAATACGTGAAGGGTTGTTGTGTGTCAGAAATATGGGAAGGGTTGTTGTGTGTCAGAAATATGTGAAGGGTTGTTGTGTGTCAGAAATATGTGAAGGGTTGTTGTGTGTCAGATATACGTGAAGGGTTGTTGTGTGTCAGATATATGGGAAGGGTTGTTGTGTGTCAGAAATATGTGAAGGGTTGTTGTGTGTCAGAAATATGGGAAGGGTTGTTGTGTGTCAGATATATGTGAAGGGTTGTTGTGTGGAAAGAAATATGTGAAGGGTTGTTGTGTGTCAGATATATATATACGTGAAGGGTTGTTGTGTGTCAGATATATGTGAAGGGTTGTTGTGTGGAAAGAAATATGTGGAGGGTTGTTGTGTGTCAGAAATACGTGAAGGGTTGTTGTGTGTCAGATATATGTGAAGGGTTGTTGTGTGGAAAGAAATATGTGGAGGGTTGTGGTGTGTCAGATATACGTGAAGGGTTGTTGTGTGTCAGATATATGTGAAGGGTTGTTGTGTGGAAAGAAATATGTGAAGGGTTGTTGTGTGGAAAGAAATATGTGGAGGGTTGTTGTGTGTCAGAAATATGGGAAGGGTTGTTGTGTGTCAGAAATATGTGAAGGGTTGTTGTGTGGAAAGAAATATGTGAAGGGTTGTTGTGTGGAAAGAAATATGTGAAGGGTTGTTGTGTGTCAGATATATGTGAAGGGTTGTTGTGTGTCAGATATATGTGAAGGGTTGTTGTGTGTCAGATATATGTGAAGGGTTGTTGTGTGTCAGATATATGTGAAGGGTTGTTGTGTGTCAGATATATGTGAAGGGTTGTTGTGTGTCAGATATATGTGAAGGGTTGTTGTGTGGAAAGAAATATGTGGAGGGTTGTTGTGTGTCAGAAATATGGGAAGGGTTGTTGTGTGTCAGAAATATATGAAGGGTTGTTGTGTGGAAAGAAATATGTGGAGGGTTGTTGTGTGTCAGAAATATGGGAAGGGTTGTTGTGTGGAAAGAAATATGTGAAGGGTTGTTGTGTGTCAGATATATGTGAAGGGTTGTTGTGTGTCAGATATATGTGAAGGGTTGTTGTGTGTCAGATATATGTGAAGGGTTGTTGTGTGTCAGATATATGTGAAGGGTTGTTGTGTGGAAAGAAATATGGTAAGGGTTGTTGTGTGGAAAGAAATATGTGAAGGGTTGTTGTGTGTCAGAAATATGTGAAGGGTTGTTGTGTGTCAGAAATATGGGAAGGGTTGTTGTGTGTCAGATATATGTGAAGGGTTGTTGTGTGGAAAGAAATATGTGAAGGGTTGTTGTGTGTCAGAAATATGTGAAGGGTTGTTGTGTGGAAAGAAATATGTGAAGGGTTGTTGTGTGTCAGAAATATGGGAAGGGTTGTTGTGTGTCAGATATATGTGAAGGGTTGTTGTGTGGAAAGAAATATGTGAAGGGTTGTTGTGTGTCAGAAATATGTGAAGGGTTGTTGTGTGGAAAGAAATATGTGGAGGGTTGTTGTGTGTCAGAAATATGGGAAGGGTTGTTGTGTGGAAAGAAATATGTGAAGGGTTGTTGTGTGTCAGAAATATGTGAAGGGTTGTTGTGTGTCAGAAATATGTGGAGGGTTGTTGTGTGTCAGAAATATGTGGAGGGTTGTTGTGTGTCAGAAATATGTGAAGGGTTGTTGTGTGTCAGAAATATGGGAAGGGTTGTTGTGTGTCAGATATATGTGAAGGGTTGTTGTGTGTCAGAAATATGGGAAGGGTTGTTGTGTGTCAGATATATGGGAGGGGTTGTTGTGTGTCAGATATATGGGAAGGGTTGTTGTGTGACAGAAATATGGGAAGGGTTGTTGTGTGTCAGAAATATGGGAAGGGTTGTTGTGTGGAAAGAAATATGTGAAGGGTTGTTGTGTGGAAAGAAATATGTGAAGGGTTGTTGTGTGTCAGAAATATGGGAAGGGTTGTTGTGTGTCAGATATATGGGAAGGGTTGTTGTGTGTCAGAAATATGGGAAGGGTTGTTGTGTGTCAGAAATATGTGAAGGGTTGTTGTGTGTCAGAAATATGTGAAGGGTTGTTGTGTGGAAAGAAATATGTGAAGGGTTGTTGTGTGGAAAGAGGTGTAAGATCTGGAGCATGCAAGCAAAGCAGAGGATTGGAGGGAGAGAACAGGGCATGAACCGTACATTGGTCTAAGGCCCAGACATTACCTGGCAGAGTTAACGGTATTGCAGGGATCTGCTGGTCGAAGGTTGTAATAGCACATTCATGTTTCAACCTATATATCCAAACAAAATATTGGTGCATTGTAGGGCTGGTTATGGGCCTGATTAGGGCTGGGACGGGTTACTCGGGAACTCGGGTTGGGTGGGTGCTGAGCAGCACCCGGGTACCCACAGGACAACCTGGACCCGCGGTTGGTCACGTGATATATTGTTTTATGACAAAAATTATCTAGAACTCCATGGTTACACATGTCACTAATGTTCCCATTTCTTTCTGACTAGGCACCCATTCCTTTTGACTTTTATATGTTTGAACAAAAAAACAACTTCAGTGCATGTATGACCAGACTGTTTGATACGTGTATTAAAATACATTTTGCCAAGGCTACAGTCAAACTATTCCCAATCAGCCATTTTGTACCCAACTTTAGAGACCTACAGTGTGAACCCAGGTTGGGTCGGGTAATAGCGGGGTGGGTACCTGGGTAGTAAATTTGGACTCGTGCCAGCCCTATTGCATTGACGGGCCCACTTTCAGAGTCGAATCAATTCCTTGTGCAGAGATGAGTCCCTTGGCCTGATTGTGTCCCTTCATTAGTCAGCAACATTCCAGTGCCTCACACAAGTTGACACATCGTCATATAAAACAACTGAATGCTGTTCTTAGAGGTGTTAAACCAAACTCACACACTCACTCACTCTGTGAGGCGACCCGTGAAGATCCAGGGTAGAATAGGTCCTCCCATGCCGATGCTTGCCATAAAAAGTGACTATGCTTGTTGTAAAAGGCGATCGGGTGGTGAGAATCACTGACTTGGTTGATGCATGTCATCGTATCCCAAATGCGAAGAATCAATGATCATGATGTCAATCACTGGATTTTCTGGTCCAGACTCGATCATTTACAGACTGACGGCATATAGCTGGAATATTGCTGAGTGTGGAGTTAAACAACAAACAAACAAACAAACAAACAAACACTCTATGAGGCAACAGATTCAAGAACCCGCACTGAAGCAACAAGCATATACCCGGTATTGCTTACGACCAATTCCAACCCAGAATACCAACAGCTCTGTATTTTCTGAAACTGAACTGCTTCATTCATGGTTGTTAGAATAGGTCTTTCAAATATCCATGTAACATTTTTAAAAAGTTTATTAAGTAGGTTTATATAATCCATATGCACATCACCTAGACCGCATTTATAGATAACTTAGACCTCATTTACAGAGCACAAAGACCATGTGTACAAATCACCTAGACCTCAATTGGAGATCATCTAGACCTCATTTACAGATCACCAAGACCTAATTTTATATCACCTGCACAAAATTATTGCTGATCTGAGGAATGTGATAGTGACGTTCTATTCTGACCCAGAATCCGCAGGGGCAGACAAGCATGTGACGGTGAAGACCTATCTGACCCAGAATCCTCAGGGGGAGACAAGCATGTGATGGTGAAGACGTATCTGACCCAGAATCCTCAGGGGGAGACAAGCATGTGATGGTGAAGACGTATCTGACCCAGAATCCTCAGAGAGAGACAAGCATGTGATAGTGAAGACGTATCTGACCAAGAAACCTCAGAGGGAGACAAGCATGTGATAGTGAAGACGTATCTGACCCAGAATCCTCAGAGGGAGACAAGCATGTGATAGTGAAGACGTATGTGACCCAGAAACCTCAGGGGGAGACAAGCATGTGATAGTGAAGACCTATCTGACCCAGAATCCTCAGAGGGAGACAAGCATGTGATAGTGAAGACCTATCTGACCCAGAATCCTCAGGGGGAGACAAGCATGTGATAGTGAAGACCTATCTGACCCAGAATCCTCAGGGGGAGACAAGCATGTGATAGTGAAGACCTATCTGACCCAGAATCCTCAGGGGGAGACAAGCATGTGATAGTGAAGACCTATCTGACCCAGAATCCTCAGGGGGAGATAAGCATGTGATAGTGACGTTCTATTCTGACCCAGAATCCTCAGGGGGAGACAAGCATGTGATAGTGAAGACCTATCTGACCCAGAATCCTCAGGGGGAGACAAGCATGTGATAGTGAAGACATATCTGACCCAGAATCCTCAGGGGGAGATAAGCATGTGATAGTGACGTTCTATTCTGACCCAGAATCCTCAGGGGGAGACAAGCATGTGATAGTGAAGACCTATCTGACCCAGAATCCTCAGGGGGAGATAAGCATGTGATAGTGACGTTCTATTCTGACCCAGAATCCGCAGGGGGAGACAAGCATGTGATAGTGAAGACCTATCTGACCCAGAATCCTCAGGGGGAGACAAGCATGTGATAGTGAAGACCAATCTGACCCAGAATCCTCAGGGGGAGACAAGCATGTGATAGTGAAGACCTATCTGATCCAGAATCCTCAGGGGGAGACAAACATGTGATAGTGAAGACCTATCTGACCCAGAATCCTCAGGGGGAGACAAGCATGTGATAGTGAAGACCTATCTGACCCAGAATCCTCAGGGGGAGACAAGCATGTGATAGTGAAGACATATCTGACCCAGAATCCTCAGGGGGAGACAAGCATGTGATAGTGAAGACATATCTGACCCAGAATCCTCAGGGGGAGACAAGCATGTGATAGTGAAGACATATCTGACCCAGAATCCTCAGGGGGAGACAAGCATGTGATAGTGAAGACATATCTGACCCAGAATCCTCAGGGGGAGACAAGCATGTGATAGTGAAGACATATCTGACCCAGAATCCTCAGGGGGAGACAAGCATGTGATAGTGAAGACCTATCTGACCCAGAATCCTCAGGGGGAGACAAACGTCATAGTGAAGACCCTTTCTGACCCAGAATCCTCAGGGGGAGACAAGCATGTGATGGTGAAGACCTATCTGACCCAGAATCCTCAGGGGGAGACAAGCATGTGATAGTGAAGACCTATCTGACCCAGAATCCTCAGGGGGAGACAAGCATGTGATAGTGAAGACCTATCTGACCCAGAATCCTCAGGGGGAGACAAGCATGTGATAGTGAAGACCTATCTGACCCAGAATCCTCAGGGGGAGACAAGCATGTGATAGTGAAGACCTATCTGACCCAGGATCCTCAGGGGGAGACAAGCATGTGATAGTGAAGACATATCTGACCCAGAATCCTCAGGGGGAGACAAGCATGTGATAGTGAAGACCTATCTGACCCAGGATCCTCAGGGGGAGACAAGCATGTGATAGTGAAGACATATCTGACCCAGAATCCTCAGGGGGAGACAAGCATGTGATAGTGAAGACCTATCTGTCCCAGGGGGAGACCAGCATGTGATGGTGAAGACCTATCTGACCAAGAATCCTCAGGGGGAGACAAGCATGTGATAGTGAAGACCTATCTGACCCAGAATCCTCAGGGGGAGACAAGCATGTGATAGTGAAGACCTATCTGACCCAGAATCCTCAGGGGGAGACAAGCATGTGATAGTGAAGACCTATCTGACCCAGGATCCTCAGGGGGAGACAAGCATGTGATAGTGAAGACCTATCTGACCCAGAATCCTCAGGGGGAGACAAGCATGTGATAGTGAAGACCTATCTGACCCAGAATCCTCAGGGGGAGACAAGCATGTGATAGTGAAGACCTATCTGACCCAGGATCCTCAGGGGGAGACAAGCATGTGATAGTGAAGACATATCTGACCCAGAATCCTCAGGGGGAGACAAGCATGTGATAGAGTAGACCTATCTGACCCAGGATCCTCAGGGGGAGACAAGCATGTGATAGTGAAGACATATCTGACCCAGAATCCTCAGGGGGAGACAAGCATGTGATAGTGAAGACCTATCTGTCCCAGGGGGAGACCAGCATGTGATGGTGAAGACCTATCTGACCCAGAATCCTCAGGGGGAGACAAGCATGTGATAGTGAAGACATATCTGACCCAGAATCCTCAGGGGGAGACAAGCATGTGATAGTGAAGACATATCTGACCCAGGGGGAGACAAGCATGTGATGGTGAAGACGTATCTGACCCAGAATCCTCAGGGGGAGATAAGCATGTGATAGTGAAGACATATCTGACCCAGAATCCTCAGGGGGAGACAAGCATGTGATAGTGAAGACCTATCTGATCCAGAATCCTCAGGGGGAGACAAGCATGTGATAGTGAAGACATATCTGACCCAGGGGGAGACAAGCATGTGATGGTGAAGACGTATCTGACCCAGGATCCTCAGGGGGAGACAAGCATGTGATAGTGAAGACCTATCTGACCCAGAATCCTCAGGGGGAGACCAGCATGTGATAGTGAAGACCTATCTGACCCAGAATCCTCAGGGGGAGACAGGCATGTGATAGTGAAGACCTATCTGACCCAGAATCCTCAGGGGGAGACAAGCATGTGATAGCGAAGACCTATCTGACCCAGAATCCTCAGGGGGAGACAAGCATGTGATAGTGAAGACCTATCTGACCCAGAATCCTCAGGGGGAGACAAGCATGTGATAGTGAAGACCTATCTGACCCAGAATCCTCAGGGGGAGACAAGCATGTGATAGTGAAGACATATCTGACCCAGAATCCTCAGGGGGAGACAAGCATGTGATAATGAAGACCTATCTGACCCAGGATCCTCAGGAGGAGACAAGCATGTGATAGTGAAGACCTATCTGACCCAGAATCCTCAGGGGGAGACAAGCATGTGATAGTGAAGACCTATCTGACCCAGAATCCTCAGGGGGAGACAAACATGATAGTGAAGACCTATCTGACCCAGAATCCTCAGGGGGAGACAAACGTGATAGTGAAGACATATCTGACCCAGAATCCTCAGGGGGAGACAAACGTGATAGTGAAGACCTATCTGACCCAGAATCCTCAGGGGGAGACAAACGTGATAGTGAAGACCTATCTGACCCAGAATCCTCAGGGGGAGACAAGCATGTGATAGTGAAGACCTATCTGACCCAGAATCCTCAGGGGGAGACAAACGTGATAGTGAAGACCTATCTGACCCAGAATCCTCAGGGGGAGACAAACATCAGGGGGAAATTGGCATACTGGTTGAACAGAGACATATTTTGAACAAAGTCACTAACCTGAGGAGACACCACAATATATCTCATGAGCTCATGTCAGGGCAGGTTTGTTTCAAAAACAGCAAGAAAAACATGAGGATATTGTTTACAGATTTATTTCACATACTTCAGCAACTTGTGAGAAATAACAGTGATAATAAGAGATAACAGTTAACATGGATACCGACATGGTAAGGCACACTTTTTAATGTACGGACATACTAGGACAACATCAACTGATATGAATGATATCATATGACAAATTGGATAGATGGAAAATAACAAGTATTTTTCAACAGTGCAATGGCTGTTTTCAATCATCATCATCATCATCATCATCATCATCATCACATTTTGGACTGGCCTTAAGGAAGTTTGATTCATTTGGCAAGGGTGGGGTTGAAATCTCATTTAGTTCTGTCTATAAAAGAGATATTTCACCAATACAATCCCTGTCATAATGCATTTTAATGTCCCAACCTTTAGTTTGTTTGTTGGTTAGTTTGTTGTTGAACGCTGCACTCAGCAATATTCCAGCGACATGTACATGACATCTGTAAATAATCAAGTCTGGACCAGACAATCAAGTGATAGAAATCATGAGCATCCATCCACGCAATTTGGATACAATGACATGACAAGCACAGTTGCCTTAAATGCAAGCATGGGTTGCTGAAGACCTATTCTACCCCGGATCTTCTGAAATAACCATGACAAGGGCTTTTGAATCAATCATTCAACATTATTTTCTAGAACTAAACACTGAACTACATAAACAACAATGACCCAGGTGCTATCTGCTCTTCCCCAGGTGCTATCTGCTGTTCCGCAGGTGAACCGCGTGACCTGTCACAACTGTGTCAACTCCTAAAGATCAGTTTTAGAATAGGTCTTCAGCAACACATGCATGTCACACTAACGGGATTGGGTGGTCAGGCTCGCTGACAGGGTTGAAGAATGTCGTATCCCAATTGCGTGGATCGATGCTCATGATAACAATCACTGGATTGTCTGGTCCAGATTCGCTTATTCATAGACCGCAGTCATATAGCTGGAAATTGCTAAGTGGGGTGTAAAACAACAAACAAACAAACACTGTCAGGACAATGATATATCTATATATCTACATGTACCACTGTCAGGACAATGATATATCTATATATCTACATGTACCACTGTCAGGACAATGATATATCTATATATCTACATGTACCACTGTCAGGACAATGATATATCTATATATCTACATGTACCACTGCCAGGACAATGATATATCTATATATCTACATGTACCACTGTCAGGACAGTGATATATCTATATATCTACATGTACAACTGTCAGGACAATGATATATCTATATATCCACATGTATCACTGTCAGGACAATGATATATCTATATATCTACATGTACCACTGCCAGGACAATGATATATCTATATATCTAATGTACCACTGTCAGGACAATGATATATCTATATATCCATATGTACCACTGTCAGGACAATGATATATCTATATATCCACATGTACCACTGTCAGGACAATGATATACATGTACCTATATATCTACATGTACCACTGTCAGGACAATAATATATCTATACATCTACATGTACCACTGTCAGGACAATGATATATCCACATGAGGCACTGTCAGGACAATGATATATCTATATATCTACATGTACCACTGTCAGTACAATGATATATCTGTATATCTAATGTACCACTGTCAGGACCATGATTTATCTATATATCTACTTGTACCACTGTCAGGACAATGATGTATCTATATATCTAATGTACCAATGTCAGGACAATGATATATCTAAATATACCACTGTCAGGACAATGATATATCTATATATCTACATGTACCACTGTCAGGACAATGATATATCTACATGTACCACTGTCAGGACAATGATATATCTAAATATCTACTTGTACCAGTGTCGGGACAATGATATATCTACATGTACCACTGTCAGGACAATGATATATCTAAATATCTACATGTACCACTGTCAGGACAATGATATATCTATATATCTACATGTACCACTGTCAGGACAATGATATATCTACATGTACCACTGTCAGGACAATGATATATCTATATATCCACATGTACCACTGTCAGGACAATGATATACATGTACCTATATATCTACATGTACCACTGTCAGGACAATAATATATCTATACATCTACATGTACCACTGTCAGGACAATGATATATCCACATGAGGCACTGTCAGGACAATGATATATCTATATATCTACATGTACCACTGTCAGTACAATGATATATCTGTATATCTAATGTACCACTGTCAGGACCATGATTTATCTATATATCTACATGTACCACTGTCAGGACAATGATATATCTATATATCTAATGTACCAATGTCAGGACAATGATATATCTAAATATACCACTGTCAGGACAATGATATATCTATATATCTACATGTACCACTGTCAGGACAATGATATATCTACATGTACCACTGTCAGGACAATGATATATCTAAATATCTACATGTACCACTGTCAGGACAATGATATATCTACATGTACCACTGTCAGGACAATGATATATCTATATATCTACATGTTGATACGGAAATACAAACATGTTTCCATCAAGGACATGGAAACTAATCTCAATATTTAAAACACGAGAACATTACAACAATATCAGAATATCATGAGAACAACAAAACAATTAATAAGAAAATAACAACATTATGATAGTATCATATCTGATAACAATTCATCTCACTGGTTTTACAAAGGATTTAAAAATGTCTTGAAAAGGCACGGTCAGTAACAACACACAGAACAAGTGATGGTCCACAAGTGATGTTACAGAAGTGATGTTCCACAAGTGATGTCATAAAAGTGTTGTTCCACAAGTGATGGTCCACAAGTGATGGTCCACAAGTGATGTCATAAAAGTGTTGCTCCACAAGTGATGGTCCACAAGTGATGGTCCACAAGTGATGTCATAAAAGTGTTGTTCCACAAGTGATGGTCCACAAGTGATGGTCCACAAGTGATATCATAAAAGTGTTGTTCCACAAGTGATGGTCCACAAGTGATGGTCCACAAGTGATGTCATAAAAGTGATGTTACACAAGTGATGTTATATAATATGTGAAAACATTGACAAACATGATTGTGTATAATATATAAAATATGATAATTCTTATATAATCATAACATTGTCTCATATAATTATAACAAATATATAATCTAATATAATAATCTATTATGCATGTATTCATCACATTACACATGGACTGCTGATATAACAATACACAAGCAAAGCATGCAGAGTCTGTGAACACCTTGCATGCACACAAGCATATTGTGTGACCTGTAGCCAACTGGACGAAGCATCTTGTGTGACCTGTATCTAACTGGACAGGGCATATTGTGTGATCTGTAGCCAACTGGACAAGGCATATTGTGTGACCTGTAGCCAACTGGACAGGGCATATTGTGTGACCTGTAGCTAACTGGACAGGGCATATTGTGTGACCTGTAGCTAACTGGACAGGGCATATTGTGTGACCTGTAGCTAACTGGACGAGGCATATTGTGTGACCTGTAGCCAACTGGACGAGGCATATTGTGTGACCTGTAGCCAACTGGACAGGGCATATTGTGTGACCTGTAGCTAACTGGATGAGGCATATTGTGTGACCTGTAGCCAACTGGACAGGGCATATTGTGTGACCTGTAGCCAACTGGACGAGGCATATTATGTGACCTGTAGCCAACTGGACAGGGCATATTGTGTGACCTGTAGCTAACTGGACGAGGCATATTGTGTGACCTGTAGCCAACTGGACAAGGCATATTGTGTGACCTGTAGCCAACTGGACAGGTCATATTGTGTGACCTGTTGCCAACTGGACAGGGCAAATTGTGTGACCTGTAGCCAACTGGACAAGGCATATTGTGTGACCTGTAGCCAACTGGACAGGGCATATTGTGTGACCTGTAGCCAACTGGACAGTGCATATTGTGTGACCTGTAGCTAACTGGAACAGGCATCTTGTGTGACCTGTAGCCAACTGGACGAGGCATATTGTGTGACCTGTAGCCAACTGGACAGGGCAAATTGTGTGACCTGTAGCCAACTGGACAGTGCATATTGTGTGACCTGTAGCTAACTGGAACAGGCATATTGTGTGACCTGTAGCCAACTGGACAGGGCAAATTGTGTGACCTGTAGGCAACTGGACAGGGCATATTGTGTGACCTGTAGCTAGCTGGACGAAGTATCTTGTGTGACCTGTAGCTAACTGGACGAAGTATCTTGTGTGACCTGTAGTCAACTGGATGAGGCATAGTGTGATCTGTAGGCAACTGGACAGGGCATATTGTGTGACCTGTAGCTAGCATGACGAAGTATCTTGTGTGACCTGTAGCTAACTGGACGAAGTATCTTGTGTGACCTGTAGCCAACTGGATGAGGCATCTTGTGTGATCTGTAGGCAACTGGACAGGGCATATTGTGTGACCTGTAGCTAACTGGACGAAGTATCTTGTGTGACCTGTAGCCAACTGGATGAGGCATATTGTGTGATCTGTAGCCAACTGGATGAGGCATATTGTGTGACCTGTAGCTAACTGGACGAGGCATATTGTGTGACCTGTAGCTAACTGGACGAGGCATATTGTGTGACCTGTAGCCAACTGGACAAGGCATATTGTGTGACCTTTAGCTAACTGGACGAGGCATATTGTGTGACCTGTAGCCAACTGGATGAGGCATATTGTGTGACCTGTAGCTAACTGGACGAGGCATCTTGTGTGACCTGTAGGCAACTGGACAGGGCATATTGTGTGACCTGTAGCCAACTGGATGAGGCATATTGTGTGACCTGTAGCCAACTGGACAGGGCATATTGTGTGACCTGTAGCCAACTGGACAGGGCATATTGTGTGACCTGTAGCCAACTGGACGAAGTATCTTGTGTGATCTGTAGCCAACTGGATGAAGCATATTGTGTGACCTGTAGCCAACTGGATGAGGCATATTGTGTGACCTGTAGCTAACTGGACGAGGCATCTTGTGTGACCTGTAGCTAACTGGATGGTCTTCAGCTAACGCGGTGGACAGTCTTGTGTGGCCTCTAGCTAACTCGGTGGAGAGTCGTGTGTGAAGTTTGCAATAAGGTTTTGCTGCATCTTGTTCACCTCTGCTAGCTGTGGCAGGAGTCGGAAGATGTCGACAAGAATGCGGCTGCTGTTGTCAGGGTTGCGCTTGGTGATGATGTGGACAAGGAGGTCAAGGTAGACAGAGTTGAGCTTCTGAATTGCAACGGAATCCTTCAACTCAAGGTTGTCTGAAACATTAATATTTAGATGTTCACAGACAGAACTGGTAGCACGAAAAGCTGCAGGCTTATCACAAAGTATCTTTAAGTGTGGTGTTATTCAATGGGTATCTCCATGTGGTGTTATACAATGGGTATCTCCATGTGGTGTTATACAATGGGTATCTCCATGTGGTGTTATACAATGGGTATCTCCATGTGGTGTTATACAATGGGTATCTCCATGTGGTGTTATACAATGGGTATCTCCATGTGGTGTTATACAATGGGTATCTCCATGTGGTGTTATTCAATGGGTATCTCCATGTGGTGTTATATACAATGGTGTTATACAATCAGTGATCTTGTTACAATCTGTTTACTCACCAGGTCTGGGAGAGGGTGATCCTGTTACAAGCTGTTTACTCACCAGGTCTGGCAGAGGATGATCCTGTTACAATCTGTTTACTCACCAGGTCTGGCAGAGGATGATCCTGTTACAATCTGTTTACTCACCAGGTCTGGCAGAGGATGATCCTGTTACAATCTGTTTACTCACCAGGTCTGGGAGAGGATGATCCTGTTACAATCTGTTTACTCACCAGGTATGGGAGAGGGTGATCCTGTTACAAGCTGTTTACTCACCAGGTCTGGGAGAGGTTGATCCTGTTACAATCTGTTTACTCACTAGGTCTGGCAGAGGATGATCCTGTTACAATCTGTTTACTCACCAGGTCTGGCAGAGGATGATCCTGTTACAATCTGTTTACTCACCAGGTCTGGCAGAGGATGATCCTGTTACAATCTGTTTACTCACCAGGTCTGGGAGAGGATGATCCTGTTACAATCTGTTTACTCACCAGGTCTGGCAGAGGATGATCCTGTTACAATCTGTTTACTCACCAGGTCTGGGAGAGGATGATCCTGTTACAATCTGTTTACTCACCAGGTCTGGCAGAGGATGATCCTGTTACAATCTGTTTACTCACCAGGTCTGGGAGAGGATGATCCTGTTACAATCTGTTTACTCACCAGGTATGGGAGAGGTTGATCCTGTTACAATCTGTTTACTCACCAGGTCTGGGAGATGTCAGCTGTATAGCTGCGATGATGGCAATCTCTAAATCTGACAGTTGGAGTTTGTTGAAAATCTCCGCAAAGGAGAACAGCAGTCGGACGTTGTCCACCTTGATGACGAACTCCATCCAGAAGCGGTTGTAGTACCTCCCATTGGGGAAGCGCAGATACGACTCTCCATCAACGAAGAACTCACTGCATGTTAGCTGGAATGAATCACAATGTTTTAATCACAACTGGTCAGCTGGTCTAATGTTGTTGATCTACACGGTAGTCAGCAATATTCCAGTCAATCTCGACAGCCAGTTAAAAATGAATCTGGGCACGAGCAGGCTGTGGTTGACCTCAAAGCCTCCCATGCCATTTCAGGTACGATAACCAGTTTTTTTAGCGTACATTGTATTTTGAAAAATCCTGGGCAGGTGGAAAAAATTTGTAAAATCTAAATATTTGTTACATTTGTATACTTATCCTGCATTACTCCTTAATGCATTCACTGCTTACCTTGCGACAAAAAAACTTATAGCATACCAGCGATGGTCCTGGGTGAAGATAAATAAACTGTTCCTGAGTCCCAATTTTATACCACGCCGTTGCCGTCCCTGTGACCTCACGTGACCCTAGGTCACCTCTTCACATCACTGCCTGTCGCCCGAGCTTAAACAACACACTTTTGATGTTTCTGAAGCCAAAGTGGGGAGGCAAGTCTGTGACGGGTGGGCCTTAAGCGTAGTAATGCAGGAAAGTATACAAATGTAAAAGAAATTTAGATTTTACTAAAATGTTTACTTATCCTGCATTACTCCTTAATGCATCTGTATAGGACGGTTTGGAGGTGGGTAAACCTTAAGAATACAGCAACCTCAATAATTCACACCCTGAAAGTGCGACACTGATTGGTCGATAAACGGTGAAGCGGAAAAGTTCACAAAAACGATGTTATGGTAGGGTTCTATCAATGTGATAAAACCCATTGAACATCGGAATTAAAGAGTAGTTCCCTATACATCTATAGTTATAAAGACAAATAGCTCATCAGCCAAATCTTTACTTACTAGAAAAATAGAGCCCTGTGGACAATTGCTTGTCTAATATTCTTCCATTGGCAAAATCGGATCGACGGCACAGGAAAGAGAACGGCTCTGTATAGGGCAAGTTCATTATTTGCATCGAGGGTTGGTAACTTGCTGAGCTACAACCAATGTCCCAAAACTCCGTACACCTTTGACGTCTTCGAGAGTCACATTGCGCAAATAATGACTGGCAAAAACTGTGTCGGACCTCCAAAAACATCCTTACATGATTGTTTTAATAGTACAATTGCTGTGTAAGGCCATGGTACAGGCTAATGCCCTGATCTCATGAGGATTATTCGCTCTTGGTGGATCCAAATTGGCGATCGAATAGGCCTGAAGGATGACTGCGTGTAATCATAGAGATATGGTGTTGCGACTGACTTCGATCGTGGACGTGGTAGATAGGGGTATAAATAACCGCTTCCTCGAACCACGCCTAGTCGTGGAACGGCAGATGAAAATTCGCAGTGCATGTACCGGACATAATAGAAGTTCACCCTCATCTTCACTACCCACAATTGTCGATATTAGTGGAATGGTAAAGGAACGATCGGGTTGGCCTGGTAATTGATTCTTAGCAATAAAATCCCAGCAAAACCTGAGATGCAGCGTTCCGTGCGTCCCATGTTCAAAACGGACCCAGGTGATTCGATCGCATGTAGTTCTCTCACCCGTGGCGCCGTGGCTAATGCCAAGAGAAACACTGTTTTCTTGGTGAGGTCATAAAAAGCGGATGCAAAGAGGGGCTCGAAGGGGGGTCCTCGCAAACCTCGAAGTATCACGTTCAACTCCCACGCAGGTGGTGGGGACTTGGTCTCCTGATCCTCAAGCCTGAATGAGCCTAATAAGACCTGTAGTTCCGGGATCTTAGTCATCTTACGATTATCCGGAACGGCCAACACAGTTAAGTGCAACCAAATACGTAGTAATGGTGCTACCTTTCAAGTGTCTTATGGTACACAAATGTAGGAGGTTTTCAGTTAATAACTGAGATGACGCAGTTGTAGGATCTTGACTTTTTGCCTTGCAAAATGTTTCAAATGATCCCACTTGTCATCGTAAAGGCCTCTAGTAGAAGGACGATGAGCTGGCAAGCTTTTGCTGCCCCTGCTGAATAGCCCTTTGCACTTAACCCCTTTTTAAGAAGAACCCACCATGCAGACGAAATCTGTCTGGTGATGGATGAGGCAAATTGCTGTGAGGATGGATAAGTAGGTTGGACCACTTTGGGAGGAGAAGTGGATCATTTTCTGCTAGATTTCTGAGCTCGACGAACCAAACTCTCGTCGGCCACCAGGGCACGACAAAAGTCAGAGCAAGTATTCTTGTCTCCTTGATCTTTTGTATTACCCTGGGAAGTAAGACTGGTGGCGGAGGCATATCCCACCTACCATCCAGACATCACCAAGAAGTCATCAGCCCCGCTATGTCCATCCTAGCCATGTCCCACCTACCATCCAGACATCACCAAGAAGTCATCAGCCCCGCTATGTCCCACATACCATCCAGACATCACCATGAAGTCATCAGCCCCGCTATGTCCCACCTACCATCCAGACATCACCATGAAGTCATCAGCCCCGCCATGTCCCACCTACCATCCAGACATCACCATGAAGTCATCAGCCCCGCTATGTCCTACCTACCATCCAGACATCACCATGAAGTCATCAGACCCGCTATGTCCCACCTACCATCCAGACATCACCATGAAGTCATCAGCCCCGCTATGTCCCACCTACCATCCAGCCATCACCATGAAGTCATCAGCCCTGCTATGTCCCACCTACCATCCAACCATCACCATGAAGTCATCAGCCCCGCTATGTCCTACCTACCATCCAGCCATCACCATGAAGTCATCAGCCCCGATATGTCCCACCTACCATCCAGACATCACCATGAAGTCATCAGCCCCGCCATGTCCCACCTACCATCCAGACATCACCATGAAGTCATCAGCCCCGCTATGTCCCACCTACCATCCAGACATCACCATGAAGTCATCAGTCCCGCTATGTCCCACCTACCATCCAGACATCACCATGAAGTCATCAGCCCCGCTATGTCCTATCTACCATCCAGACATCACCAAGAAGTCATCAGTCCCGCCTACCATCCAGACATCACCATGAAGTCATCAGCCCCGCTATGTCCTACCTACCATCCAGACATCACCATGAAGTCATCAGCCCCGCTATGTCCCACCTACCATCCAGACATCACCATGAAGTCATCAGCCCCGCTCTCACCCGTGGCGCCGTGGCTAATGCCAAGAGAAACACTGTTTTCTTGGTGAGGTCATAAAAAGCGGATGCAAAGAGGGGCTCGAAGGGGGGTCCTCGCAAACCTCGAAGTATCACGTTCAACTCCCACGCAGGTGGTGGGGACTTGGTCTCCTGATCCTCAAGCCTGAATGAGCCTAATAAGACCTGTAGTTCCGGGATCTTAGTCATCTTACGATTATCCGGAACGGCCAACACAGTTAAGTGCAACCAAATACGTAGTAATGGTGCTACCTTTCAAGTGTCTTATGGTACACAAATGTAGGAGGTATTCAGTTAATAACTGAGATGACGCAGTTGTAGGATCTTGACTTTTTGCCTTGCAAAATGTTTCAAATGATCCCACTTGTCATCGTAAAGGCCTCTAGTAGAAGGACGATGAGCTGGCAAGCTTTTGCTGCCCCTGCTGAATAGCCCTTTGCACTTAACCCCTTTTTAAGAAGAACCCACCATGCAGACGAAATCTGTCTGGTGATGGATGAGGCAAATTGCTGTGAGGATGGATAAGTAGGTTGGACCACTTTGGGAGGAGAAGTGGATCATTTTCTGCTAGATTTCTGAGCTCGACGAACCAAACTCTCGTCGGCCACCAGGGCACGACAAAAGTCAGAGCAAGTATTCTTGTCTCCTTGATCTTTTGTATTACCCTGGGAAGTAAGACTGGTGGCGGAGGCATATCCCACCTACCATCCAGACATCACCAAGAAGTCATCAGCCCCGCTATGTCCATCCTAGCCATGTCCCACCTACCATCCAGACATCACCAAGAAGTCATCAGCCCCGCTATGTCCCACATACCATCCAGACATCACCATGAAGTCATCAGCCCCGCTATGTCCCACCTACCATCCAGACATCACCATGAAGTCATCAGCCCCGCCATGTCCCACCTACCATCCAGACATCACCATGAAGTCATCAGCCCCGCTATGTCCTACCTACCATCCAGACATCACCATGAATTCATCAGACCCGCTATGTCCCACCTACCATCCAGACATCACCATGAAGTCATCAGCCCCGCTATGTCCCACCTACCATCCAGACATCACCATGAAGTCATCAGCCCTGCTATGTCCCACCTACCATCCAACCATCACCATGAAGTCATCAGCCCCGCTATGTCCTACCTACCATCCAGCCATCACCATGAAGTCATCAGCCCCGATATGTCCCACCTACCATCCAGACATCACCATGAAGTCATCAGCCCCGCCATGTCCCACCTACCATCCAGACATCACCATGAAGTCATCAGCCCCGCTATGTCCCACCTACCATCCAGACATCACCATGAAGTCATCAGTCCCGCTATGTCCCACCTACCATCCAGACATCACCATGAAGTCATCAGCCCCGCTATGTCCTATCTACCATCCAGACATCACCAAGAAGTCATCAGTCCCGCCTACCATCCAGACATCACCATGAAGTCATCAGCCCCGCTATGTCCTACCTACCATCCAGACATCACCATGAAGTCATCAGCCCCGCTATGTCCCACCTACCATCCAGACATCACCATGAAGTCATCAGCCCCGCTATGTCCCACCTACCATCCAGACATCACCATGAAGTCATCAGCCCTGCTATGTCCCACCTACCATCCAGACATCACCATGAAGTCATCAGCCCCGCTACGTCCCACCTAGCCATGTCCTACCTACCATCCAGACATCACCATGAAGTCATCAGTCCCGCTATGTCCCACCTACCATCCAGACATCACCATGAAGTCATCAGACCCGCTATGTCCCACCTACCATCCAGACATCACCATGAAGTCATCAGCCCCGCTATGTCCATCCTAGCCATGTCCCACCTACCATCCAGACATCACCAAGAAGTTATCAGCCCCGCCATGTCCCACCTACCATCCAGATATCGTAGTAGGCTCGCTTCAACAGCATCTTCTGGTCATCCACGTTGAGCTTAGAGAAGCCAGGAACAGCATTGCAGAAACCTGGAACACAGGACAGACACATTCTCTACACACACAGTCAGTTGGCCAAACATAGATCTAATCATCTACTCAACAATAACACATTGATGGCATGGTTCCCTCACAAAAGCTGGCATCAATCGTTTAACCACAAACTATGATTCTCTCAGTAGTTGTGTGAATTCCCCTACAACAGCTGACAAGTGACATCACTAGTTATACCAACCTATGATTCTCTCATTAGTAATGTGAATTCCCCACAACAGCTGACAAGTGACATCACTAGTTTTACCAACCTATGATTCTCTCAGTAGTGGTGTGAATTCCCCACAACAGCTGACAAGTGTACCAACCTATGATTCTCTCATTAGTGGTGTGAATTCCCCACAACAGCTGACAAGTGACAGCACTAGTTTTACCAACCTATGATTCTCTCATTAGTGGTGTGAATTCCCCACAACAGCTGACAAGTGACATCACTAGTTATACCAACCTAGGATTCTCTCATTAGTGGTGTGAATTCCCCACAACAGCTGACAAGTGACATCACTAGTTATACCAACCTATGATTCTCTCAGTAGTGGTGTGAATTCCCCACAACAGCTGACAAGTGACATCTCTAGTTATACCAACCTATGATTCTCTCATTAGTGGTGTGAATTCCCCACAACAGCTGACAAGTGACATCACTAGTTATACCAACCTATGATTCTCTCATTAGTGGTGTGAATTCCGCGGAACAGCTGGTTCCACGTGTCCTTCACAGTTTCTTCTGTTATTTCTTCCCTCGGCATTGGAAGCTGCAGCAAGAAAAAACCCAATGTATTCAGCCCCATGTCTGCAGCAAATGATAGTAAAAATTCCCAGCTTGAATTAAAACTGTCTCTATTCCCACAGATTATATGAAAAAAAAGAACTTTAAAATAGGGCTGGGACGGGTAACTCGGGTACCCGGGTCGGGTGGGTACTGAGTACGATTTGGGTAACCAATGGACTACCCGGACCCGTGCACGTGGTTAGTCACGTGATATATTGTTTAATGACAAAAATGATCCAGAACTATATGGTTACACTACAAGTCACTAATGTTCGCATTTCTTTCTGACTATGCACCCATTCCTTCTGATTTTTCATATGGTTGAATAAAGATATAACATAATTCAACTTCAGTGTATGAATGACCAGATTGTTTATTACGTGTATCTAAATACGTTTTGCCAGGGCTATGCTAAAAATATTCCCAATCGGACATTTTGAGACATCTCCTAAGACCTACAGTGGGTAACCGGGTAGGGTCGGGTAATAGGGGGCTAGGTACCGGGGTAGTAAATTTGGACTCGTTCCAGCCCTACTTTAAAATAACCAAATTTGGAACAATATCTCGACATTTTCCCCAATTTGTTTGCCAAGGGCACTTAGTTTGAAAACCTAGATAAATGGCTGAACCAGAGCCTTAATGGATGCACACACAGTAACAAATCATCAGTGAAACTACAGGCCTCACCTTCTGGCTGATAAAGGCGCGGGCATGGTGTCGTGCCTCTTGGAATGGTCCACTGCCGACCTCCAGCGCCTTCTCCAGGCCTCTAACTAATGAATCAAATGCCTCTTCACCACCTCTACTGAAAATGTCTTCTGCCGAACTTTCACCATTTTCTGTTTCAATATCATCAGATCTGTCATTGGTGTCACTGCCCTGTATCATTTCTGTATCAGTTGAAGTGATTGGTTGATCCTGACCATGTGACCAAGAGGGTTCAGTGTGACTGCTATATTGCGCTGAAACTGTAGCAGAACAATCCATTGGCCATTCATGATCTTGACCTTCATTGTGACCTTGAACCGGATAAGATGGGTTATGCATGAATGTGTCTTGATGAAAAGAATGCACTTGTTGGTCTGTCTGTTCTCTGGTGTAGTAGTCGGTGTCACTGCTAGCAACGTATTGAGCATCGATATGATGTCCCTGTTTCGTGTCAATCCTATCTGCAGGATTATCACTATGAGGGAAGACAGAACTGTCAAAATATCTCGGCTGCTGCTCACTTGGACTGAAGCTGTTCTGCTTTAAACCAGTTTTGGTCCAATTCGACGACGGACATCCGCTTGATGTAAACAACTGACCAGCCAAGGGAGACCACTCCTGTCCTGACTCGCTCATTCCATCGTGAACAGAACTCATGTCTTCTCCTTGCGTAGAAGTATTGATGTAAGTTTCACTGGAGAGACGTTTCAGCAGACGCATGCTGCTATTGTTTGGGCACTTCTTGGCTAGTTTCTCAATGACCATCTCAGGCACCTTGGTGCCGCCCGTCATCTCCACAACCTGATTGAACAAGACCTTGATGACGTTCGGGCTGTACATGGAACAGCTACTGCTGGATGCGTTGCTGTCATCACCGTCTTCTGGAACACTGCTTTTGGACATCTTTGGCAACAAGGCAGTTTCCGCCAGTAAGTTCATATTAGACGTGCCTGATCCGTCCAGGTCATCCACATGATGACTGTCTTTGGATTGATCTTTTCGCTCGGAATAACTACCAATATGATCATCCCACGGTACAGGAGGAAACGCTTCATTGAACATGTGGGAGGGCATGTGTTGGTAAGTGGGCGGAAGCTGGCTCACTTCACGAGGGCTGTTTCCATAGGCAGGATGTTGATGAGGAGCCACATCACTGCTGAGGAGTTTGGACATTTGGCTGGTGACTTGATTAGTCAACTGATTGGTCAACTGATTATTTAACTGACTGGTCAACTGATTGGTCACATGACCTGTGACAGGGTTGAACACCTCATCGTCTATCCCACTGTCCGGGGACTCCGTACAGTTACCAGGGTTCCTGGCAGCGTCTAGAGCTCTCTGTTTCTCCATCTTCGGAATTCGACCCATCTTCACAGCTGAAAGGGAGGAAAGGGAGGCCTCAGGACTGTAGGATATTTTGCCGACCCCCCACCCCCTTTTATGTACATTTTTTTCCTCCCTCCCTCCCTGCTAAAATATCTCAAATTTATAAAAATGACATTTGAAAAAATAGAACTGTAATTTTTTAAGCTCCCATCCCCCGAACGCCACTACTGTAAGGAGACGGTTGGGTAGCCTAGTGGTTAAAGTGTTCGCTCGTTTACGCCAATGACCCAGGTTTGATTCCTGCCATGGGTACAATGTCTGAAGCCCATTTTTGGTGTCCCCCACCTTCATATTGCTGGAATATTGCTAGAAGCAGCGTAAAATCATACTAACTCACTCACTATTATTGTTGTGATACATGTTGGCAACCCCCTCGTTTCAGTGTCATCTTTTCCTGGCACATACACCCCAATCTCACCGACCCACAGGCCATTGTGTTACATTTCTCTCCGAAAAGGTCTGATGTCGGCCATTTTGCAGTTGGCTTCAAAGTGGCAAGAGTCGACAGCTTTCGGTCGGTATTATTTCATATCAATAAAGAATTGGGAGGTGTCATACATTGGAATTGATAGAATAATCACCCTAGACAAGGTAGATATGAAGTTTTTGTCCATGATTTACGATTTTACTTTATAAATAGCAATACAAGGTGCTTCACCCCCTCTCCCTAAAATAAATAACCAATACTTTGTTTGTTTGTTGTTTAACTCCGCACTCAGCAATATTCCAGCCATATAACGGTGGTCTGTTCATAATCGAGTCTGGACCAGACAATCCAGTGATTGGTATCATGAGCATCAATCTACGCATTTGAGATATGATGACATGTATCAACCAAGTCAGCAAGCCTGACCACCTGATTCAGTTAGTCGCCCTTTACAATAATAAAGAGCCTAAAGTAATCACTCACCTTCGAATGACATGCCGAGCTCCAGACACTTCCTGTAGCGACATGACTTACAACGGTTCCTGTTCTGTGGAGTGATTACACACTGACCCCCGAAGAAACACTTGTACTTATCTCCCTTGGGGATGCTCCTCTTGAAGAAGCCCTGGAACATACAGCAGGTGAAAGCCTCACAAAGCCAAATCTTTCTTAAAACAAAAAAATATTTAAACTTTCATGACAACAGAGAGTTACTTTTGTATAGTTACTAGTGGTATGCACTGTGTATGACATCTAAATTACCTCCCTTCGTATACTGTATGTTGTATACAACTCAAATGACTATGTGACTCGAGAGTGTATTAAACCCATGTAGACAATGTGGCTCTACACTGGCAGTTAAACCCATGTAGACAATGTGGCTCCATACTGGCAGTTAAACCAATGTAGACAATGTGGCTCTACACTGGCAGTTAAATCAATGTAGACAATGTGGCTCTACACTGGCAGTTAAACCCATGGAGACAATGTGGCTCTATACTGGCAGTTAAACCAATGCAAACAATGTGGCTCTACACTGGCAGTTAAATCAATGTAGACAATGTGGCTCTACACTGGCAGTTAAACCAATGTAGACGATGAGGTTCTACACTGACTGTTAAACCCATGTAGACAATGTGACTCTACACTGGCAGTTAAACCCATGTAGACAATGTGGCTCTACACTGGCAGTTAAACCAATGTAGACAATGTGGCTCTACACTGGCAGTTAAATCAATGTAGACAATGTGGCTCCACACTGGCAGTTAAACCAATGTAGACGATGTGGCTCTACACTGGCAGTTAAACCCATGTAGACAATGTGGCTCTACACTGACTGTTAAACCCGTGTAGACAATGTGACTCTACACTGGCAGTTAAACCAATGTAGACAATGTGGCTCTACACTGGCAGTTAAATCAATGTAGACAATGTGGCTCCACACTGGCAGTTAAACCAATGTAGACAATGTGGTTCTACACTGACTGTTAAACCCATGTAGACAATGTGACTCTACACTGGCAGTTAAACCCATGTAGACGATGTGGCTCTACACTGGCAGTTAAACCCATGTAGACAATGTGGCTCTACACTGACTGTTAAACCCGTGTAGACAATGTGACTCTACACTGGCAGTTAAACCAATGTAGACAATGTGGCTCTACACTGGCAGTTAAATCAATGTAGACAATGTGGCTCCACACTGGCAGTTAAACCAATGTAGACAATGTGGTTCTACACTGACTGTTAAACCCATGTAGACAATGTGACTCTACACTGGCAGTTAAACCCATGTAGACAATGTGGCTCTACACTGGCAGTTAAACCCATGTAGACAATATGGCTCTACACTGGCAGTTAAACCCATGTAGACAATGTGGCTCTACACTGGCAGTTAAACCCATGTAGACAATATGGCTCTACACTGGCAGTTAAACCCATGTAGACAATATGGCTCTACACTGGCAGTTAAACCGATGTAGACGATGTGGCTCTACACTGACTGAAAAACCATGTAGACAATATGGCTCTACACTGACTGTAAACTCACGTAGACAATGTGACTCTACACTGGCTGTAAACTCACGTAGACAATGTGGCTCTACACTGGCAGTAAACCCATGTAGACAATGGGGCTCTATACTGACTGTAAACTCACGTAGACAATGTGACTCTACACTGGCAGTAAACTCACGTAGAAAATATGACTCTACACTGACTGTAAACCCATGTAGACAATATGGCTCTACACTGACTGTAAACTCACATAGACAATGTGGCTCTACACTGGCAGTAAACCCATGTAGACAATGTGACTCTACACTGGCAGTAAACCCATGTAGACAATATGGCTCTACACTGGCAGTAAACCCATTTAGACAATACCTTCCCACATAGCAACACTATCATACTAGCTACCTTACAACCTTGCCACATAGCAACACTATCATACTTCTTACCTTACAACCTTCCCACATAGCAACACTATCATACTAGCTACCTTACAACCTTCCCACATAGCAACACTATCATACTACTTACCTTACAACCTTCCCACATACCAACACTATCATACTAGCTACCTTACAACCTTCCCACATAGCAACACTATCATACTACTTACCTTACAACCTTCCCACATAGCAACACTATCATGTTACTTACCTTACAACCTACCCACATAGCAACACTATCATACTACTTACCTTACAACCTTCCCACATAGCAACACTATCATACTACTTACCTTACAACCTTCCCACATAGCAACACTATCATGTTACTTACCTTACAACCTTCCCACATAGCAACACTATCATACTACTTACCTTACAACCTTCCCACATAGCAACACTATCATACTACTTACCTTACAACCTTCCCACATACCAACACTATCATACTAGCTACCTTACAACCTTCCCACATAGCAACACTATCATACTACTTACCTTACAACCTTCCCACATAGCAACACTATCATACTACTTACCTTACAACCTTCCCACATAGCAACACTATCATACTACTTACCTTACAACCTTCCCACATAGCAACACTATCATACTACTTACCTTACAACAACTACAAATAGCAACACTATCATACTACTTACCTTACAACAACTACAAATAGCAACACCATCATACTACTTACCTTACAACAACTACAAATAGCAACACTATCATACTACTTACCTTACAACAACTACAAATAGCAACACTATCATACTACTTACCTTACAACAACTACAAATAGCAACACTATCATACTACTTACCTTACAACAACTACAAATAGCAACACTATCATACTACTTACCTTACAACAACTACAAATAGCAACACTATCATACTACTTACCTTACAACAACTACAAATAGCAACACTATCATACTACTTACCTTACAACAACTACAAATAGCAACACTATCATACTACTTACCTTACAACAACTACAAATAGCAACACTATCATACTACTTACCTTACAACAACTACAAATAGCAACACTATCATACTACTTACCTTACAACAACTACAAATAGCAACACTATCATACTACTTACCTTACAACAACTACAAATAGCAACACTATCATACTACTTACCTTACAACAACTACAAATAGCAACACTATCATACTACTTACCTTACAACAACTACAAATAGCAACACTATCATACTACTTACCTTACAACAACTACAAATAGCAACACTATCATACTACTTACCTTACAACAACTACAAATAGCAACACTATCATACTACTTACCTTACAACAACTACAAATAGCAACACTATCATACTACTTACCTTACAACCTTCACAAGTGGCAAGACCATAATGTACTCCAGTGGCTCTGTCATTACAGATGCGACAGTCTCCAAACGGGAATGGTACAGCTCCTGGTGGCATCGTCACGGTAACCGGTAACCCACCAAGCCAGATGTCTTTATTCAGATTAACACGCTACCTAGCATGATAAACACATGAACACATCTTACTGTTCATAACAATTGCAATAGATGTACATGAACAAGGCTTTACATATGTATTGGTGTGTATTGGTTGTATCACTACATGTGTATCGGTTGTATGACTGTATGTGTATTGGTTGTATGACTGTGTATTGGTTGTATGACTGTATGTGTATTGGTTGTATCACGACATGTGTATTGGTTGTATGACTGTATGTGTATTGGTTGTATGACTGTATGTGTATTGGTTGTATCACGACATGTGTATTGGTTGTATCACGACATGTGTATTGGTTGTATGACTGTATGTGTATTGGTTGTATCACTGCATGTGTATTGGTTGTATCACTACATGTGTATTGGTTGTATGACTGTATGTGTATTGGTTGTATGACTGTATGTGTATTGGTTGTATCACTGCATGTGTATTGGTTGTATCACTACATGTGTATCGGTTGTATGACTGTATGTGTATTGGTTGTATGACTGTATGTGTATTGGTTGTATCACGACATGTGTATTGGTTGTATCACGACATGTGTATTGGTTGTATCACGACATGTGTATTGGTTGTATGACTGTATGTGTATTGGTTGTATCACTGCATGTGTATTGGTTGTATCACTACATGTGTATTGGTTGTATGACTGTATGTGTATTGGTTGTATGACTGTATGTGTATTGGTTGTATCACTGCATGTGTATTGGTTGTATCACTACATGTGTATCGGTTGTATGACTGTATGTGTATTGGTTGTATGACTGTATGTGTATTGGTTGTATCACTGCATGTGTATTGGTTGTATGACTGTATGTGTATTGGTTGTATCACTGCATGTGTATTGGTTGTATGACTGCATGTGTATTGGTTGTATCACTGCATGTGTATTGGTTGTATGACTGTATGTGTATTGGTTGTATGAATGTATGTGTATTGGTTGTATCACTGCATGTGTATTGGTTGTATCACTACATGTGTATTGGTTGTATGACTGTATGTGTATTGGTTGTATGAATGTATGTGTATTGGTTGTATCACTGCATGTGTATTGGTTGTATCACTACATGTGTATTGGTTGTATGACTGTATGTGTATTGGTTGTATCACGACATGTGTATTGGTTGTATCACGACATGTGTATTGGTTGTATCACGACATGTGTATTGGTTGTATGACTGTATGTGTATTGGTTGTATCACTGCATGTGTATTGGTTGTATCACTACATGTGTATTGGTTGTATCACTACATGTGTTTTGGTTGTATCAGTGTATGTGTATTGGTTGTATCACTACATGTGTATTGGTTGTATCAGTGTATGTATATTGGCTCTATCACTACATGTGTATTGGTTGTATCACTACATGTGTTTTGGTTGTATCAGTGTATGTGTATTGGTTGTATCACTACATGTATATTGGTTGTATCAGTGTATGTATTGGTAGTAGCACTACATGTGTATTGGTTGTATCAGTGTATGTATTGGTAGTGTCACTACATGTGTATTGGTTGTATCACTACATGTGTATTGGTTGTATCAGTGTATGTATATTGGTTGTATCACTACATGTGTATTGGTTGTATCAGTGTATGTATTGGTTGTATCACTACATGTGTATTGGTTGTATCAGTGTATGTATATTGGTTGTATCACTACATGTGTATTGGTTGTATCAGTGTATGTATTGGTAGTAGCACCACATGTGTATTGGTTGTATCAGTGTATGTATTGGTAGTGTCACTACATGTGTATTGGTTGTATCACTACATGTGTATTGGTTGTATCAGTGTATGTATATTGGTTGTATCACTACATGTGTATTGGTTGTATCAGTGTATGTATTGGTAGTAGCACCACATGTGTATTGGTTGTATCAGTGTATGTATTGGTAGTGTCACTACATGTGTATTGGTTGTATCAGTGTATGTATTGGTAGTGTCACTACATGTGTATTGGTTGTATCACTACATGTGTATTGGTTGTATCACTGCATGTGTATTGGTTGTATCAGTGTATGTATTGGTAGTGTCACTACATGTGTATTGGTTGTATCACTACATGTGTATTGGTTGTATCAGTGTATGTATATTGGCTCTATCACCACATGTGTATTGGTTGTATCACTACATGTGTTTTGGTTGTATCAGTGTATATGTATTGGTTGTATCACTACATGTATATTGGTTGTATCAGTGTATGTATTGGTAGTAGCCCTACATGTGTATTGGTTGTATCAGTGTATGTATTGGTAGCGTCACTACATGTGTATTGGTTGTATCACTACATGTGTATTGGTTGACATGGAAAATAATAATCAGAATTTGCTCTTTTTTCTATTTTCTATAAGCTGATGGTATATTGCACCCAAAGGGTATTTCTTAAACAAGGACCCACTGAAGATGATATATGTTAAACATGGGAGTGAAAATAAAGTTTGCTGTTGTTTTGAAACTGAAAGATGGTATATATGCACAACAGTATTGTTACTGGAATCGTCAGGTTAGCAATGCTTAAAGCTGTGTTGCAGGCTCTCCTCCCACATTAAACCATTCATGTTATATTTTATACCAGCTGACCTGTGGTGGAGGAGAAAACCTTTAAAAAAATTGAATTGCCCTTTCTTTTCTTATCTACCGACAGGTATTTTCCTGTAAAACAGTTGTATAGCAAGTTAAAAAAAAGTGTCACCTGGAGTCCAAACTTTAAATTTGTGCCGCTAGCCTAAGATCATGGAGCCTCCTTTCGACAACAGTTCATTTTGTCTACAGTTCATTTCTTCTACAGTCACTTCGACAACAGTTCATTTCTTCTACAGTCACTTCGACAACAGTTCATTTCGTATACAGTTCATTTCGTATGCAGTTCATTTCTTCTACAGTCAGTTCCACAACAGTTCATTTCATCTACAGTTCATTTCGTCAACAGTCAGTTCGACAACAGTTCATTTCGTCTACAGTCAGTTCGACAACAGTTTATTCCATCTACAGTTCATTTCATCTACAGTTCGTTTCGCCTACAGTTTATTTCATCTACAGTCAGTTCAACTACAGTTCATTTCATCTACAGTAAGTTCAACTACAGTTTATTTTATCTACAGTTCATTTCATCTACAGTTCATTTCTTCTACAGTCAGTTCGACTACAGTTCATTTCATCTACAGTTCATTTCATCTACAGTCAGTTCGACTACAGTTCATTTCTTCTACAGTTCATTTCATCTACAATCAGTTCGACTACAGTTCATTTCATCTACAGTCAGTTCGACTACAGTTCATTTCATCTACAGTTCATTTCGTCTACAGTTCATTTCATCTACAGTCAGTTCAACTACAGTTTATTTTATCTACAGTTCATTTCATCTACAGTTCATTTCGTCTACAGTTCATTTCATCTACAGTCAGTTCGACTACAGTTCATTTCATCTACAGTCAGTTCAACTACAGTTCATTTCATCTACAGTCAGTTCGACTACAGTTCATTTCATCTACAGTCAGTTCGACTACAGTTCATTTCATCTACAGTTCATTTCATCTACAGTTCATTTCATCTACAGTTCATTTCGTCTACAGTTCATTTCGTCTACAGTTCATTTCGTCTACAGTTCATTTCATCTACAGTCAGTTCAACTACAGTTTATTTTATCTACAGTTCATTTCATCTACAGTTCATTTCGTCTACAGTTCATTTCATCTACAGTCAGTTCAACTACAGTTCATTTCATCTACAGTCAGTTCAACTACAGTTCATTTCATCTACAGTCAGTTCGACTACAGTTCATTTCATCTACAGTCAGTTCGACTACAGTTCATTTCATCTACAGTTCATTTCATCTACAGTTCATTTCGTCTACAGTCAGTTCAACTACAGTTCATTTCATCTACAGTCAGTTCAACTACAGTTCATTTCATCTACAGTCAGTTCGACTACAGTTCATTTCATCTACAGTCAGTTCGACTACAGTTCATTTCATCTACAGTCAGTTCGACTACAGTTCATTTCATCTACAGTTCATTTCATCTACAGTTCATTTCATCTACAGTTCATTTCATCTACAGTTCATTTCATCTACAGTCAGTTCAACTACAGTTCATTTCATCTACAGTCAGTTCAACTACAGTTCATTTCATCTACAGTCAGTTCAACTACAGTTCATTTCGTCAACAGTTCATTTCATCTACAGTCAGTTCGACTACAGTTCATTTCATCTACAGTCAGTTCAACTACAGTTCATTTCGTCAACAGTTCATTTCATCTACAGTTCATTTCGTCTACAGTTCATTTCATCTACAGTCAGTTCAACTACAGTTCATTTCATCTACAGTCAGTTCAACTACAGTTCATTTCATCTACAGTCAGTTCGACTACAGTTCATTTCATCTACAGTCAGTTTGACTACAGTTCATTTCATCTACAGTCAGTTCGACTACAGTTCATTTCATCTACAGTTCATTTCATCTACAGTTCATTTCATCTACAGTTCATTTCATCTACAGTTCATTTCGTCAACAGTTCATTTCATCTACAGTTCATTTAATCTACAGTCAGTTCGACTACAGTTCATTTCGTCTACAGTTATTTCGTCAACAATTCATTTCGTCTACAGTTCATTTCATCTACAGTGAGTTCAACTACAGTTCATTTCATCTACAGTTCATTTCGTCTACAGTTCATTTTATCTACAGTTCATTTCATCTACAGTTCATTTCATCTACAGTCAGTTCGACTACAGTTCATTTCGTCAACAGTTCATTTCATCTACAGTTCATTTCGTCAACAGTTCATTTCATCTACAGTTCATTTCGTCAACAGTTCATTTCGTCAACAGTTCATTTCATCTACAGTTCATTTCGTCAACAGTTCATTTCATCTACAGTTCATTTCGTCAACAGTTCATTTCGTCAACAGTTCATTTCATCTACAGTTCATTTCGTCAACAGTTCATTTCGTCAACAGTTCATTTCATCTACAGTTCATTTCGTCAACAGTTCATTTCGTCAACAGTTCATTTCATCTACAGTTCATTTCGTCAACAGTTCATTTAATCTACTTTATTTCATCTACAGTTTATTTCAACTACAGTCAGTTCAACTACAGTTTATTTCAACTACAGTTTATTTCATCTACAGTTTATTTCAACTACAGTCAGTTCAACTACAGTTTATTTCAACTACAGTCAGTTCAACTACAGTAATTGTGGTGAGATGGGATGATTCCACTACACTCAGTAAACATCATCCCTCACTTTAAAATGGACAGGCCCAAGCTCCACAATACTTGAAAACAACCTTAATACAATTATATTTTGAAATCAAACTGAATAATCAAAAATCTCCTGCTCAGCAGTAGCTTAGAAGTAAACAAGGGAAACCACTCTTTGACTAAAACAAAATATTAGTTAGAAGCTTAGCTTGCCGGCCTGAGTTGTCTCCCATGTGTTTTGCAGTTTTTTTAGTTTGAAACATGAAACTACTGATCATGCCAAAGGTGTGGCTTACTAACAACAAAATAATTATTCATTTGCACCTCAGTTCAGACAAGGGTTAACTAACTTCCTTCCATTGAGTAAACAATTTTTTTTTAAAAACTGCAAAGTCAATTAATTATCAGATGTTTTTGTATAGTAACCTACTATAACTGAAGGTAGATAAGTGTTCTTTTCACAACTTGATTGAAATGTTGAACAGTACAGAACTCTTATAAGTGTTATTTTTCAGAAATATATTGATATTACCGTATTCGACATAATAAGCGCCCAGGGCGCTCTCAAAATTAGAAATAGGGGGCTCTTATTAGAATATTATTTTGGTGAAAAACAACAGAGTTCAATTTCGTGGTTTATGCTGAAATGTTTATATACGACAGATATATTTTCCAGAATTTGATTGCCCATAATTAAGGGTGCATATAACAAAAGTATTATGCACGAATAAACAGTCTTGTGTACATTTAGCAATCGGAAGGGGTGCTAATTGGGATTGTTCATTAGCCAATATATTAGCAAATATTGCCCTGGGCGCTTATTACGTCAATACGGTATATTATAGCGCTTGTTCATCAGATGGTGCAGTACAGAAAAATTATTTCTCAGAAATATTTTTTTGAAATGTTAGATATTAGGAACGTTGCTTGTTAAATCATTTCAAATATCTGATTCTTCTTTCTGCTATCCTACTGGTCTATGTTTCTGAAGGGGTCAGCTTATTACCCCTCTATTCAATGGTGCATAACTTTGAACCTTGTTTTGATAACATTTTAGAATAAACCAACTGAAGACAAAACTAGAGTATCTTTGAAAAAGAATACCAACATATATGACCAAGTATTTCACATTAGAGTATCAGGTGGCCTTTGGTCACCGGTCATCGACTGATAAACTTCCAATTTGAAAGACGATTTGTTTAAGTTGTCAGACTTTTTGACTGATAGAAAAACTGACCAAGACATCACACGTTACATACCATATTCGACGTAATAAGCGCCCGGGGCACCCTCAAAATTAGAAATAGGGGGCTCTTATTAGAATGGTATTTTGGTGGGAAAAAAACAGAGTTGGGAGATAAATTTCGTGGTTTATGCTGACAGCCTGAAATGTTTGTATACGACAGATATATTTTTCCAGAATTTAATTGCTCATAATTAAGGGTGCATATAACACACGAGTGCGTATTATACACGAATAAATAAGTCTTGTGTACATTGATAAAATCAGAAAGGGTGCTAATTGGGATTGTTCACAAGCCAATATATTGATAAATATCGCCGTGGGCGCTTATTAGAGCGGGGCGCTTATTACGTGGAATATGGTAATTACATAATTATACAGTAAATAGTAAGGATTAGTCCTACATACAGTATCAATTTCATAAAACAATGCAAAGCCATCAAAACTTGTTATGAAATTCTGAGCAGCACGTCTTTGAATCATACTTTCTGTATCATAGGGAAACACTGTCCGCTGTAGTGACCTAGTCCAGTGTTTTTCTTATTGCAATGGTTATGGGCCTGATTAGGGCTGGGACGGGTTAATCGGGTACCCCGGGTCGGTTGGGTACTGAGTAGGACCCGGGTACCCGCTGGACTACCCGGACCCGTGGTTAGTCACGTGATATACTGTTTAATGACAAAAATTATCTGGAACTCTATGGTTATACTACAAGTCACTAATGTTCTCATTTCTTTCTGACTATGAAACCATTTCTTCTGACTTTTCATATGGTTGAATAAAGATATAACTTAAGTCAACTTCAGTGTATGCATGGCCAGCTCATTTTAAACCTGTATCTAAATACATGTTGCCAGGAGTACGGTCAAGCGTTTCCGAATCAGACATTTTGTACCTATCTCTTGAGACCTACAGTGGGTACCCGGGTAGGGTCGGGTAATAGTGGGGGTGGGTACCCGGGTAGACTATTTGGACTCGTCCCAGCCCTACTTACGAAAGCCTCACTACCACATCTCACCACAGGGTTGTCAAATAACATATATCTGTAAAACATATGTAAGCATCAAAATGAAAACCAGTATTTTCTCGTCGTTTGACTGACCCGGAATATACGTGCAATAACCTTAGCGCCCTACATACTCCGCCTAGCTGTTTTCATAATGGCTACACTGAGTACAAAGTAGGATATTATTGTGTCATTTTGCCCTACTTTCTCGTTGGCGAAACATGTCTCCCTTTCGTCGCTTACCTTCACAATCAGCTGTCAATCACGGAAACGCTAAAAAGGAATAAGTGTGGGTTCGTCCTGCTGCTTTAGAAGAGATAGCAGTAGCGTCCTTCCAAACTGACAGTGTCATTAAATCTTGACAATCTTGACCGCAACGTGCAAGATCGCGACCTACTTGTTGATTGCATGTAAGTCAAACCTGCCGCACGCGCGTCATCGATCGACCGGGTGTATCGTAGCCTTGGCAACGTACTAAGTCTGCGATATCATTATAACAGGTGTTTATTTCACCGCGGTGCGTGATTTCACGTGTAACTGACACCTTACCTGTCTGAGGATGCGACAATCATTGTCATGGCCGATATCGCCAGATGTTAAGATCCACAACTCAAAGTGCATCAATACATCGTCACACAATGTCTGTCATGTGTATGCGTCGCGTTCGTGCTTATATTTATTTTAATTTGATATCATGTGGGTGTCATTGTCAAATTATTCCAATAACCACATTCTACGTCTTGCCACCTGTCTTCTTACACTGAGCTAGAAAATAGGCTAATATTGGTTAACGAATGTTGTGCTCCGTACATCGTCTTTAGGATGCGCAGTCCAAGGCAAAGTAATGTAAATACATTAAAACACTGTGTTTGGGGCGCCGCGTTAAGGTGGTGAGCGAACACTCTCACGCACATGGCACTCCACAGAGCGTTTTAATTTAAGTAGAAAATGATTTGCTTGTTAAAAGAGGAACCTAACTGATAGGGGTCAGAGGTTAAACAGAGCTAGAACTTGAATCTAACCTGTACTGTGGTTATAATATAGTTGTAAGTTTCGCCACGGAGTCTACGAAAATTCTTTAAAATAATTGTTTGGTGGTTTTTTTTCAAAAGAACCTTTCTTTTGCTGTTTTCATGTGAAATCAAGGAAACTAGACATGGACTTGCCAAGGCTTTTAGTAAATATATATCCAAATTCTTGGCATGGAACTAAATGTCGCCTAGAAATTCCTTCATTTCTGTGATAAGGAGTGTGTGGAAATGACAATGGTTGAAGTTGTTACAGAAACCTCATAAAATTCTTCTCATTAACAAAATAAGTTACGCATTATTTCTCCAGCGGTCCCTACTCGTACGTTAATGTTCTTGGAAGAAGTGGCTGTACAAACGTCTCCCTCTTGTTATTGTGACGAAATGTCTTAATTGAATATAAATGCTGCAATTCAAAATGGGTCTTTTTGAAATAATACCTGAGATGTGTGAGATATATATATATATGACACATTAAAGTTGACATTCAACAAATTGACAATGCCAAGGTCCCGCATAATACAATTGTATTCCTAACATATGATACTTACGCTACGGAAACGCACTCGGCAAAAATATTCTCTTTATTATGCCTCAAAGTAAGATTGACCAATCAGAGAGCTACCCCATATGAACCCTGCCTCTGACGTATATATTACGTCTCCTATAAAGTCAGTGACAACCATCTTGGATTTTTACATGACAGTATACGGATTTCCAGCACCCACCTCACATATTTCACCTCCACCCACCCACCCCACCCAATAGGTCTTCAGCAACTAAAGGCGACTAACGGGATCGGGTGGTCAGGCTCGCTTACTTGATTGATAAATGTCACCGTATCCCAATTGCGTGGATTGATGCCCATTGCATTAATCACTGGATTGTCTGGTCCAGACTCGCTTATTTACAGACCGCCGTCATATAGCTGGAATATCATTGAGCACGGCGTTAAACAACAAACAAACAAATACAACGGTTTGTTATAAAAGAATGTTAAAATATGAAACTATTAGATTGTACTGAATTATATACAAAGTTGACCTTAAGCCCCGACCACGTGGCAATGTACGGTTAATCCAACTGTAAAATCGTGTTGTTGTTTTTTCAAAATTTAAAGTGAGGAAGGAAAAAATAAATTGATAATGAGGGACAACTCCTGCCCTTCTCCATCTCCTGGTAGAGCGGCAGGGAACAGCATCGTCTTTTGGTTGCAACATTCGTTCTCCTCGCCAAATACCTGGGTTCGATGCCCCACATGGGTGCAGTGTGTGACTGGGTACAATGTCCTTTCATTGAACACTGCTTGGAGTGATGCTAACATCAGCTCATAACTCACTTATTTACTATAGAAAAGGGAGGGGTGGGTACGACTCTCCGTTACGGTAATTTTGTTACGATCACATTAGCGCTATGACTCTCCGTTACGGTAATTTTGTTACGATCACATTAGCGCTACGACTCTCCGTTACGGTAATTTTGTTACGATCACCTTAGCGCTACGACTCTCCGTTACGGTTATTTTGTTACGATCACCTTAGCGCTATGACTCTCCGTTACGGTTATTTTGTTACGATCACCTTAGCGCTATGACTCTCCGTTACGGTAATTTTGTTACGATCACCTTAGCGCTACGACTCTCCGTTACGGTAATTTTGTTACGACCACCTTAGCGCTACGACTCTCCGTTACAGTAAGTTCGTTACGATCACCTGAGCGCTACGACTCTCCGTTACGGTAATTTTGTTACGATCACCTTAGCGCTACGAATCTCCGTTACGGTAATTTTGTTACGATCACCTTAGCGCTACGACTCTTCGTTACGGTTATTTTGTTACGACCACCTAAGCGCTACGACTCTCCGTTACAGTGGACCCGTGAAGATTCTTGGGTAGAATAGGTCTTCAGCAACCCATTCTTGCCGTAAAAGGTGACTATGCTTGTCGTAAAAGGCGACTAACGGGATCGGGTGGTCAGGCTCGCTGACTTGGTTGATGCATGTCATCGATCCCAATTGCGTGGATCGATGCTCATGACATTAATCACTGGATTGTCTGGTCCAGACTCGATTATTTACAGACCGCCGTCATATAGCGAGGAAGGAAAAAATAAATTGATAAAGAGGGACAACTCCTGCCCTACTCCATCTCCTGCCATGATAGAGCGACAGGGAACAGCATCGTCTTTTGGTTGCAACATTCGTTCTCCTCGCCAAATATCTGGGTTCGATGCCCCACATGGGTGCAGTGTGTGACTGGGTACAATGTCCTTTCATTGAACACTGCTTGGAGTGATGCTAACATCAGCTCATAACTCACTTATTTACTATAGAAAAGGGAGGGGTGGGTACGACTCTCCGTTACGGTAATTTTGTTACGATCACATTAGCGCTATGACTCTCCGTTTCGGTAATTTTGTTACGATCACATTAGCGCTACGACTCTCCGTTACGGTAATTTTGTTACGATCACCTTAGCGCTATGACTCTCCGTTACGGTAATTTTGTTACGATCACCTTAGCGCTACGACTCTCCGTTACGGTTATTTTGTTACGATCACCTTAGCGCTGCGACTCTCCGTTACGGTAATTTTGTTACGATCACCTGAGCGCTACGACTCTCCGTTACGGTTATTTTGTTACGACCACCTAAGCGCTACCACTCTCCGTTACAGTGAGTTCGTTACGATCGCCTTAGCGCTACGACTCTCCGTTACGGTAATTTTGTTACGACCACCTTAGCGCTACGACTCTCCGTTACAGTGGACCCGTGAAGATTCTTGGGTAGAATAGGTCTTCAGCAACCCATTCTTGCCGTAAAAGGTGACTATGCTTGTCGTAAAAGGCGACTAACGGGATCGGGTGGTCAGGCTCGCTGACTTGGTTGATGCATGTCATCGATCCCAATTGCGTGGATCGATGCTCATGACATTAATCACTGGATTGTCTGGTCCAGACTCGATTATTTACAGACCGCCGTCATATAGCGAGGAAGGAAAAAATAAATTGATAAAGAGGGACAACTCCTGCCCTACTCCATCTCCTGCCATGATAGAGCGACAGGGAACAGCATCGTCTTTTGGGTTGCAACATTCGTTCTCCTCGCCAAATATCTGGGTTCGATGCCCCACATGGGTGCAGTGTGTGACTGGGTACAATGTCCTTTCATTGAACACTGCTTGGAGTAATGCTAACATCAGCTCATAACTCACTTATTTGCTATAGAAAAGGGGGGGGGGGGGGGGGGGGGGGTAGCCTAGTGGTTAAAGCGTTCGCTCATCATGCCGATGAACCGGGTTGGATTCCCCACATGGGTACAATGTGTGAAGCCAATTACTGGTGTCCCCCGCTTGAATATTGCTAAAAGCGGCGTAAAACCATTCCCACTCACTAGAAATGGGAATAATATAGTGAATGTTGTTTTCTGTCGTCGCTTTCATGCCAGCAATATAACAGCTGACTGTAGAATATGACTGAGTATAGGAAAGGTAGCATCACTCATTGGAAGTACGCGATCCTCATCAGACCTTTACGTCCCTGCCTCCGTGGCCTAGTAGATAGTGCGTCTGCTAGGAGTGCTGAAGATGGTGGTTTGCTCCCATGACCACGTCCCCCTGAAGATCGGGTTATAATTGGTCTTCAGAAACCCATAGTCATCAAAAGGAGAGATCTGGTGGTCAGGCCCGCTGACTTGGTTGATGCATGTCATCTCCTAATTGCGTAGGTCTATGGTCATCATGTCAATCACTGGATTGTCTGGTCCAATCGATTATTTACAAACCGACGTCATATAGCTGGAATATTGCTTTGCTTGGCGTTGAACAACAAACAAACATTCCAAAATAGTGACGTTAAATGATGATTGTGTTGGGCAAAAAAGTGTCTGAACGAAATATACGCCTGGGCGTTTAGTTGAGGAAATACGGCAATCAGGGCGAATCTGGGAATCGAACCCACGAACATATTGGTTCCAGTCACGCCTAAGGGGCACAACTCTGCACAGCGAAATGAGTCGTACGTGACTAGATCGCCCCTACTTCCTATAGTTATTCTCGTTGTGTTTATTGCAGAGGTGAGGTGAAATTGGGTTTAACGTCGCATCCAAGATTATTGCACTTATATAGCGATGTGCATGCACGTGTGTGTGTGGCTGCTTGTACTGGTCCGAACTGATACCGATTTATTATGCTAGATCAGTTGATGCCGCAGTTTAACGAATACCCCACTCAGACACAGTATACTGACTCCGGGCCGACCAGTCCCTGTTTCAGCCCCTTAATGCCGAGCGCCAGACAGGGTAAGAACAAGTACCATCTTTTAACGTCTTTTGGTATGACGCGGCCGGTGATCGACCCCCGGACCTTCCGCTCTCCGGACGGACGCTCTACCACTAGACCACGGAGGCTGTCGTTTATTGCAGAACATGCTCGCGACAGTTTGAAGACATTATGTTGGATGGGTGAGTCATGATAGATGATAATGCATACCGTATTTCCTATTTTAGACGCCGGATCGCCAATACACACTGTCCTCTAATTGAGGCTCATACGCTCTTTCACAAACATAGACAACGGATTCTCTAATACTGTTAGATGTTGGTGGTCAACAATCACGGCTTCCTACAAATGTACCACTTGTATGGCTGTAGAATTTTGGATTTGGTAAGGTAGTGAGTTGCCACAGTTCCAGCATAAACGGAAGCCCCTCCGGGTCAAGGGCTTTTGCAAGATTATTTGACGCCAGGGCGTCTAATAGAGGAAATACGATATTTATATTTCGCCGTGTACATAACGCCAAACGGTTATTCTCGGTCAGTGAAACTGTCTGCAGTCAGATTTCTTTCTCATCTTACAGAGAAGTACACAACCAAGGCTGTCTATTAGAGGACACTAGCAGTTTTACATCCACATGACATCTCATCCTATCGGGTACCCATCACGGCGCAGTACAGTTGATGACTGTCAGCTAAATATGACCCCTCTGCTTCCTATGTTGGGTTGGGCCATGAACTTTTCAAGTCAATGACTTAGGAAGTACAACTATCTCTGTGCTAATCAAAGATCCGTCAATACGATATTGGCTACGTGTCAGTGTCACAGGAAGTTCATTACGATCACCTTAGCTACGACTCTCCGTTACAGTGAGTTCGTTACGATCACCTTAGCGCTACGTCTCTCCGTTACAGTAAGTTCGTTACGATCACCTTAGCGCTACGACTCTCCGTTACGGTAATTTTGTTACGATCACCTTAGCGCTACGACTCTCCGTTACGGTTATTTTGTTACGATCACCTTAGCGCTATGACTCTCCGTTACGGTAATTTTGTTACGACCACCTTAGCGCTACGACTCTCCGTTACAGCGGACCCGTGAAGATTCTTGGGTAGAATAGGTCTTCAGCAACCCATTCTTGCCGCAAAAGGTGACTATGCTTGTCGTAAAAGGCGACTAACGGGATCGGGTGGTCAGGCTCGCTGACTTGGTTGATGCATGTCATCGACCCCAATTGCTTGGATCGATGCTCATGACATTAATCACTGGATTGTCTGGTCCAGACTCGATTATTTACAGACCGACGTCATATAGCTGGAATATTGCTGAGTGCGGCGTTAAACAACAAACAAACAAACCATTACAGTGAGTTCGTTACGATCACCTTAGCGCTACGACTCTCCGTTACAATAGGTTCGTTACGATCACCTTAGCGCTACGACTCTCCGTTACAGTGAGTTCGTTACGATAACCTTAGCGCTACGACTCTCCGTTACAATAAGTTCGTTACGATCACCTTAGCGCTACGACTCTCCGTTACAGTGAGTTCGTTACGATCACCTTAGCGCTACGACTCTCCGTTACAGTAAGTTTGTTGCGATCACCTTGGCGCCATGATTCTCCGTTACAGTAAGTTCGTTGCGATCACATCAGCTCTAATGCTGTTTTGTGAAAGTAATCTTTACGCAACAATTTTCGTAAGTCTGTGTTCAGGTACACGTGTTACGATCGTCTTAGCTCAGCGATAGCTTTACGGGAGGGGCTCTGGGAACGTAGGGCGAAGATGCCATACGGTAGCATAGACTTACGACAGTCGACTGGCTCATGTCGCTGTGTGGAGGGCCCTTTGCTACTATACGGGGAGATATTCGCTACGATTGTTATACACATGATACGTCAACGCCAGAATAGTCTGTATTCAAATATGAGAGTAAATATCCCCATTCCATTGTGGTCAGACTGATGTGTTTAGTCTTCTCTAGCTGGAGACACTGCACAAGTTTGACTATGTCTCGGCCCTGTTCAGCCATAAGGTACCAGTGTGTCCATGAATTGTGGAGTGTGTGGACTGAACTACAGTAAAGTTAGATTGTGACTGAATTATAGTAAACATAGTTTGTGTGACTGAATTATAGGAAAGATAGTGTGCGACTGAATTATAGGAAAGTTATAATAGTGTGTGACTGAATTAAAGTAAACATAGTTTGTGTGACTGAATTATAGGAAAGATAGTGTGTGACTGAATTATAGTAAAATTATAACAGTGTGTGACAGAATAATAGTAAAGATATAATAGTGTGTGTGACAGAATAATAGTGAAGTTATAATAGTGTGTGTGACAGAATAATGGTGAAGTTTGTGCGTAATGCTTGGACCTGCTCTAACCCAGACTGGGGCGGTCGGGTAGCCTAGTGGTTTAAGCGTTCGCTCGTCATGCCGAAGACCCGGGTTCGATTCCCGACATGGGTACAATGTGTGAAGGCCATTTCTGGTGTCCCCCGCCGTGATATTGCTGGAATATTGCTAAAAGCGGCGTAAATCATACTCACTCACTCACTCTAACCCAGACTACCACACAGTTGTATCATGTGTGAAATATGATACCCATACACCTTTCATCAAGAGTCACCTTCATTGGAAATGCAAAGTAGTAGCCACAGAAACTCAATGTTGGAAACTAATAGCAAAAGGCTCAACTACAGTTAAGTGTGAACAGAGGTATCAAGTTTTGAAAGTGTAGTTCATTTAGTTTTCCTCCTTTCACGACTTCAGGCCGGATGGATGGAAGGTATACGTTTCAATATCCCACTTCCTTGTGGGGGAGGAAAATATGAGCATAACAAGGGGACATAACTCCCACAACAGCTTCTTTTGAGGGGTGTAAATGTTTGTGTTTGTTGTTCAACGCCACACTCAGCAATATTCCAGCTATGTGACATCAGCCTGTAAATAATCAAGTCTGGACCAGATAATCGCCTTTGAAGGTAAAAAATAACAAATAAAATTAAAAAATATTATTGTTTTATTTCAATCAGTAAAAATTGTATCAAAATATTATTGTATCATAACCTGACATTGTTACAGTGAAAACATCCAAAGTCAATGGAGACCCATCTTCATCACAGGCGAAGGGGGATGGCAATCAGGAGGGAAGGTGGGGCACCTAAACTTGTGCCAGGGTCAAGATTGGGGAGGGGGGGCTCACAGAGGAAGAGTACTTCGTTTTCAATATTCCCAAAACGTGTATTGATAACAGTATTGAAGACAACTTTCACAGTATTTCTTTAAGAGAATTGATCCTACTGGACAGACCTTGGAATGGGTCACATACAGACAGAGGGTCCATGAACCTACAATAATGAGGTTCCTCAGTCAGCCCTGATTATCTCCCCTTGTTCTACAGTTGAGTGGCACATCAACAATTTAAGTCTGGGTCTTGTTACTGGAATGTTTATTTCATCACAGCCACAGGTCAAACACATGCATCTTTGATAAAAATGAACTCTGCAGTCTGCAACCTCAGCTACAAGTCCGAAGCCCAAGAATAGTCAAATTTCTTCAGGTTTAGTAAAATAAGACCATAGTAGTCCATGTACAAAGACTAAAACCTACTGAAAACAAGTATTTGTCACAGAGTGACGAAATATCCCCCGCCTGTACACCATAGTTCCAAATATGAAGACAATCCAGTGTTTAGTTCTTGAGGTATCGCGGCAACACCGTTTTCCAACTCCAAAAGCAGATTTGCCTGCTGTGACCTTGAAAATGGGATCAAGGTCACCAAAACCGACTGGTGTCTGCGGAGTCTGTATATACACCATAGTTCCAAATATGAAGACAATCCAGTGTTTAGTTCTTGAGATATCGCGGCAACAAACAGGTGGGACGTACGGACGGACGTACGGACGTACGTACGGACGGTCGTGAATACTATATCCCCCGCTTCGCGCTTTCGCGCGGCGGGGGATAATTACACCTAAATGCAAGTTAGGGCTAGAAGGCTTCAAAGTTATTGGCACAGTGTGTTATTAGTCCCAGGACTCTGAAAGGGACATATTCATGATATTTGATGAATTGGCCATGTCATCTGTACAGTAAAAACTCAATCAATGAAGATAACAGAATTTCTGCAAACATGAATGATATGTTCATCTTCTTGTCAGGAGCTCCCTTTCTTCCTGAGGCAAGGGAGATATCTGACTGCAAAAGTCCAGTTCCCACCTTGCTGAACTAGGCTGGAATTTCGTGGCTCCATCGTAGCGCCACTAGTGGCTGTTTTGAATTATGTCCCTTATATGTCCCTCCTATTGACCAATCAGATTCCACTTATCATATTACTTCCATTTGCTTCAAACAAAATGGCGGCCCCAAGTTATGACGATATGATCGATAATCAAGACTCATGTCATAAAACAGGTCTTACATCGTGGAGTGTATCAAATTACTTGACCACCTTGATTAAAAACATTAACTGATTTGGAAAATATCTGTCAATGCCAAGTTGACGGTACAAGTTTTGCAAATCCTGCAATCGACCTAAATCTACATGCAAGTTTAAGAACTGGATGTCGATTTTGTTACGCGGTTTTGATTGCGCTATGCACAGACTCGTTAGCCCTGCCGTAACTCAGACATTCAGTTCAGCAAGGGTGAAAACTTGACTTCTATGGTGAGTTACCTCCCTTGCCTCGGGAAGATGTCTTAGTACCATATTGTACAAGTTACAAGAATCGACTTGTTTGAGAAACACAGAAAAACATGTGATCCCGTGAACAAAGTAAACAAACTAGCTTCAGAACACACCCCTGGTAGGGAGCAGACCAATGTTGGATATCAGTTCTTGAAAAAGTAAGCTAGGACACCTCCACAATGTAGGAACTAGGCCGCACCCACCAATTTCTGATGGTAAAAATCTTCAAAACAAAACATTGTCTGGCCTCACTGCCCAAATTACAAAAAGTCAGCTGGGTTATTTTTTCAAATGCTACATAAAAACATGAATGTCACTTTGGCACATGAATGTCACAAAAGCATTAAAAAGGTACATGTATTCATTACAAAATCAGCCAATGATCAAGGCACAATATTTGAACGCAAATCAACGTAAATGAATCTACCTTAATACTAACAAAGCTACTGAGAATAAACAAAATTTAAAACTTACACAAAACTCTCAGATAAATTGCTTATTACAGTCAAACACCATTGTGTCGAAGGGCCCTACGTAAATACTTCGAGTTATCCGAGGTTCGAAACAAATGACAATGATGATGAAAGAAGGAACGGGGAGGGTCCAAACTTTTACTTCCAGACAACCCCATGTGTGACACAACGTGTTGGACTGTATATGTAGTACTTTCATCCGGACAAAGCCAATGGGTAGAAATGGTAACTTTCGGGGTCATTTGGATAAATATGCAAATAGAAAGGGGCAGGTAGGTACTACTTTCAGTATTTACAAACAATGTCCTGCCCTTGTCTTTGTGTAATGGCAATCATGAAAGAATAAACCATCGGCCATCTTGACAAATTACTTGGATAATTGATGACAGTTCAAATCGGAAGTTATTTAGTAGACAGTTTTATCACTGGCCTTGTGAAGTAACATATTAATTCACACTTTCCAGAAAAAAACTTTTAATGTTCAGGTACCGTTTGTGAGAGATGAGAAAACTTTTTTCTGCGAAAGAACTAAGAATGATATTACATGACAAAGAGGTTACCATGCTTGTGTATTTTGGTGTGAGTGAGTGAGTTGGGTTTAACACAGCTTTTAACAGTATTCCAGTTATATCATACGTGTCAGCTTAATGTGGGAGGAAAGGCCAAAGTGATGCAGGTCTCAGACGTGTACCACTTCGGTGAAACCCACGAGCACAGGTATGGTGCTGACAAACCAAGAAACGTAAACAGGGCAGCTGGGATTCCAACCCACAATAATAGGTTTCTGGCATGACCAAGACACGCAACTCTGCACAGCAAATCGTGGCGCCTTAGACGACTGGGCCAACCGTGCCCTCTTGTTTTATTTTGGGATGTTAAATATCCTGTATTAGGAAAAGGCTCACTAAATATTCCTAACACAAGATATTGGCTGTTCCAAAACACACAGGCATGATAACCTCCATGTATTCATTGTGTCAAAAGACACACATCTGAAGGAATCTACCAACATGACTATCACAAAGACACAGAATTGCACTTTCCTGACATTATGTAACCACAACATTAAATAGGATTACATGATGGATATAACAAAACATACACTGTCACGCACAGACAAATGTGACGTGAGGTGAAATGGGGTTTAATGTCGCATTGAAGACTGTTGCAATTATAAAGTGACGTGCACACAAGTGTGTGTGTGTGGGTGTGTGTGACTGCTTGTACTAGTCCGGGCTATAAATGCTGATCTTATAGTGCTAGCCAACTAAGATACTATGACGCAGTTTAACATGAATACCCCACTCAGACACAGTACACTGACCCCGAGCCGACCAGTCCTTCTTTTAGCCCCTTAATGTTGAGGGTCAGGCAGGGTAACAACAAGTACCATCTTTTTGGTACAACACAACCGGGAATCGAACGCCCGACCTACAGACAAATGTACACAGTAACAAAAATAGCGATAACAACAAGGGTGTGATAAAGATTGATTACACCAAACATGTCATAAATTTCTTATTTCCCGAGCAAAACAAGTATCACAATAACATCAGCGTGACAAAGATGCAGGTAATATCTTCTCTATGCTCGGTGCATGTCAATGGATCAGTGTGCACTTGATTTTCATTCTCAGCTCCCTTGGGAGTATACAAATATGTGAGTGATGCTGATTACGAATTGTGTAATTCTCTGAACACCCACACAATGAACTAAAAGCCATGCAGAAGCAATTGTATCCAAGTGATCTCAACACTGCCATTACGTAGTACAGAACATTAAAAAAGTGTTATCTACCCCTTGCATAACTTGCATTTGCTTCATACAAAATCGCAGTTTCCAGTCAAGACGATCTGATCGATAATCAAGATCTATATTGTGATAAAATTGGTCTTACATTGTGAAGTGCAACAAATCATGTGAGCACATTGATTAAAAAAATGAAAAGATTTGGAAAATATCTGTTAACGCCGAGTTGGCGGTGCACATGCTTTGCAAATCCTGCAATCGACCGAAATCTGCACAAAAGTTTACGAAACCGAATTTTGATTTTGTTACATGATTTTGATTGGACTATGCATAGACTCGTTTGTCCGGCCAAAATATGACTCCATAATACCAGCCTAGGTTGGCCAGGGTGGAAACTGGACTTTTATAGTCAGTTAACTCCATTGTCCCAAATATAACATTTGTTAAAAACATTTCTCAGCTCCCATTCAATATATCTTAGAATATGTCATTGCTAATGTATATATGTAAGTATCAATGTTCAGGAAACATCAGACAACTCTAAGTGTCACAGCCATCCATAAATACCAATGAAAAACCTGGGAAAAAAGTGTTTTGAGAAAGAAATGCACAAAACCCCTATGTTCAGCATGTAACGATATTGTCTCAGCTCTTCCATACACCTCCTTCCACATGAGGTCAAGCTAGCAGTTGAAGCATTTGTTGAGTGTGCTGTTGTGATGTCCTCCCCCTCCAGAGCCTCCAGGTTTTACTTCAACTGAAAGAAACAACAGCTAATGAGTTGGCCATAACATTGGTTTGTGTGAGTGAGTGAGTTTTGTTTTACACTGCTTTTAGCAATACTCCAGCAACAGCTGGACAGCTGGACAGGGGACAACAGAAACAATTTCCTTGTGGGGAATCCAACTGGGGCTTTCAGGATGAAAAGTAAATGCTTAAAACATGAGACTATACCTCCACCCAACAGTGCTTTGAACAATATTCAGTTACAGCATGGAGTGTCAGCTTGATTTGTTTGTTTGTTGTTCTACGCTGCACTCAGCAATATTCCAGTCACATTACAGCGATCTGCATATAATCAGGGCTGGACAAGACAATCCAGTGATTGATATCATGAACATCGTTCCACACAATTGTGATACGGTGACATGACTCAACCAAGTCAGCGAACCTGACCACCCGATCCCGCCTCATACCACAAGCATGGTTGCTAAAGACCTATTCTAACCCGGATCTTCACAGGTCGTGAACTTGACGTGGGATGAAAGCCTGAAGCGAGGCAGGTCCTGGACGTTCACCAACAGGCACAGTGTGCAGGAATCATATTAAGTAGCAGCTATTTGATCCCTCATAAACAAGGGACACAACTCTGCCCAGGGACAGGGTCACCTGTGCTGAACACAACAGTCACTGAATGAATGGTGTCGTACGCCACAGCACTCAGCAATATTCCAGCTTATATGACGGCAGTCTGTAAATAATCAAGTCTTGACCAGACAATCCAGTGATTGACGTCATCAGCATCAATCTATGCAATTGGGATCTAGTAAGCGAGCCTGACCACCCGATCCCGTTAGTCACCTCTTATGACAAGCATGGGACGTTCATGGGTTGTTCTATCATGAATCTTTACGGGACTGTATCCCACAGTAACATGTACAGTAGCCATATTTGGTGCAAACCAGATCACGCTATCAGGATAAGCTATCACATAAACAGCGAGCCTGGTCACAACTTGGTAATTTTCTCCAGGTTTTTTCACACAAGTGTGCACGACTGATACCTTTTCAGTATGGCTGCATGAAATTATCCTCCACCTGTGCGACTGTCTGGCAGATAATTTTAAGACTATTTACACATTCAGATTTATCATAACTCGTCGTGGATTCTCAAGTAGTTGTTCGCATTATTTCAACTGAATCAAGGCGCGATTTGTCCCTCGTATTTCACAAATTTTCAATACTTATAATGTCTGAATGCAGGCAGGTAACATTTAAGATGGGCAGGCAACACTTATGGGCAGTTTGGCAAGGACTATAGGACTAGTGCCAATTTCTAACACTGCTAATAATGTCCATTAAGAGTCCGTTCCGATGCAAAAATTCTGTTATCGAATCATGTGGCCCACAGATATAAGTGCTACTCACCAACAATGATGATGACGATGATGATGACGATGACAGCAGCGACGAAGGCAATAATACAGTTCATCTTACAGTTCTGCCAACACATTTTCTTCTTGAGTCGTACCGATGTCTTCTTGAAGTTGATGGAGCCCGACTCCAAATCCTCTGACAATGCAAAACAGATACCATTGTTACTTCTTTCCTTTTTTTTCATAGACTTAATCACAGTCACAGATACAGATTCTTGGAATACATCTTTAATATTGAAGCAGGTATCGTCCCATTGGTATATCTGACCTATATTTGCTGCACTCACCTGACCTCATGGTATATATGACCTATATATGCCTGTATTCACCTCTCATGGTATATCTGACCTATATCTGCCTCAAAGTAAGATTGACCAATCAGAGAGCAGAACTACTGACCCCACATGAGCCCGTATACCATCAGTAAAAATCGATGATGGTTGTTACTGACCTAATATGAGACCGTATACCGTCGGTAACAGCCATTTTGAATTTTCCAACACCAACCTCACATACTTCACATGGAAATTCTTGAACAGAAATTTGTTATTCGACACTGTTTTGTGTTTTACTATCATTAATTGTGATGAGCAAAGACATTATTTATTAAAGAAACCACATTCGGGACTTTATTTATACAAATTATAGAGAAAAAAAAGCTTAAAACCGTGGTCACTGAGTTACAAAAAGCAACATCATATAACATAGTATAGGATGACATCACAAACAAGAAACGTGACACTAATGACGTCACATAGCAATGGAATAGACAGCAGCCCATTGTTAGGGGAAAGCGGCCTGCAAACAAGTAACACTGGCCTGCATATTTCTGTTACCATGCAGGCATTTTGATGAAAGTTCTATCCATTTTAGCTATATTACTTTAAAGGTTCTCATTTAGTGCATTATATATTCCATTGTTAACGTTTACGTTTATGTACTGGTCCTGTCATTTATACCGGTTGTAAGTGTCAAGTTTTCATTTTGACATGACATAGTATTCACCTGACCTCATGGTATATATGATCTATATCTGCCTGTTTTCACCTGACCTCATGGTAAATATATGACCTATATCTGCATGTATTAACATGACCTCATGGGGTATATATGACCTGTATCTGCCAGTATTCATCTGAACTCAAGATATATCTATAACCTATATCTGCATGTATTGACATGACTTCATGGTATATCTATAACCTATATCTGCATGTATTGACATGACTTCATGGTATATCTATAACCTATATCTGCATGTATTGACATGGCTTCATGGTATATCTATAACCCCTATCTGCATGTATTGACATGACTTCATGGTATATCTATAACCCCTATCTGCATGTATTGACATGACTTCATGGTATATCTATAACCCCTATCTGCGTGTATTGACATGACTTCATGGTATATCTATAACCCCTATCTGCATGTATTGACATGACTTCATGGTATATCTATAACCCCTATCTGCATGTATTGACATGACTTCAAGGTATATCTATAACCCCTATCTGCATGTATTGACATGACTTCATGGTATATCTATAACTTATATCTGCATGTATTGACATGACTTCATGGTATGTATTATCAATATCTGCCTGTATTCACATTATCACATGCGATACATCACCCATATCTGCTGCACTCACCTGACCTCTCCTGGAGGTCATCTATCTTGTCTCCGCGGACAATCACCTTCTCTACATTCTGTCGAAGAAGTGAGGTCACCTCGCTCACATCGTTCTGCAAGTGATCCAGATGGTCTGTATGACCTCCAGGACCTCGCTCTGTCCTGCCAGACAAAATATTCAGAATTTATGGTGAGAATGATTTCTTCAAAATAAACAATACAGTATGTTTTTTAAGTTTCGTAAGCAGAAAGTTATTTATACTAAACGACGTAAATATTCACAAAGGTTCCGTCGAGGGTTGGCACAGTAAGGTCACCAAGATATTAGGTACACCTTATCCAAAAGTCTTCAAGATGATCACCTGCTTGAAGATGGTCACCTGCATTGAGATGGTCACCTGCTTCAAGATGGTAACCTGCTTCAAGATGGTCACCTGCTTCAAGATGATCATCTGCTTCAAGATGATCACCTGCATTGAGATGGTCACCTGCTTGAAGATGGTCACCTGCTTCAAGATGATCACCTGCTTGAAGGTGGTCCACCTGCTTCAAGATGGTCACCTGCTTCAAGATGATCACCTGCTTGAAGATGGTCACCTGCTTCAAGATGATCACCTGCTTCAAAATGATCACCTGCTTCAAGATGATCACCTGCTTCAAGATGGTCACCTGCTTCAAGATGATCACCTGCTTCAAGATGATCACCTGCTTGAAGATGGTCACCTGCTTCAAGATGATCACCTGCTTCAAAATGATCACCTGCTTCAAGATGATCACCTGCTTCAAGATGAACACCTGCTTCAAGATGGTCACCTGCTTCAAGGTGGTCCACCTGCTTGAAGATGATCACCTGCTTGAAGATGGTCACCTGCTTCAAGATGATCACCTGCTTCAAGATGATCACCTGCTTCAAGATGATCACCTGCTTCAAGATGATCACCTGCTTGAAGATGATCACCTGTTTGAAGATGATCACCTGTTTCAAGATGGTCACCTGCTTCAAGATGATCACCTGCTTCAAGATGATCACCTGCTTCAAGATGATCACCTGCTTGAAGATGATCACCTGCTTCAAGATGATCACCTGCTTGAAGATGATCACCTGTTTGAAGATGATCACCTGCTTCAAGATGGTCACCTGCTTCAAGATGATCACCTGCTTCAAGATGATCACCTGCTTCAAAATGATCACCTGCTTCAAGATGATCACCTGCTTCAAGATGAACACCTACTTCAAGATGGTCACCTGCTTCAAGGTGGTCCACCTGCTTCAAGATGCAAGATGGGTCAAGACCCCAATGCAGTATTTGGATGCTGTGAGCAGACTTATGAAATTTGGTTGAATCCAGTAATCGGTTCCAAAGTGCTAAATGATGCATGCACTGTACCTTGATACAGTCATTTATTATAAGCCTTATATTCTCAATAGGTGTTTAACAATTTTACCACTCGGGTAACAACCATTGGATAGTGGGAGAACTCAACCGTGACATTTGTGATTTTAAAGTACAGTAGAACACGGATATAACGAAATACAAGGGACCAGAGAAATCAGTTCGTTATATCCGTTGTTCGTTATACACGTTTTTGCTCGGAAACAACCGCCATCTTGGATAAGACAAAACACAGATTTTCCAATGACAGACAATGACAGACATAATATTTTACAGACAATATTACATGTACAGGTAAGATTAACACAATGCAAATTTAACAAGGTTGATCCGTCACCGCTGATTGTATTGATTCGCCGCCATTGTGTTGATTCGCCGCTGATTGGGTACAGCCAATTGTCAGTGACACTTGACACTGAGTGAGATTTCTCAGTTCGCTATACACGTCACTAATTAGTGATGGATGGGCTTGTCGGTGATCAGATATCAGTTTGCTGTATCCGTTAGTTGGCTGTAGAGAGTTTGTTATATACGTAAATTTTATATATTATATAGGAGATCAATCGGGGATTTTTTAACAGTTCGTTGTATCGTTTCTTCGCTATATCCTTGTTGTACTGTATGTGACAAATAGGGCATGACCAGCACTGCAGCACCAAGAGGGTCAGACAATACGAACTTCTGGGTAACAGACAACCTCCACCCAGCTGGGCCTTATAGAACATGGAGGATCTCAACTGCTCATCATAAGTAGTGATATACATGTTGTATGGCTGCTCAACTGCTCATCATAAGTAGTGATATACATGTCGTATGGCTACTCAACTGCTCATCATAAGTAGTGATATACATGTCGTATGGTTACTCATGCACCCATGATCACAAGACTGTGAGAACATTAATGACACTGCTGGTGTTGGTCATATAGTTTTTGTTTGCAAGCTCCTTCCTAGCATGTTACCCTCCTGGTAACATCGCTGCCACCAGTGTGGACACTGACATAGTGAACTGCGAAAAGGTTTTGTATGTTTAATCAGATTGGTTTGAGAATGCAGACTAACAGAAAAGCATCCAATTTTCCCCTTACATTCTTACAATACCAATTACATGATAGCTGAAATGAAATTGAAATTGACAAAAAAAATATATTAGATGGGGGCCGAGTATTTGGCATCACAACAGTCATAACTTGTTCGTAAATATAATGGGTAGTTGGTTGTGAGTTGGTTGATAGTGGCCCCTTGTCACAGTAGGGAGCTATGACTGGTTGCACAAACAGGCTATTGCTGTGAGGAGCTTGATAGTTTTGGGTCCGTTTTGACGCTGTGCCATTTCAGTCTGATCCCTACTAGTTGAGAATTGCTGGTTTGAACAGTATTACATTACAGACATTGAACTGTCACTGTGAGAGTGAGTGAGTGAGTGTTGTTTAACCCTCTGGATGCCGAGGGTTTTTTCTGACACACATTTTCCTAAGATCAGAAAAGTGAAGGTTGTGCGAGAATTACGATCTACCTCTGGCTATAAAATCACGCAGAGGTGGAGAATGTTAAATTTCCTATTTATTAATTATTAAACCGGTTTTAAAAAAAAGACACTTCTAAGTGTTGTCCGAGAATTTATTCTGTGTTGAAAAACAGTAAATTTCTCCGCTTTTTATCGTACACCGATAAAGGTACTGTGTGACCTTTTTTTTTATTTAGAAGCTTTACGGAAACTGTGAGGGAACAAAATACTGCCTAATATCTGAACGACATAACTACATATCAAATTGAGTTATATGCGTATGTATAACGACATACATTCAATGCCAAAAATAGCATGCCGTAAATGACGAAAACTGATTTTTCTCTATGACTTCAAAAGGCGACAGAGAGATTACACATGTACAAAGAAAAGGGGGCATAACTCCGCTATGCTTGGAACAAGTTCATTGTAACTCAGGTCACTTGGTGAGAATTAGCTGTGGGTAAGGAAAATATATTTTGTGGTGTTTTGTTCACGAGGAACCAAACTATTCCAAGACAAATATCGATATTGATACTGTATATGTTTCGTTATAAAAAAAATCAATAAGAAATGATGAAATCGTACTTCATAAAAAAAGAGGAAATAGAGAAATGGATGGCCCTATATAACATATAACTCAGTCCTTAGATTCCAACATTGTCCTGATTGTGTAAGTGTCATTTGACTAATGTTGCACCATTATTAATGGAGCACTTGCCTTATCATCAAACGGAATGAAATACCCCAAAAATATCACCATTCCTTTTGACGTCATGACTGGTGTTATGTCCTTGATAACGTCGGTGAAAGACGACATTGGTATTTTGATTAATATATATCTCCCCTAATTTTCGTTCATGGTATGGAAAATCTTGATGTGTAAAACGGAATTTGATGCTTTTTTGACACAACATAAGATGACTGCTTTCACCAAGTAAATAATGTCTTGAATATGCAAACAATTAGATAGTTTAGCGTGTATCTTAACTGGACAAGACATGCACCTGTTTGGCATCAATTTACGTAATGAAATACCCCAAAGAATATTTCAAAACAACCAAAATTATAGTCAATATTGGACATATATTTGTTCATAATTATGTTATTATTTCTCTTCATCTCTTCTCTGAATTACACAATAAAAGATGCGAAGAAAGCTCTATTGGTATAGAATTACCAGGATAATCGTATACGGTTGAACCAACGGGGTACCTGGCATGGGTTATATTTTTACACATTTTACAATTCCTGGAGAAATAAAGTAAACAGTTTAACATCCTGTGATCACAATATTGAAAAAAGAATGAACCCATTGATTATATAATGCAAAACGAGAGGAATAATTCGTAAATTGTTTGTGACTAACGCGCACCTGACGAATCGTTAGATATCACTGTTCTGTGAATCAAACGACATAAAAAACAATTCCAAGACCAAGACAATTCTTTCAGAAAAGTGTGCATATATATTAACGAAAAATATTATAGATTTACTGTTATTTATTGTTATAATTTTCATTGAAACCAACGTAAATAGTCAGAAATTCTGATAAATACTGTTGTCGTTGTGCGTGATTTTGCGTCAGTCATGGCGTCACACAGTATGGTAACTTTGACAATTTCTGTTGAAAATATCAAATCATTACAATAAATCTATTTTAAATTCCCTAATTCTTCCTACGATTCTCTTCCCATACATATCCTGAAAATGTTGAGCCAATATCTTAAAAAAATAGTCAAATGGATAGCTCAAAATAGGAGAAAATGCTACACTGTGTAAAATCTGTATTTTGCTTCGTTTACATTTCAAATAAGTGCATATTTTCAAGCACAGCGTTTGTTTTCACGCCTAACTTATTTTGCTTGATTTCATCCAGCCACTTTGTATTGGCATCTTCCCGAGGCAAGTGAGTTAACTGACTATTAAAGTCCAGTTTCCACCCCTGCCAATCGTAGCACCACCAACAGTTATAATGAGTTATGTCCCTTCTGAGCCTCTCCTATGGACCAATCCGATTCCATCACTTGCATTTGTTTCAAACAAAATGGTGGCGCCCAGTCGAGACGATCTGATCGATAATCAAGATCTATATTGTGATAAAACGGGTCTTACATTGTGAAGTGCAACAAATCATGTGAGCAGCTTGATTAAAAACATGAAAAGATTTGGAAAATATCTGTTGACAACGAGTTGGCGGTGTGCATGCTTTGCAAATCCTGCAATCGACCAAAATATGCACGACAGTTTACGAACTGGATTTCGATGCGCGATTTTGATTGGACTATGCATAGACTCGTTAGTCTAGCCAAAATGTAACTCCATAATACCAGCCTAGTTCGGCAAGGGTGGAAACTCGACTTTTAAAGTCAGTTAACTCTCTTGCCTCGGGAAGATGTGTATTGGTGACAAAGACCATTGGTCATTTGATTCTAAAATGTATGAGGAATTCAAGGATGTATGTATTGCAGCTAAGTATGAAATATACATGATGTTACAGGCGTCTGTTAACCTGTGTTCCTGAAACGTGATTTTGTAAACACTATCCAATATGGCGGAAAGTTCACTTCAGCGTTCGTGTTTGCGTATTTTCCAAAACATTCTAAACGATTCTAGGGTTATCGGAGATGTTTTGGAATAATCATTGGTGATTTCATAAAAGACAGATACCCATGACTACTAATATGCTATTTTTGAAATTCATTTCTCCGAGTAAACATCCGAAATTTAGATTTCAAACATGCTGTAACTAACGCAGTGAGTGGTGATTTAGTAATGTGTAAAATATGCATCATTTACGATGTACCTAATTTTTAGAGATCATTTTCAGTACTTTTGCTTGGCCTAAAATGCCAGTGGATGATATCACAGAACAGTGAATTTCCCACCTTATTCAAAACTGTGAAGTGTATTTGTGTCGGTGATGTATTTTGAATTTTATTCGACTTCAAAGTGAGGGTTGTCGAGGAGGGCCATATATGTCCCCGTGGCATCCAGGGGGTTAATGCTGCACTCAACAATATTCCAGCTATATGACATTGAGTGAGTGAAGTGAGGTTTTACCCCATCATTATCATGGTTGGGGACACAGAAATGGGCTTCACACATTGTACCCATGTAGGGCTTTCAACCCAAGGTTTCAATGTGACAAGCTAACACTCTAACCACCAGGCTATCCCACTTCCACTCTCCAGAAGTGACCATGCTGTCATGTTTGTGTGCGCAGCTCTCAAACAAGGGAAGATAGTCAGACAGTTCGTAAAATATAACCCATTTTGAGTGAGTGAGTGAGTGAGTGAGTTTTGGTTTTACGCCGCTTTTAGCAATATTCCAGCAATATCACACAAGAAATGGGCTTCACACATAACCCACTTTGAAGCTGATGTCACCATACAAAACAAACAAATGAAAAAGCAAGTCCACCCTGGAGTTGAAACCTTGAGATAGTGTAGTGATTCTTTAAGTTTAGAATTTTTTGGCAAAAGAGGAACATTTCTTATCATTGCTTAACTTACTGAATTAACAATTACATTGTCGCGTACTTTAGCCCAATTGGTATAACTTCCAAGCGGTGTGTACATTGCAGATATCGCTGCAATGAAATTGCATCAAATGTAATCCAGACCATTGTGACATCATTGGTTACCATGACGTCACAATCAAATGACATCACTAATGGCTCTGCTACTGAAGCTGTCAGCAGTACTTTTTACACATAAGACACTGCTTATTACTGTCTACAAACTGAAAAAGTAAAGTTGGAAGAATGATGTTGGGTGATAAATAAAATTTAGACTCGTGTCTTTTGATATCAAATATATCGTTGATATAATTGATATCAAAAGACACAAGGGTGAGATTCTCTATACAATAACCATATTGGACGAGATAATTGAAAGAAGTTGGAAAGGGGGATACGGGTGGAAGTCTTTCCCTTAAAATTGCAAATCAAGTCTCGACACTGTCAGCAGTTGTCAGCTGAAACAGATAACAAATAACGGCCCACAAATAATCCTGAGCAAATGTACACGCATATATATATAGGCTGTTCAGAATACAAACAAGATATACCACACATATTTTATGAGACACTAATAGTGTCTAGCGTAGAATTCATTACTTACATGTTGTAATGGTTCGATCTAATGAGTATACAAAGTCCAGATACCAATTCTTCTCACAAAGTAGACGCTGTCGACCCTCATCTGCCCACACCTACTATCAGTTCCTCCTCTCTGATCAGATGACGGATGTACACAAACACACGTGATACAAATATAGTATTACCCTACGACTGTTTACAATCACAATTTTAAAACAGCGAACCTCTCGCAAACTATGTACACAGTTAGGTAAATTGTGAATATTCTGTATCCTCTTTGAAACAAGCTTTAGTAATTAGTTTTCAAAACGTTACATGCTTTTTATAATTTAGGTTGCTACTCTTATGGTATAAATGCCCCCGTGGGTGATCCTGGCACAGTCAGGCTGGTTAGGCTCATCATCAGCTCAGGGCCCTTGCCCCCTCTACACGCAGCCCAGACAGCGAATGGAACTTCTTCCAGGAATCGCTGGACCCGTGAAGATCCGTGTTAGATTAGGTCCCCAGCAACCCATGCTTGCCGTAAGAGGCGACAACATAGCATTGGGTGGTCATCTGACTTGGTTGTTGCATGTCATCGTATCCAAGTTGCGAAGAACGATGCTCATGATGTCAGTCAGTGGATTGTCTGGTCCAGATTTGATGAATTACAGAAAAAACTGGAATATGGCTAAGTAAGGCGTTAAACAACAAACAAAAAGCAGCACACCCTTGTCCGTCTCGAGAACAGCTAGCGTCTCCAAATACATGCATAGTGAATCGTAAGATAGAGAATCTCACCCTCGTGTCTTTTGATATCAAACATATCAGCACGAGTTGATAAAAGTGGGAAAACTCCGAGGCTTGCCGAGTGTTGATATATTTGATATCAACAGACACGAGGGTGAGATTTTATTTATCATCCAACATCATTCTTCCAACTTTTTCAGTTTGTAGACAGTAATAAGCAGTGTCTTCAGTGTAAAAAGTACTGCTAACAGCTTCAGTAGCAGAGCCATTAGTGATGTCATTTGATTGTGACGGCATGGTAACCAATGACGTCACAATGGTCTGCAAAGCATTCTGATGCAATTTCATTGCAGCGATATCTACAGTGTAGATATCGCTTGATCTCACCCAAGCGAATATATCCTGGGGGAGCCAGTTTTGGATGATAAATATATATATATGACGACGTTAATTTTAAGAGGGGAGTGTTTAGTGAGTTGTTCTCAATAGATGTTGCTGGGCAACGCAGAAAAAGGCGATGGCCGAACAATCGCGTCCCAAAGTGTGACAGATATCACAGTCGTTATTGGGAAAAGGTACAGGTAATCGACGCGAGGATTGTGAAAATATGCGGGAAATACCAGTCTGTGCATGAAATGGACTTGTCCGACATTGCCGAGGTCGGATTCTATTGAGAGAGTTATCATTATTTAAATGCGGGTTCAACAGGCTGTACATAATGTTGATATCTCATATAAGAAATAAACGACTCGTGGCAATTGGGATACGATGACATGCATCAACCAAGTCAGCGAGCCTGACCACCCGATCCCATTAGTCGCCTTTTACGACAAGCATAGTCGCCTTTTACGACAAGCATGGGTTGCTGAAGTCCTCTTCTATCCCAGATCTTCACGGGGAGACAAGCATGGGTTGTTGAAGTCCTCTTCTATCCCAGATCTTCACGGGTCATGCTGGGAAGTTCATTAAGTGAGTCTATCCTGTTTCCCGTCTGGGCAGAACGAGGGGACTACCTCGACCTGCTCAGAGTCAGATATTCGGCCCCAAGCTTGCAGCAAGTATCAGTCAAAATTCCAAAATGAGAATGATACATGAGGACCACTGAGGATTCTGAGGGGAAAAGGTTTCTACCGCTGAAATTAAGAAATGAGAACTTAAAATAAATATCCATTTTATACAAACTAACGATGATGTTTCCAAATGTGCCTTAAAACTTAGTTTGGAATCTTAGATAAAGCCTGGACATTGTCACTGTGTGATTAAAATAGCACACCTTACGACCCGAGTTAGCAGGTTTTTAATTACTTGAATAAACCTTTCTTGTGTGAGGCCTGGTCTCATCTTAACTGTCACTCTTCCAGAAAATAATGTTGTTGTTTTTCTTCTGAAAACAAACGATAGCAAACAAGTCGATCCAGACCCATTTTTTAAGGAGAGGCTTTCTGCACGACCACTGCATCGAGTTTATGTGCAGTGTGCTGAGATGATCAGCAACCCTGCAGAGTCGTTGGCTTGGGTGAAGTCGGATGGCCTGAAAAGTGAAACAGAAGGTTTTCTGTTTGTTGCTCAGGACCAGTCACTTCCCACTCGAAACAGTCAATATGTGATTTTGCATCAAATTGTAAATATAAAAATGTAGATTATGTAATGAATTTAATGAGACTGTCCAATACATTGTCAGTGGGTGCCAGTTTTGGCACACACATAGTATCTTAAGCGACATGATAGTGTAGCTCGATCATTTTATTACCGCTTTCCCCATGCTTGTGGTTTTGACACAAAGGTCCATCCATGGTACGACCCGGAATATGTAGAGGGCGTCATGGAAAATGATAAATACAAAATTCTTTGGAATAGACCCCTTTACAGCCTCAGACGTATCCAGGCCAACACACCTTATCTTGTCCTTTTTATCCAATGAAATCATTTATATCACTGAATGTTTTGTCCCTTTTGACACTAATGTGATTGACAAGATTCAGAAAAAAACATGGCAAATGTGCGGACCTCACTTTCGAAATGTCACGCTTGCATCCCAAGTACCAAGTTGTCCGACTCCCCATTGTTCTCGGTGCCTTAGGTTTGGTACCTCCCAATCTGTTGACTGACATTGGGAGAGTAACCGGGTTTGCTACCAGGAATACAGCCCTTCTGACAATCTGGGTAATGCACAAGGCTGCAGTGTTAGGGAGTCTTCACATTCTCCGAAAAGTTCCGGGTGGGTTTGACTAGGCAGCGCTTCCTAGTTGGTTGGTTGGTTTCTTGTTTAACGCCGCACTCAGCAATATTCCTGTTATATGACGGCGGTCTGTAAGTAATCGAGTCTGGGCCAGGCAATCCAGTGATTGACATCATGAGCATCGACCCACGAAATTGGGATACGATGACATGCATCAACCAAGTCAGCGAGCCTGACCACCCGATCCTTTTACGACAAGCATAGTCACCTTTTACGGCAAGCATGGATTGCTGAAGACCTATTCTAACCCGGAATCTTCACGGGTCAAGCGATTCCTGGGAGAAGTTCCATTCGCTGTCTGGGCTGCGTGTAGAGGGGGCAAGGGCCCTGAGCTGATGATGAGCCTAACCAGCCTGACTGTGCCAGGATCACCCAAACCCTCTTTGCTGCATTTTTTATTTTAATCTGTACATAATAATAAAGAAAGTTTTAAGTGTTTAAGAGGTCCTTATATATTTAGTTTTGGGGAAGGATCATATGATTTATGTGAAAGTGAACGTTGCTGATTCTAAATTCAAATCTGGTGTTCAGCACAAGGAGAGACAACTCTTGTAAATATAAAAAAGAGTACTTTTAAGTTTCATTTACTGATGATATATAGTCTTCTCGATAATAGTAGATGAATCACACGTACAATGTGCCGCAAGCCGATATCACATGTCGCGTTTGACGACGGTGTATTATATTTCATAATATCTATCTGATTTACCTTGTACGCCGTAGCTGTAGTGTATAAATCCCCGTTCTTCATACGAATCGCTGAAAATTAATAAATACTTCACGCGAGAATGAATGTTTGCGGCAACCGTGTGCTATTTCGAGCATGTGCAGAGTGCTCTCCTCTTGGCGCCACCGGTCATCGTCGTCACACGCTGTTGAGGAATTTGGTGGCGAAGAAAAAGAAATTGTAGATTTATCCCAGTCTTACATAGCATCGTATTCCAAACATGGATGTTGGGAAGTTGGTGGAGGTGCTTAGAGCAACCCTCGATCCCGAGCGCCGAGAGAATGCCGAGCAACAGTTGACGGAGGTGAGAGGCCCGACCACGTTTTCTGTCATGGCAGATCTCCATGTCGCTGTTTTTCGTCATGATAAATTGTTTTTTTTGTCGTATTGGTAGCTGTTTGATCATGATCGGTTTTTAATGTTAGGATTTGTGACTTAATGTACTTATATTTAATTGGGGTGATCGTATTGTCCTCGAACGATTGGCCCCCTCTCCTGGAACCAACTTATCCCATGCATGACGCATGCTAAGTACTGGCAGCACGTGTGCTTCAGGCAAAATACCAGCCAGCTTCTCCCTGATCGGAGACTGCTGCAATGAAATATTGTTTGTAGTCTTCATGAACATATAACCTCTTAATTATTTACAGTTGTTGAAACATGACCTCACACTGTTACTAAACACATTTCTAGTTCTTATAACTTATGACCAAGTAGGCCTAAGAGTAATGAGGCTATTTTTGTCACACAGGCCCTAGCTTATTTCAAGGTAAATGTGTTACTAACACTGTTCTACAGCTGATAGGTCCATCATGGAATTCACTTCTTATAATTGTCAGAACCTGATCTGTTAGAACAACAGTTTGTCACACTGATAGATGTTAGTTTTGGGATTCACTTATCAAATGAAGGATAATGTCATTATTAAACCACTCTCCTACTGTGAAATTATCTGCCCCATGTTGAAGGTGGTCTGTCAGGCAAGTAGGTGATCCTCATTGCTGCCATTTGTCCTGAGTGTTAATGAACTAAAGCATTTATGGATGACATGAGCTTTTTGACTGACAGAAACATGCTTGTCAAAGTGCATCAATAACATGCATCACTGGTACAAACAGGCATTTTCAAATACCGTATTCGACGTAAAAAGCGCACAGGGTGCTCTCAAAATTAGAAATAGGGGGCTCCTATTAGAATATTATTTTGGTGAAAAACAACAGAGTTGAAAGGGTGTTAATTTTGTTGTTTGTGTTGACAGCCTGAAATGTTTATATACGACAGATATATTTTTTCCAGAATTTAATGTTAAAATGATCAATGTGATACATTGATCAATCGAAAGGGAGTGAAAGAATCGCTTATTAGAGTGGGTCGCTTATTACGTCGAATACGGTAACATAAATTTCTTTGGTGTTAGAGGCAGTGTTTTAATAGGGAAATGTTACTGTTTTGCCAAATTAATACTGTTGCAGATTGATTGTATTGAGTTTGAAATTAACTGTGATGAACCATAGTGAGATTGTTAACATGCCAAGGACCAACATTCCAACATCGAAACATCATCCTATCACGTCCATGTTACTGCACATCACATCCTTTTCACTCTAACACCACCCGTGAAGATCTGGGGTAGAATAGGTCTTCAGCAACCCAAGCTTGCCGTAAAATGTGCTTATGCTTGTCGCAAGAGGCGACTGATAGGATCGGGTGGTCAGGCTCGCTGTCTTGGTTGATATCATCGATTCCAATTGCGTGGATCGATGCTCATGATGTCAATCACTGGATTGTCTGGTCCAGACTCGATTATTTACAGACCGTCGTCATATAGCTGGAATATTGCTGAGTGCGGCGTAAAGCAACAAACAGAACTCTGACACGCACTTTAGGCGTCAGGGTTCCCCCTAGGAGTTATTATTTTTGCAAAATATGAATTTGAGGGCCATTGATTCAATTGCAGCCAACAATTTATGTAGCTTGGTTACAAAGACTGTTATTTCTGCTTGTAAATGTGTTTCATATTTTTGTGTTTCAATGATTTGTGTTGCTAATGCGAGTAATTTGTGGGTGAGACGGTGCCAGAACTGGTCTGTGTTGATGTACTAATAAGGATGATTGGATATGAATGCACTGTGACTATAACATGTAAGATGAGATAAGTGTGTTTGAGTCTTCTCGTGTGGACCTGTCATGTGGTTTAATCTTCAATAGATCTTACTGTTTATATGTGGACTTTGGGAAGAAAAGAATACTAGACCGAAATTGTTTTCACTAGACTCAGGCTTCGGACTAGTGGCTAAAGTCACAGACGGTTGACATCTTTTATATCAGGATATAGTATCATATTTTCTTGTGTGTAATGTATACTTTCTGCACATTACCGGCCATTCAGTATGTTCAATATTGTTTTCAATGATTTTGTGAAAATATTGTATCTGAGCTGATAGGCAGGTCAGACCAACTCACCGTTCAGACAATCCGTGAAGATGCGGAGTAGAATAGGTCTTCAGCAACTCATGCTTGCCGTAAAAGGCAACTATGGTTGTTGTAAGAGGCGACTAACGGGATAGGATGGTCAGGTTCACTGACTTAGTTGATGCATATCATCGTATCCCAATTGCATGGATTGATGCTCATGACATCAATCACTGGATTGTCTGGTCCAGACTGCCGTCATATAGCTGGAATATTGCTGAGTGTGGCATTAAACAACAAACAAACAAACACCGATCAGACCAAAGAAACCACAACCACTTTACTGCTATTGAGGCCTTGATTGAACCTTAATTGTCAGACATTGGATACATTACAAATGTCATACTTTGAGTTAGTGCTGGAGCAATGGATGGAATATTCGGTCAATCGACCTGGAATGTCAAACCGATCATTAATCTGCTGATATGTGTGATCGATATAGAATGTCAAGACAACAGGGATTGACTTTGGCCGCGATTCCGCGATCTTCATGCATAGTTGTCATAGATATCGCATCAATATTCATTTAGCACAATTATATCTTTCAATAGTTTTATTTGTATTGACACTCTCATTTTCACCTACAAACAGTGAAAATATCATATTGCTTAAATAAAATTGTCTACATTACCTGAAAATGTCAATAAAAACTTACACCATAGTTTATCATGGTTTATTCAATCGTTAAAGGTTGTCAATCGAAACAGCGATTTGCATACTCGCAACAGTGCATGCTATCTCTTATTGTTCATAACCGATTCTGACATCACTGCACGTAGCTTTGCATCAGTTGACAATGGTGGAGTGTGCAGCATTTTTTGTCTCTGATGGCAAAACAAGTGTTTGCTTTTACAACATACACACTTTGGTAGCGCACAAAAATCTTATTCCGTGATCTACAACAAGTCATTAAGCACATTTTTTTGTCACAAATCCTAGCAGAAATCAAAGACGTAGATGTATGTATGTTTGTGCAGAAATCAAGAGAAAAAAGCAATCACAGGTAAAGTTTCAAAACATAAGCAAATTTCGATTTTGGTTTGACAACTAAACAAAAATTAAATTAATATATGTACAACTCTTTCTCCATGAGAATATGCAAATTTCCAATCACAAACGGTCATATTTTAGCTGAGATTTGCCTAGCCTTTAGCATGTTTAGAAAGACAGCACTGGTGGATAGGTTTTCATGAACGTACCCTAGTGCAAGAATGGCCACAGTGCGTGAATTACTAATTTGGAACTAATTCTAGTTGCCAAACAGCAAGTTGGAGATTTTTTAGAATATGCTACAATATGTTTGCTTCCAGATTTGTCAATTGAAAATTGAAAACTGTGACTTCATCATTCAAGTGTAAGTCACAAACATTGTGAATGTCAACAGTCTTTTCAACTTCCGGTTACTCGTAAACAGTTTCTGGCTGCTGCACATAGCAAATACGCTGCCTTCTGTGGGAAACAATGACTTAAATTCTTGCTAATTTACAAAAGGGTGAACCTGGAGCAATAGTCATTGTATAATGAACTGTCACTTCTAATTTATTGATAAGATTTCATTTCATACGGTCAGAGACCCGGTCTCTGATATGGTACACACTGCAGACGGAAATGACCAGTGAAATTGACGAAAGCACTGGATTGTAAATGATACATTTTTGGCCAATAAACAGCAGTGATCCTGCTGGCTTTTGAAACTCTAAAAATTACCAGTCCTCCCCAATTTTGGCCAGTCCCAACTTTCAACAAATAAACAAACATATGAAAATTATTTGGTTTTAATTCTTTCAACATCATGTTCAGTGCAAAGATGTCATCTCTCAAGTAACTTAGTTAGATCTATACATCACAATTTCTCTTCTTTTTTTTAATAATATTTCGAGACATGGATATTTAAGCTAGAAATAGATAAGGTTAAACCATGATGGTAACAGACAAGCTGACTTTGTTCGAAAAATGTACTTATATGAATATCACTGAAGTTTTGTTCAACAACAAAGATTTATAAGGTACGTTATTTGCCAGTACACAGGGACTGGCAGTCACATGAATTACCGGTCCAAGCCTAATTTTACTGGTAAAAAAATGGTAATTAACGGTAAACGGGAACGCTGAAACTGTAACACCATTTACAACAGTTGCTATTTCATGTCATCACTTCGAATATAATAAATTATGAACTTAACAAACATTGAGAGATTGATAACTGTGGATTGTTGTCTCCAGCATGCCAGTGTGATGAACGGATGATGGTGGTTAACATGTCTGCTAAACCATCTATAATTGTACTCGTGAATAATTTCTTCTAAAGTCGGCAATGAACAGAAATACATAAATATTAATGTAATTTCTCCTAATATAGTCAATGAACAGAAATATAAAGACTGATGCCTTTTTGTTGTTGATACTAATGCTGATATTTATAAATATTCGCAGTGGAATAATTAATGTTCGAATATAGGATATCCGAGGATATATCTATATAATCTAGTAACATTACTTGCAACATAATTTGAGTCATATGTAAATACCTAAAATCAAATTTCCAGTTTGAAGACGATATATCGCTGAAAATTAGCAAAATCTTAACACACGCCAAAAAATCTCATTGCTTTTGGAGCAGGGGAGATTTTCTCTCATCGGTAAAACTTCCCAGGATAATCCTTGAGACAAGCAGTTTACCATGGTTTACAAGGCACAGCTTGAATGGTCCATGTGAAGTTAAAGTTAATTAGTAACTACTATTTCTGTTAGAGGTCACAACACCTGGTTTGGTGCTACTGTTGACTTGCTACAGCGCAAACTGTCTCTTGATAGCCGTGTCAGAATCGTCACTGTTCTTGTCTGTCTATATGATCCTTCGTAAAGTTATGTTGTACCGACCTTTCATAATCATATTACTTAAACATCACTGACATTGATTATCATTGGGTTTCAGTTAAAGAATCTGTGTCATATCTTGTCAGGAACCAGCCGGCAGTGTGTGTGTGCGTGACTTTGTCTCAGTTGCTTCATGTTTAACAATCACTATCAAGTCTAGCTATAAATAGTTTCCATTTACTTTAGCATGTTTAGTTATAGAACTGTATAATTTGTAGTCTAGGCCGATATACAGTGACAGGTGCATCGGTAAACTGTACAAATATGCTTCCCTTTGATAAAAGTTTTAAAAAAAAGGGCTAATATTGCATCATTTTTTAAAATGAAAATACCTACTATCATTGACTGTCTAAATGAGGACTGAGGTCTTTGATCACTGTTGATGCATACTTCACTGATTGGCTGAAAGTTAAAGTTCCTTGATGTAGCAAATATGCAAATTTCAAGCAGTAAAATAGTGATCAGCTGATGATAGATATGCATAATTCTTGCCACAGGCATTGATAACTAGTGCAGTGACAGTGTTGACATCTAGTGCAGTGTTGACATCTGGTGCAGTGACTGTTGACATCTGGTGCAGTGTTGACAACTAGTGCTGTGTTGACATCTAGTGCTGTGTTGACATCTAGTGCAGTGTTGACATCTAGTGACAGTGTTGACATCTAGTGCAGTGACTGTTGACATCTGGTGCAGTGTTGACATCTAGTGCTGTGTTGACATCTAGTGACAGTGTTGACATCTAGTGCAGTGACTGTTGACTGGTGTAGTGTTGACATCTGGTGCAGTGACTGTTGACAACTTGTGCAGTGGCAGTGCTGACATCTAGTTACAGTGTTGACATCTAGTGCAGTGACTGTTGACATCTAGTGCAGTGTTGACATCTAGTGCAGTGACTGTTGACATCTAGTGCAGTGACAGTGCTGACATCTAGTGCAGTGACTGTTGACATCTAGTGCAGTGACTGTTGACATCTAGCGCAGTGTTGACATCTAGTGACAGTGTTGACATCTAGTGCAGTGACTGTTGACATCTGGTGCAGTGTTGACATCTAGTGCAGTAACTGTTGACATCTGGTGCAGTGGCAGTGCTGACATCTAGTGCAGTGTTGACATCTAGTGCAGTGACTGTTGACATCTGGTGCAGTGACTGTTGACATCTAGTGCAGTGACAGTGCTGACATCTAGTGCAGTGACAGTGCTGACATCTAGTGCAGTGACAGTGCTGACATCTAGTGCAGTGTTGACATCTAGTGCAGTGACAGTGCTGACATCTAGTGCAGTGACAGTGCTGACATCTAGTGAAGTGTTGACATCTAGTGCAGTGACTGTTGACATCTAGTGCAGTGACAGTGTTGACATCTAGTGCAGTGCTGATATCTAGTGCAGTGTTGACATCTAGTGCAGTAACTGTTGACATCTGGTGCAGTGGCAGTGCTGACATCTAGTGCAGTGTTGACATCAAGTGCAGTGACTGTTGGCATCTAGTGCAGTGACTGTTGGCATCTAGTGCAGTGTTGACATCTAGTGCAGTGTTGACATCGAGTGCAGTGTTGACATCTAGTGCAGTGACCGTTGACATCTGGTGCAGTGACCGTTGACATCTAGTGACAGTGTTGACATCTAGTGCAGTGTTGTGTAGTGTTGACATCTGGTTTAGTGTTGACATCTAGTGGAATGACAGTGTTGACATCTAGTGTAGTGTTGACATCTAGTGGAATGACAGTGTTGACATCTAGTGTAGTGACAGTGTTGACATCTATTGTAGTGTTGACATCTAGTGGAGTGACGGTGTTGACATCTATTGTAGTGTTGACATCTAGTGGAGTGACAATGTTGACATCTATTGTAGTGTTGACATCTAGTGGAGTGACAGTGTTGACATCTAGTGTAGTGACAGTGTTGACATCTAGTGTAGTGTTGTCATCTAGTGGAGTGACGGTGTTGACATCTATTGTAGTGTTGACATCTAGTGGAGTGACAATGTTGACATCTATTGTAGTGTTGACATCTAGTGGAGTGACAGTGTTGACATCTAGTGGAGTGACAGTGTTGACATCTATTGTAGTGTTGACATCTAGTGCAGCGACAGTGTTGACATAGACCTGTGAAGATCGGGGGCATAATGCTTGTCGTAAGAGGCGACTAATGGAATTGGGTGGTCAGACTCGCTGACTTGGTTGATGCATTTCATCGTATCCCAATTGCGTGGATCGATGCTCATGATGTCAATCACTGGATTGTCTGGTCCAGACTTGATTATTTACAGACTGCCGTCATATGGCTGAATTATTGCTGAGTGCGGGGTTATACAACAAACAAACAAACAACTAGGATATCCAATTCCTCAGTTGCTATGTAGACTTGAGTCTCCAGTCAGTGTCAGCCCTTGTGTTCTTGGCCTCATCAATGTTGGAATGTTGCAGGTACACAAGATCATCGGGTTCGGGCCTGTGCTGCTGCAGGTAGTGATGATGGAGCAGATTGACATGCCAGTCAGACAAGCAGGTGAGTGCTCTGTTCATACATCACAGACTTATCTGGGATTCCAACCTGAGAAAAATTGGGGGGGGGGGCATCTGTCCTTGTTGAAAATTTGTATGTCTTTAAGTTCCTCTTTTCTTAAATTTAGATTTGGTTGGTTTGTTGTTTAACACTGCATTCAGCAATATTCCATCTATATGATGGCGGTCTGCAAATAATCAAGTCTGGACCAGACAATCCAGTGATTGATATCGTGAGCATCGACCCACGCAATTGGGATTGATGACATGCTTAAATTTAGAGGTCTGTCAAAATTATATATTAACATCACATGCAATACGGTAAAACTAAGCATTAAAACCTCTTTTGTCATTATTGGTGCTGATGGTCTCTCCATAGGTCTCTCCTTACAGATCTGACAAACACTCCATAGATCTCTCCATCCAGATCTGACAGACACCCCATAGATCTCTCCATCCAGATCTGACAGACACCCCATAGATCTCTCCTTACAGATCTGACAAACACTCCATAGGTCTCTCCTTGCAGATCTGACAAACACTCCATAGGTCTCTCCTTGCAGATCTGACAAACACCCCATAGGTCTCTCCTTGCAGATCTGACAAACACTCCATAGGTCTCTCCTTGCAGATCTGACAAACACTCCACAGGTCTCTCCATCCAGGGGGCTGTCGGGTAGCCTAGTGGTTAAAGCGTTCGCTCGTCACGCCGAAGACCCGGGTTCGATTCCCGACATGGGTACAATGTGTGAAGCCCATTTCTGGTGTCCCCCGCCGTGATATTGCTGGAATATTGCTAAAAGCGGCGTAAAACCATACTCACTCACTCACTCACTCTCCATCCAGATCTGACAAACAATCCATAGGTCTCTCCATCCAGATCTGACAAACACTCCATAGGTCTCTCCATTCAGATCTGACAAACGCTCCATAGGTCTCTCCATCCAGATCTGACAAACACTCCATAGGTCTCTCCATCATGATCTGACAAACACTCCATAGATCTCTCCATCCAGATCTGACAAACGCTCCATAGGTCTCTCCATCCAGATCTGACAAACGCTCCATAGGTCTCTCCTTACAGATCTGACAAACGCTCCATAGGTCTCTCCATCATGATCTGACAAACGCTTCTTAGATCTCTCCATCATGATCTGACAAACACTCCATAGATCTCTCCATCCAGATCTGACAAACTCTCCATAGGTCTCTCCTTACAGATCTGACAAACTCTCCATAGGTCTCTCCTTGCAGATCTGACAAACACTCCATAGGTCTCTCCATTCAGATCTGACAAACACTCCACAGGTCTCTCCTTCCAGATCTGGCAAACACTCCACAGGTCTCTCCTTCCAGATCTGGCAAACACCCCATAGGAGGTGCATTCCTGAACATTAACGCCTAGTCTTTTCAGCACACACGTCATATTTGTATTTGGCGATTTACCTGGAAGTTTCACCTGTCTGCAGGTGTGATGTACCTGAATGTTGCGTCTGTCTGCAAGTGTGATTAGCCTGAAACTTTGACCTGTCTGCAGTCGTGATTTATCTGAAAGTTCCACCTAAGGTGTGATTTACATGAAACTTTCACCTGCCTTCAGGTGTGATTTACCTCAAGAACATCATCACCCAGTTCTGGATAGAGAGAGAGGCAGAGAACCCTGGTGATGCCGTCCCCTTCAACATCCACGAGCAGGACAGACAGGCGATTCGTGAGAACGTCATAGAGGCCATCATCCATGCCCCAGAACCTGTCAGGTGAGAAGGGTCTCCGGTGTCTTTACAATCTGTCAGGTGGGAGGGGTCTCTCGTGTCTTTACAATCTGTCAGGTGAGAAGGGTCTCTCGTGTCTTTACAATCTGTCAGGTGAGAAGGGTCTCTCGTGTCTTTACAATCTGTCAGGTGAGAAGGGTCTCTCGTGTCTTTACAATCTGTCAGGTGAGAAGGGTCTCTCATGTCTTTAAGATCTATCAATATCAGGTGTGGAGGGAAGTGGAGGGACGAATGCCTTTAGAACCTGTCAGGAGACAGGTCTCTCATGTCTTTACAATCTGTCAGTGGAGAAGGGTCTCTCATGTCTTTAAGATCTATCAATATCAGGTGTGGAGGGAAGTGGAGGGACGAATGCCTTTAGAACCTGTCAGGAGACAGGTCTCTCGTGTCTTTACAATCTGTCAGTGGAGAAGGGTCTCTCGTGTCTTTACAATCTGTCAGTGGAGAAGGGTCTCTCATGTCTTTAAGATCTATCAATATCAGGTGGGGAGGGAAGTGGAGGGACGAATGCCTTTAGAACCTGTCAGGAGACAGGTCTCTCATGTCTTTACAATCTGTCAGGATAAAAATGTATTTTTGGTTTGGTTTCCTTTTGAAAATATTGCTTTGACTACCAGGAAAATGACATTAGTGGTCAGATGGCATCCTAGCACTAAATCAGACTTATATGCCTGCTAGTTTAGTTTGGTAATCACCAGTGTAACCTTTCAAAATTTTGTTTGTTCTAGTACAGCATGAACCATTTGGGATTGTAATGCTGATATGTACACAATCAACAATCTGCTATTTCCGGTATCTCCCTTCTTCGTGTAAGATGAGACTGGCTTTAAGTCAGGTGACCACCAGGACCCAGTAGAAGCTGTCAAAGGAACAGGGAGCTGACAGGATTGTTACTTGATTGATTGATTGTTTGTTTGTTTGTTTGTTGTTTAATGCCGACTCAGCAGTATTCCAGCTATATGACGGCGGTCTGTAAATAATCAAGTCTGGACCAGACAATCCAGTGATTGACATCACGAGGCTTGATCCACGCTATTAGGATACGATGACATGCATCGACCAAGTCAGCGAGCCTGATCCCCTGATCCTGTTAGTCACCTTTTACGACAAGCATGGTGACCTTCACCTTGCTGATCTCCACGGTCTGTTATTTGATTGACAGAAGTAGACAGTTCAATGAAGGATGTTTGAATGGATGACTTGAAAAGTGATCTGAAAAAACAATCGCTTCCAAAAAGTTGTTGCCTTTGCAAGGCACTTCATTTATTGCGGATGAATAGCTTTGGAAATTTTAAGCTCAATCATTAACTGTTGCGAGATGTAACCATGGTAACAGGTAACAAAGTCCTTGAGAATTGTATTCTTCAGAAGTTATTTTACTTCTGCTCGAATTTTGTCACCCCAAATCACTGTGAATAGTTTTGTTGCTGTTTATATGGAACTGAAATTATCACAGATAAGTGAATAGGATTGATAACTGTGTGTCCCGAACACAAACGTTCGACCAATAAAGTCAGGTATTTTCCTGGCCCTTTTGTTCGGGAGTCCTGAGGAGTCATTTTTGTGGTCCGTGCCATGTAAAATAAGGATCCCGAGGCATCGCGTGAACAAACAACAACTAAGGAAGTACTAGTGAAACCCTTCACTATGGATGGGATCTTCCTTGTTTGAAACAGCACTTGGGGAATTTAAGGCAGTGCAATTAATGAGCATGCTACAATGTCTAAAAATATTTTCCCCCAAGAAAATCTTTAAAACAAGAATGTAAGTTATTTTGGTAAATGATTTAAGAGAGTCATGGAATGTTTGACAGAGCTGACTGTGTGCAGTGTTTTCCAGGGTGCAGCTGTGTGTGTGCATCAGTCACATGGCCAAGAGTGATTGGCCTGGACGCTGGCCGAACCTAGCTGAGAAGATAGCAGTGTACATCCAGACTGAAGACCCCAAGACTCTGATGGGAGCACTCATGTCACTATACCAGCTGGTCAAAGTATACGAGTAAGTACCCCCCCCCTGGTACCCAGGCCAGAACAGGTCCCCAGTACCCCATACTTGTCTTGCCAAGGACCAAATAGGTCCCCAGTACCCAATACTTGTCTTGCCAAGGGCAGAACAGGTCTCGTCAAGGACAGAATAGGTCCCCAGTATCCCATACTTGTCTTACCAAGGGCCAAATAGGTCCCCAGTACCCCATACTTGTCTTGCCAAGGGCAAAATAGGTCCACTGTATCCCATACTTGTCTTACCAAGGGCTAAATAGGTCCCCAGTACCCTCATACTTGTCTAACCAAGAGCAGAACAGGTCTCGTCAAGGACAGAACAGGTCCCCAGTACCCCATACTTGTCTCATAAAAGGCAGAATAGGTCCCCAGTACCCAACACTTGTCTTACCAAGAGCAGAATAGGTCCCCACCCCCCCGTGCTTATCACATTGTGCAAAGTTGTGTCCCTTAGGTGTACCAGAAACCTGTGATCCTGAGTTTCAGGTTCGATCTGATTATGTTTCTCTCTCTGTCAGCTTTGTTTAAGCCCCACTAATCCCACCTCTGTCCCAGGCAATCAGTCTGCTGCTGCTGGTTGCAGGTACAAGCGAGCTGACGAGCGCAAGGTGCTGGACGACATGATGGTGCACATGTTGCCACTGGTGTATCAGAGGACGCTGCCACTGCTGCAGGACAACAGCGAACTCTCAAACCTCCTCCAGAAGCAGATCCTCAAAATCTTCTTTGCCTTCACACAGGTCAGTAGTCTTCATAGTTCATCCAACCCGTGACCATCTGGGATTGAATAGGTCTTCAGCAACCCATGCTTGTCATAAGAGGTGACGGGATTGGGTGGTCAGGCTCGCTGACTTGGCTGATGAATGTCATTTTATCCCAATTGCGCAGATCGATGCTCATGATGTCAATCACTGAATTGTCTGGTCCAGACTCGATTATTTACAGACCACCATCATATATCTGAAATGTTGCTGAGTGCGGCATTAAACAACAAATGAACAACAACAAAAAAAATCATAGTTCATCCTCTTTACTCAAATCTTTTTATCCTGTAGTAAATTAATTGTCCTGTAATAAATAACGTAGAAACAAACCGTACACTACTCCTTATCATAAATTATAATAACATACAGTAAAACTTGAAAAAAGGACAAATTTCTACTAGTCCTTGAGATACCTTAAGTCTTGGATAGTTTGACAAGGGTGATAGGACTAGTGCCAATTTCTAACACTGTTTATTTGGCTAACCTAGTAAATTTTTGTTTGTTTCCTTAAATGGAGATAAGATATGCCACACCCACTAATGGACTACTGTTTCCTCATTGGTTAATACTAGAATGGGCGGTGCTTGTGTTGCATTATTGGCTATTACCTTTATACCTCCATTAACACAAACAATATTGAAATCAATTCTTAGAAGGAAGGAATCCATACATGGAGTTTGGCTTGCTACTGGTTTGTGTGCAACTCAAGCAGCAGTGATCAGCAGAGTTCCTTTCTAGTGTCAAGAGCCACCACAATTGGTCCAGAATTGCTGCGTCTCTGACTTATCCATTGTTTATGAAATGCCGTATTATCCATCATGGAAGGGTAATGTTTGCATTTAGTGGATGATCTGGCGCATCTGTTTTGGAATTCATCGTAAAGAGCTACAGGAGAGTTTGTTTTCTATACACAGAATTTCCTACCCCAAGCAACTGTACCTAAGGAGGTGTTCACACAGTGGATGGAGGTGTTCAGGCAGATCGTTGATAGACAAGTGCCCCAGGTAGGCGACGCTCTCGAACAAATCTCATTGTTTTTATGGTGCACTTGGCGCCTTGTATCACCGTGTTGGTTCACGGGACAGTCATTGTCATGCCTTGTATCACCGTGTTGGTTCACGGGATAGTCATTGTCATGCCTTGTATCGCTGTGTTGGTTCACGGGACAGTCATTGTCATGCCTTGTATCACCGTGTTGGTTCACGGGACAGTCATTGTCATGCCTTGTATCACCGTGTTGGTTCACGGGACGGTCATTGTCATGCCTTGCATCACCGTGTTGGTTCACGGGACAGTCATTGTCATGCCTTGTATCGCTGTGTTGGTTCACGGGACAGTCATTGTCATGCCTTGTATCACCGTGTTGGTTCACGGGACGGTCATTGTCATGCCTTGTATCACCGTGTTGGTTCACTGGACAGTCATTGTCATGCCTTGTATAACCGTGTCGGTTCACAGGACAGTCATTGTCATGCCTTGTATCACCGTGTTGGTTCACGGGACAGTCATTGTCATGCCTTGTATCACCGTGTTGGTTCACGGGACAGTCATTGTCATGCCTTGTATCACCGTGTTGGTTCACGGGACGGTCATTGTCATGTCTTGTATCATCGTGTTGGTTCACGGGACGGTCATTGTCATGCCTTGTATCACCGTGTTGGTTCACGGGACAGTCACGTCATGCCTTGTATCACCGTGTTGGTTCACGGGACAGTCATTGTCATGCCTTGCATCACCGTGTTGGTTCACGGGACAGTCATTGTCATGCCTTGCATCACCGTGTTGGTTCACGGGACAGTCATTGTCATGCCTTGTATCACCGTGTTGGTTCACGGGACAGTCATTGTCATGCCTTGTATCACTGTGTTGGTTCACGGGACAGTCATTGTCATGCCTTGTATCGCTGTGTTGGTTCACGGGACGGTCATTGTCATGCCTTGTGTTTTTGTTAACAGGACAAGTTTTGGCCATGTCATGGTTCATGGCAGAGTCTCATGTCTGTCATGCTTGTCCACAGGGCAGGCGCTGGCCATGTCATGGTTCATGGCAGAGTCTCATGTCTGTCATGCTTGTCCACAGGGCAGGCGCTGGCCATGTCATGGTTCATGGCAGAGTCTCATGTCTGTCATGCTTGTCCACAGGGCAGGCACTGGCCATGTCATGGTTCATGGCAGAGTCTCATGTCTGTCATGCTTGTCCACAGGGCAGGCGATGGCCATGTCATGGTTCATGGCTGGTTCACCATGTCTGTCACGATAGTCCAGGAGAGGTGGTCTTATGGTAGGACAATGGTTCAATGATACTGACACACAGCATCTACTTCCAGGAGACGAACCAGATAGATGAGGATGATCGGCCTGAGCTGGCCTGGTGGAAAGTGAAGAAGTGGGCAGTGCATATACTGGCCAGAATATTTGAGAGGTAGGGATTGATCATTACTTGCTGAAGATCCGGGGTTGAATAGGTCTTCAGCAACCCATGCTTGCTGTAAAAGGCGACTAACGGTATTGGCCGATCAGGCTCGCTGACTTGGTTGATGCATGTCATCAATCCCATTTGCATGGATCGATGCTCATGATATTAATCACTTGATTGTCAGGTCCAGACTCGATTATTTACAGATCGCCGTCATATAGCAGGAATATTGCTGAATACGGTGTTAAGCAACAAACAAACAAACAAAACTTGCTGGAGAATCTAGCTGTCTAAGTGGTTGGTTGTTGTCTTGTGAAAAACAATACGAGTCATCTGGCCGACCTGTACGGGTGTCATAATGTTGTATGTGACGTGTACAATGCCATGCATCAACAAAGTCCGCTAGCCTGACCACCTGATCTCGTTAGTTGCCTCTTACGACAGTCATAGTCGCCATTTACGGCAAGCATGGGTTGTTGAAGACCTATTCTATCTCGGATCTTCATGGGTAAACTGCAAGTAGATATTTACATTCAACTGCGTGGTGTTTGAACAACTTGAAACAACTTGCTGGGTCTATCAATTTATCAACTGTTAGTTGCTCAGCCTTCACAGATCTCTGTACACAACTCTTTATTACAAATACCAAATTGCACCTGTTCATTCCTTGTGTAAATACTGAAATATGTGCACTTACTGAGTTGACATACTGAATGGCGGATGCCTGTCTCGAGACTCAGTTTGACTTTGTCACATACAAATATTTCATTGAAAATAATTCTTTGTGGTCGGTGGTTCAGTCATGGTTGTGTCATACCAAAAGATGTTGGCATTAAGGGATGAAACAAGGACTGTGTCATGTAAACTGGTATTGATAAATGTGTTAGAGGTGCTAAAAGCGAGGTGTTCAAGATTTTACAACCTGAACTTTGGAGCACTCCCTCAACCTTCGGCCTCAACAAGCCCATTCATGAAATTGTGTACATACAGCTATGTGTTACCCACGTGTGGATTCTAGGGCAGAACAGATCCCTAGTAGTACATCTGTTACCACTGTGTAGATTCCAGGGCAGAATAGATCCCTAGTTGTACATCTGTTACCACTGTGTGCATTCCAGGGCAGAATAGATCCCTAGTAGTACATCTGTTACCACTGTGTGGATTCCAGGGCAGAATAGATCCCTAGTAGTACATCTGTTACCCATGTGTTGATTCCAGGGCAGAATAGATCCCTAGTTGTACATCTGTAACCTCTGTGTGGATTCTAGGGCAGAATAGATCCATAGTAGTACATCTGTTACCACTGTGTGCATTCCAGGGCAGAATAGATCCCTAGTAGTACATCTGTTACCACTGTGTGGATTCTAGGGCAGAATAGATCCCTAGTAGTACATCTGTTACCACTGTGTGCATTCCAGGGCAGAATAGATCCCTAGTAGTACATCTGTTACCCATGTGTGGATTCCAGGGCAGAATAGATCCCTAGTAGTACATCTGTTACCGCTGTGTGGATTCTAGGGCAGAATAGATCCATAGTAGTACATCTGTTACCACTGTGTAGATTCCAGGACAGAATGTACATGGTTGTCATTAGGGTGAGGAAATTAAAGGTCATTGTGCTGTGACAGGAATATTGCTGAATGTGGTGAAACAATAACTCGTGTTTCAGGTATGGAAGTCCCGGAAACGTCACACGAGAATACCAACAGTTTGCTGAATGGTATCTCAAGAGCTTTTCAGGTATGTTTTGTGATTGTAGCTATTTACTGATATAAACTTAGGACCTTATGTACTGTACATGATGCATATCGTCAGGCTTTGGCATACAAGTTGTAATTTGGGAATGTTGCCCAATTTTACTTTGTACATGAGATGATACTTTTGTAAGGACTGAGGCTGTTTAAAAGAGTTGATGCTGTTGTACTGATTTGACACCAGTGTACTGATTTGACACCGTTGTACCCATTTGACACGGTTGTACCCATTTGACATTGTTGCACTGATTGTATTGCAGCTGGGATCCTGCAGGTGTTGCTGAAGATGCTGGACCAGTATCGCCAGAAGATCTACGTCGCTCCCCGCGTTCTACAGCAGACCCTAAACTACATCAATCTTGGGTGAGTCCCGTGTACCCGGCCACCCGGGCACTGTTCATGATAAGGTGTCCTGACTGTCATAGTCTGTGTACCCGGCCACTGTCCATGATAAGGTGTCCTGACTGTCATAGTCTGTGTACCCGGCCACCCGGTCACTGTCCATGATGAGGTGTCCTGACTGTCATAGTCTGTGTACCCGGCCACCCGCCACTGTCCATGATGAGGTGTCCTGACTGTCATAGTCTGTGTACCCGGCCACCCGGTCACTGTCCATGATGAGGTGTACTGACTGTCATAGTCTGTGTACCCGGCCACCCGGTCACTGTCCATGATGAGGTGTCCTGACTGTCATAGTCTGTGCACCCGGCCACCCGGCCACCCGGTCACTGTCCATGATGAGGTGTCCTGACTGTCATAGTCTGTGTACCCAGTCACCCGGTCACTGTCCATGATGAGGTGTCCTGACTGTCATAGTCTGTGTACCCGGCCACCCGGTCACTGTCCATGATGAGGTGTCCTGACTGTCATAGTCTGTGTACCCGGCCACCCGGTCACTGTCCATGATGAGGTGTCCTGACTGTCATAGTCTGTGTACCCAGCCACCCGGTCACTGTTCATGATGAGGTGTCCGACTGTCATAGTCTGTGTACCCAGTCACCCGGTCACTGTCCATGATGAGGTGTCCTGACTGTCATAGTCTGTGTACCCGGCCACCCGGTCACTGTCCATGATGAGGTGTCCTGACTGTCATAGTCCGTGTACCCGGCCACCCGGTCACTGTCCATGATGAGGTGTCCTGACTGTCATAGTCCGTGTACCCAGCCACCCGGTCACTGTTCATGATGAGGTGTCCTGACTGTCATAGTCTGTGTACCCAGCCACCCGGTCACTGTTCATGATGAGGTGTCCTGACTGTCATAGTCTGTGTACCCAGCCACCCGGTCACTGTCCATGATCAGGTGTCCTGACTGTCATAGTCTGTGCACCCGGCCACCCGGCCACCCGGTCACTGTCCATGATGAGGTGTCCTGACTGTCATAGTCTGTGTACCCAGTCACCCGGTCACTGTCCATGATGAGGTGTCCTGACTGTCATAGTCTGTGTACCCGGCCACCCGGTCACTGTCCATGATGAGGTGTCCTGACTGTCATAGTCTGTGTACCCAGTCACCCGGTCACTGTTCATGATGAGGTGTCCTGACTGTCATAGTCTGTGTACCCGGCCACCCGGTCACTGTCCATGATGAGGTGTCCTGACTGTCATAGTCTGTGTACCCGGCCACCCGGCCACCCGGCCACCCGGTCACTGTCCATGATGAGGTGTCCTGACTGTCATAGTCTGTGTACCCGGCCACCCGGTCACTGTCCATGATGAGGTGTCCTGACTGTCATAGTCTGTGTACCCAGTCACCCGGTCACCCGGTCACTGTCCATGATGAGGTGTCCTGACTGTCATAGTCTGTGCACCCGGCCACCCGGCCACCCGGTCACTGTCCATGATGAGGTGTCCTGACTGTCATAGTCTGTGTACCCAGTCACCCGGTCACTGTCCATGATGAGGTGTCCTGACTGTCATAGTCTGTGTACCCAGCCACCCGGTCACTGTTCATGATGAGGTGTCCTGACTGTCATAGTCCGTGTACCCAGTCACCCGGTCACTGTCCATGATGAGGTGTCCTGACTGTCATAGTCTGTGTACCCAGTCACCCGGTCACTGTTCATGATGAGGTGTCCTGACTGTCATAGTCTGTGTACCCGGCCACCCGGTCACTGTCCATGATGAGGTGTCCTGACTGTCATAGTCTGTGTACCCAGTCACCCGGTCACTGTCCATGATGAGGTGTCCTGACTGTCATAGTCCGTGTACCCGGCCACCCGGTCACTGTCCATGATGAGGTGTCCTGACTGTCATAGTCTGTGTACCCGGCCACCCGGTCACTGTCCATGATGAGGTGTCCTGACTGTCATAGTCTGTGTACCCAGTCACCCGGTCACCCGGTCACTGTCCATGATGAGGTGTCCTGACTGTCATAGTCTGTGCACCCGGCCACCCGGCCACCCGGTCACTGTCCATGATGAGGTGTCCTGACTGTCATAGTCCGTGTACCCAGTCACCCGGTCACTGTTCATGATGAGGTGTCCTGACTGTCATAGTCTGTGTACCCAGTCACCCGGTCACTGTTCATGATGAGGTGTCCTGACTGTCATAGTCTGTGTACCCGGCCACCCGGTCACTGTCCATGATGAGGTGTCCTGACTGTCATAGTCTGTGTACCCAGTCACCCGGTCACTGTCCATGATGAGGTGTCCTGACTGTCATAGTCTGTGTACCCGGCCACCCGGTCACTGTCCATGATGAGGTGTCCTGACTGTCATAGTCCGTGTACCCGGCCACCCGGTCACTGTCCATGATGAGGTGTCCTGACTGTCATAGTCCGTGTACCCAGTCACCCGGTCACTGTTCATGATGAGGTGTCCTGACTGTCATAGTCCGTGTACCCAGCCACCCGGCCACTGTTCATGATAAGGTGTCCTGACTGTCATAGTCTGTGTACCCAGTCACCCGGTCACTGTTCATGATGAGGTGTCCTGACTGTCATAGTCCGTGTACCCGGGGCCGCTGCTGTGGTCTAGTGGTAGAGCATCAGCCCAGAGAGAAGGTGGGTTGTTCAAACCCCGGCCGCGTCATACCAAAAGATGCTACTTGTTGTTACCCAGTCTGGCGCTCAGCATTAAGGGGCTAAAACAAGGACTGGTCGGCTCAGAGTCAATATACTGTGTTTGAGTGGGGTATTCATGTTAAACTGTGGCATGGTATCTCAGTGGGCTAGCACTATAAATCCGCATCAGTCCGGACTTGTACAAGCAGCAACACACACACACATGTGCAAGCATGTTGCTATATAAATGCCTCATCCCACCCTTTAACTGTCCATGAAAAAGTGACTGTCTTAGTGCATGCAACATCCTTGATAGAGTGTTTGGATTTGTTTGTTACAGGGACACTTAAATAATATAGCAATCTGTGTTTCAATGTACTCGGTGGCCACAGTGTTTTGAATTGTCTCTTCTCTTTTCCAGAATCAGTCACGCCTATTCATGGAAGTACATTAAACAACACATGCAGGTGAGAGAATGCAGTCCCAGACTTGTTGATAACCTTTTCTAAATGTCCAAGGATTATGTATTTTCTCTTCGCACTGAAGACCAAATTTCAATTCCCAACATTGGTGAAGCATATCCTCGGTGTTGAACTGGGGTAGCCATATTGTGGAGACTTGGAGCTATGTCCCTCCCTCCATGGAGCTGTACCCTTTATACTGAGGTAGCCATATTGTGGAGACTTGGAACTATGTCCCTCCATCATGGAGCTGTACCCTTTACACTGAGGTAGCCATATTGTGGAGACTTGGAGCTATGTCGCTCCCTCCATCATGGAGCTGTACCCTTTACACTGAGGTAGCCATATTGTGGAGACTTGGAGCTATGTCCCTCCCTCCATGGAGCTGTACCCTTTACACTGAGGTAGCCATATTGTGGAGACTTGGAGCTATGTCCCTCCATCATGGAGCTGAACCCTTTACACTGAGGTAGCCATATTGTTGAGACTTGGAGCTATGTCCCTCCCTCCATGGAGCTGTACCCTTTATACTGAGGTAGCCATATTGTGGAGACTTGGAGCTATCTCCCTCCCTCCCTCCATCATGGAGCTGAACCCTTTATACTGAGGTAGCAATATTGTGGAGACTTGGAGCTATGTCTCCCCCCCCCCCCCCCCCCCCTCCATGGAGCTGTACCCTTTATACTGAGGTAGCCATATTGTGGAGACTTGGAACTATGTCCCCTCCCTCCATGGAGCTGTACCCTTTATACTGAGGTAGCCATATTGTGGAGACTTGGAGCTATGTCCCCTCCCTCCATGGAGCTGAACCCTTTATACTGAGGTAGCCATATTGTGGAGATTTGGAGCTATGTCCCCTCCCTCCATGGAGCTGAACCCTTTATACTGAGGTAGCCATATTGTGGAGACTTGGAGCTATGTCCCCTCCCTCCATGGAGCTGAACCCTTTATACTGAGGTAGCCATATTGTAGAGATTTGGAGCTATGTCCCCTCCATCATGGAGCTGAACCCTTTATACTGAGGTAGCCATATTGTGGAGACTTGGAGCTATGTCCCCTCCCTCCATGGAGCTGAACCCTTTATACTGAGGTAGCCATATTTTAGAGATTTGGAGCTATGACCCCCCTATCATGGAGCTGTGTCCCTCCCTACACTAGAGTGCAGAAACCTTGGTCTTCAGCTTGATGAGGTATGTACTTTGCGACTCTCTGAAGCTGATACTTTGTTTTTGTGTCATGAAATGGTCTCACAGTTGAAGCTATGCTGGAGACCAAAGTTATTATCAGTGCGAGGTTGGAGCTGTATCTCAGCGTCCCGCTGTTTGCTGATGTTTTTGAGGCCACCTGTCTGTTGATGAGGAGAGGGAATCTCAGGTACTGTTTGTGTTTCAGACACTGATGCAGGATGTTATATTCCCGCTGATGTGTCACAGCGATGAGGATGATGAGCTGTGGAACACCGACCCTCACGAATACATACGGGTCAAGTATGGTGAGTTGTCTCTTCTGTGTGCCCTAAAGTATGAGTGCCGTTGTCACACTGAGCCAGATTGAGGTCTGTTTACCCCTGTTTACGTCATTGTTAAAGGGCAAGTTCACACGGAATTGAACCTATTTTTCTTGTACTTTTTCCACATTAAAAGTGTTAACCTAGAAGTGTCATAGACGAAAATATAAAAATATCACTAATAATTGACATATTTTTTGCATTAAAATGATTTATATTTTTCACATTTACCAAGTGTTCTATTTCCATAACAAAAACACCATGGCTTATGCCCCTTACAATATGACGTCATTGGTGCCAATTGATAAACATTATGACGTCATCATGCTTTGTTAGAGCCGCTTCACGTGGTGTAGGTACAGGTGTGTGATTCTAGCGTCTCAGATGCCAGCCAGCATAGTGTTATGCTGAGTCACCACTGCGCCGGAGTGTGTCGTAGGCCATGTTGTTTTACCACTAAAAGGTACTTGATATCTTTTGCGTTGAGAATAGACAGGGACCCAGTTGAATTGGCACCAATTACGTCATAATCTAAGGGGGATAACTCAGGCCTGTTTAGCTCGAAAAACGAAGGCCTCATAACGGCTTATCATTTTCACACTATTGTGAGCTTCCTACTTTCACTGTGAAAAAAATGAGTATATTTTCAAACACAGATACTAACTAATTCTAAAATTGCGTTTTGTTTAGAAAAAGATAGAAAATGATTTTTGTGTGTACACTTCCCCTTTAAGTCCTTTTGGCCTCTGTGATAGACATATCATACACTGTTGAATAAGAGTTGATTAAGTACATGGAGGAAACGTACAATGGATAATTGTTATTGTTACCATTATGCTACAATGACGTTATCCACTTTATATTCATTTCTACACATTTATCAAAATATTTATTTTTTCAGATGTGTTTGAAGATTTCCTGTCTCCAGTGATGGCTGCCCAGATAGTTTTCTATTCTGCGGCTGCCAAAAGGAAAGAGGTGTTGAACAAGGCCATGGGTTTCTGCATGTCCATCTTGACCCAGCCCAACATCGACCCTCGCCAGAAGGATGGTGCCCTGCATATGGTGGGGGCCGTGGCCGAGGTGCTTCTCAAGGTCGGTGGACACAGAGGCGTAGTTTGTGATTATCATTAAGCCAGAATTGTCATAAATAAATTTACTTCCAAAACTGGCTTCCACGGGTGATATAGTATAGTAAGAACTAGCGATATCTCCTGGGTGAGATCAAGCGATATCCCCTGAGACTAGTGCATGAAGAGCTGATTCTTGAGAACTCTCAGCATTTGTTGCAGTAAAATCATGACTGTTAGACAGGAGTTACCTCCCTTCCGTGAGTGATAAACGTCTTTTCTGTCATTTCAGAGGAAGATCTACAAGGACCAGGCAGAGCTGATGCTGACAAACCATGTCTTTCCAGAATTCACAAGCCAGTTTGGCTACCTGAGAGCTAGAGTGAGTTCACCGCGGCTTGTTGAGATGCTGCATTGTAGTCTGACAAGAGACATAAGACTTAAAACATTAGAATCAAGACCAAGGAAAATCATCCATCCGTCCGTCCTTACATACGTCCATCGGTCTGTCTCTCCACACTGTTGTGAGTTAGGAGATAAACGTACTGTGTTTTCAATGTAGAGCTAGGTTACCTGTAGATTTAACCGCGCTAAATTGAATTTGGAACCGAACGCGCAGATCACAGGAGGGCAGACCTCACGACCCTCCCAACTCTGTACACAGGAGATTACATTGTGTTGGTTACAACATGTGTATCATAATGTTGGCGGTAGGACTTGTCTCAACCTTATTGGACCTTATTTGGAAGAGTAGTCTCCCTTTGTATGTATGGATCCACGCTCCTTCCCAGCGCATGACACCTTCGTTATACTCTTGGTAACATCGCTGCCACCTGTGTGGGCATGGCTGTTACAAGAATCTTAAAATTTGCCCTCTAACCCCAAATGTAATAATATTTTTACTTTTGTTTATGTCTTTGGGAATTCAATTATAGTTAATTTGGAAAAGGCTTTACGATTGACCATATTTCCAAGATGAATTTACCATTTTGTTTTGTTTGATGACATTGGTTCGAGGTTGCAGACGAACGGAAAATCAACCAACATCCTCGTTACACTCTTACGACATCAAATACATGATACTTGTAATGAAACAGAAACTAAGATTGACAAAAAAAAAAATTCATCAGGGGTAAGCAGGGGTAGAAACTAACTAGTCCTTATAATGATAACATATAGCAAAACCTTTTAAAATTTAAAATTTAAAATTTCTACTAGTCCTTATGATACCTTAACTATTGGGCAGTTTGGCAAGGACTACAGGACTAGTCCCAATTTCTAACGCTGGGTAAGAGTATTCGGCGTGACAGCAGTCATCACTTGTTTGTGAACATAACGGTCAGTCGGTTGCGAGTTCAACTCCAAGCATGGTTGTGGCCACCTATCACAGTGGGGAGCTTTGACTGGTGGCAGCGATTGTATAGAGAGCTCCACAAACGGGCTATCGGTGTGAGGAGCTTGGTATTGACCAAAGATTGTGACTCTTCTTTTTGAAGGCCTGCTGGGTGATCCGCTACTTCTGTGAGCTGAAGTTCCGCAACGAGCAGAACTTGATGCAGGCTGCGGAGATGATCAAGGCGTGTCTATGTAACGACAAGGACCTGCCTGTCCGAGTAGAGGCTGCTATCGCCCTGCAGATGATCATCACGGAGCAGGAGAAAGGTGAGTGCTGCTCGTGATGCTTGTGCAGCAGTCTATACTTTCAAATCAGTAGAGCTGTATTTGGGTAGGGGGATTTGGGGTAGCCTAGTGCAAGGGTAGATTTAGCATCAAATTTGTATGTGGCCAGCAAGGCTTGATCCTTTTAAAAGTTACTAGCCCTTCTCCGAACTAACTGGCCTACAGTTATATGATGGAGGCTGCGTGGCTGAACCTGTGGTCGCGTAGCCACCTTACGAGGCTCTGAAAATTTTAGTTCTCCTCACCCCTGAAATGCCTTCCCTGCACTCTGAGATTAAACCTTGGCTTCCATTTGCCTCATTCCGTGGTGATTTATGAGCAAATAAAGAAATTGTTGTACACAACATTACAAAATGGCAGCCGGTTGTCAGTCCACAAAGATGATTGACATATATCTTTCACTGAGTTAACCATTCACAAGACCTCATCCCCCCCCGTAAATATTTTCTCATCAAAATTACATCATTCACGAGTAGTGTCCAGTTCAAAATATTTAACATGGCAGGAGAAGGGGTGAAATTTTGACTAGCCAGACAGCCGTCTACTTTACGTTTCAGCAAGTCCTTTGTAATTTTAACTAGCCACAAGTCAGTTGATCAGCAGTTAAATCGAACCTTGCTAGTGGTTAAGGTGTTGGCTTGTCACACAAGATCTGCCTTATTTTCTCCACATTGGTACACTGTGTGAAGGTGTGAAATGGAACATTGCTTGAGCCCTGTGAGGAATCCGGGATATAGTTTGTCCACTTAACCTATGCTTGTGGTTTGAGGTACACATACAGTGGCAGCCACTTGGCTCTAGGACTTGTTGACTTGGTCATCGCACCCTGATTGTTTGGTCCACATTTGATTATTTGCAGGCCGCCATCATATGTTGTTGAGTTTGGCTTTAACCAACCAACATGCTTGTGGTGGCCTAAAACTACTCATTTGGTTGATTACAGTAGATGCAATTCGTGGCGTAATATTTCCCCCAGAACTATCCTTACCTTTTCATCATTGATAACCCCAAATGTGAAATTAGAATCTTGTTGAAAAGTAGATTTCGTATTCATAGTATGATGTGACTTACACTTTGGTTACAAAATATATGTTCTTTCATTTCAGCCAAAAATTATATCCGCCCTTTTGTGAAGCCTGTGATTTTAGGTGAGTCTTTGTGCTGATCCTCTTTCATTGGAGGCAGTTTATTGCTCAACACTGAATAGTCAGACTTTGCTTATGTTGCCGATTCTTGATGATGTTTGGTGACAGTGTGTGGAGTTGGTTGCTATGGTGACTTTATGTGGAGTTGGTTGCTATGTTGACTTTATGTGGAGTTGGTTGCTATGTTGACTTTATGTGGAGTTGGTTGCTATGGTGACTTTATGTGGGAGTGTGGTAGCTATGGTGACTTTATGTGGAGTTGGTTGCTATGTTGACTTTATGTGGAGTTGGTTTCTATGGTGACTTTATGTGGGAGTGTGGTAGCTATGATGACAGTATGTGGAGTTGGTTGCTATGGTGACTGTGGGAGTGTGGTAGCTATGATGACAGTATGTGGAGTTGGTTGCTATGGTGACTGTATGTGGGAGTGTGGTAGCTATGGTGACTGTATGTGTGAGTTTGGTTGCTGTGGTAAAATATGTGGGAGTGTAGTTGCTGTGGTGACAATAGGTCTGAGTTTGGTTGCTATGGTACAGTATATGGGTTTTGGTTGCTATGGGATAGTATGTAGGATTTTGGTTGCTATGGTAACAGGTCAGTTTGGTTGCTGTGGTACAGTATGTGGGAGTTTGGTTGCTATGGTGACTGTATGTGGGAGTTTGGTTGCTATGTACAGTATGTGGGAGTTTGGTTGCTATGGTATGGTACGAGTGTGGGAGTTGAGTTGCTTATGTAGCTGTGACTGCTGCAAGAAACCAGTCTAACCGAAGCCACAATAGATTGTATGTCTGTGTCTGATTTCACAGAGTTGCTGAAGGTAATCCGGGAGACCGAAAACGATGACCTGACGGGCGTGATGCAGCGACTTGTCTGCACCTACACCGATGATGTTATCCCCATTGCAGTGGAGATGATGAGTCATCTTGTAAGTGGGCAATTTCCAATACTGATCAAACCTTAATCGACAAGCTCAGCCTGTAATGTAGTCTTGTCCTTGTCATTGACAAAGTTAAGAAGACTGCTTCGGTCTGTCAACACAGCTTGATGTTCAGAGTTGTCTCCCTTAGGTGCCATGATCGCCAGGCCATGTGTTTGGACCCCCCCTAGTTGACTAAGGCTTGTAGGAGGCATTTAGTTTGGCGGTCAGGCCTTCAAGAGGTGAAAATTACAATCTGCCTTGAATAGCCTTTAAGATTTGATGAAACCTTTGAAGATGAATAGGAGATTTGCCTGACATCTGTGTACAGGGACATCAGTAACTGTCGTACAGTATCATTGTGTCAGCACCATACCCGTACCCGTTTCACCAAAGTGGTAAACATCTGAGACCTGCATCACTTCGGGCTTTCCTCCCACATTAAGCTGACATGCCGTGATATAACTGAAATACTGTTAAAAGTGGCATTAAACCCCACTCACTCACTCACTCACTCACTCACTCACTCACTCACTCACTCACACTCACTCACACTCACTCACTCACTCACTCACTCACACTCACTCACACTCACTCACACTCACTCACTCACTCACTCACTCACATACATCATGCTTGTCACAGTGTCTAACTAAGATTTAGATGGAGTCTGCCTCTGTGACTAGACTGATACTTTGACAATGATTGCCTTGGCCAGACTGGAATTAATGAAAGCTGTTATCATCTTCCCCAGGCAGGGGAGTTACCTGACATTAAGAGTTCAGTTTCCACCCTTGTTGAACTAGGCTGGAATTATGGAGTTATACTAAGTCCATGCATAGACAAAATACCATAATGATATCGACATCGGGTTTAATAACAACATGGCAACTGCTGTGCCGAATTTGTTCAGTTGCATGATTTTCAGAACATGTGTACCGTCAACTGGGCTTTGACAAATATGTTCCAAATATTTTCAAGTTTTTAAGTGGTCAAGTGATTTGATACACTTCGCAAGGTAAAGCCTGTTTTATTACAATAAAGAATTTTATTATCAATGAGATCGTCTTGACTGGCCACTGCCATTTTGTTTGAAGCAAATGCAAGTTATATGAGAGGTGGAATCTGATTGGTCAATAGGAGGGTCATAGAAGGGACATAACTCATAATAGCCGATGCTGGCGCAACTATGGAGCCCAGAAGCTCCAGCCTAATTCAGCAAGGGTGGAAACTGGACTTTTACAGTCTGTTAACTCCCTTGACTCTGGAAGATGTTATTTTGTTGACATGGGTGGAATAATGCTGACTGTGTCATTCTCTCTCTCTCCCCTCTTATTATCAGGACAGCATTAACTGTTAAAGTGTTTGTTAAATATGTGATGGAGTTAAAGTTTTTAACTTATTCTGCATTACTCCTTTATGCATTTACTGCTGTTTTTGAACAGAAAGGGGAAGCTGTGAGAGGGTAAGACTAAAAAGCACAAACCATAAGCAAAACAACAATCACTAGAATAATTCTGTAGAGTTTATTCTCAAACACGTCTAGTCTGTTTTAATGACTAGCAGTAATGTGATTATTCATGACGTCACCACTTCCTTGTTCACGTGGGTGCTGTGTGATGGGATTAGCCACACACATAGTTGGAACAACCTTTTCTTCAGCTGGACCTCACACAGCTTATTCTCTCAGTCCAAAACACAGCAGTAAATGCATTGAGGAGTAATGCAGGATAAGTATACAAATGTAAAAATATTTTGATTTGACTAATTCTCTTGTTCCAGGCCCAGACATTTGCTCAGGTGTTAGACACAGATGTAGATGGGTCTGAAGAGAAGGCTATCACGGCTCTAGGAATCCTCAACACTATGGAAACAATTCTCAACGTCATGGAGGAACAGAAAGAGGTAAGACTAAACTGTTACATTCCGAGGAACCTCGTTAATGTGGTGCTGAGCACTGTTGGTTGTCTAGGAAACTAGATTAGACAGGGTGGTCAAACTGCTTGATGTCACTCATGATGTCAACCACTAGTTTGCCTGACCCAGATGTTACACATTGAGATATACACGTTTGATTAATTCATATCTTTTTAGGGGGTGGTGGTGCATGGGTGGCCCAGTCGTCTAAGGTGCCACGATCCACAATGCAGAGTTGTGTCCCTTGGGCACGCCAGAAACCTATGATTGTGGGTTCGAATCCTGATTATGTTTCTAGGTTTGACAGCACCATAACCGTGCTCATGTGTAAATGTAAACGTCTGAGACCTGCATCACTTCGGGCTTTCCTCCCACATTAAGCTGACACGCCGTGATATAACTGGAATAATGTTAAAAGCGGCATTAAACCCCACTCACTTACTCATTAACAAGCAATCAGTTGAAAGAACACATACAACGACTGCCTCCTGAAATGTTTTGTGAGGACCTTTCCATGTGGAGTTCTCTCCCTTGTATTTTGTCACTACTCAGTATATTGGATTGAATGTAGGCAAAGAATGTGATTGAATTTCTTCGTTTTCTTTCCAGATTATAACCCAGCTAGAAGGAATAGTTCTAAATGTTATAGGAATAATTTTACAGCAAAACATAATGGGTATGACCTTTGTTTCTATTTTCTGACTTTTGTATGAGACTTTAAGGTTTCTCAAAGAATATCCTATGGATCATTTTGTTTTAGAAGAAAATAGCATCGTCATGTAAAATAATAATCTGAATAAATCTTCTTTTTTTCTGATGCATTGAAAACATTAATTGAACTGTGAAAGAGACAAATTTAACTCAAGCAGCATTTTTGTTTGTATCAATATACAAGGTAATCTTACTTTTCTCACAACATAGTGATACGAGTGATTAGAAGAGAAATGGATGACTACAGAATCCGGTTCGATAAATCATTGATTCTTCTCTGTGGTTCAATGACCTTGGAATGTATTTATATTGACTGACTTTGTCTCCAGATTTTTACGAGGAGGTGTTATCCCTGATCTACAGTCTGACCAGCACACAGGTGTCCCACCACATGTGGGAGGTGTTTGGCATGATCTACCAGATGTTCCAGAAGGATGGCATCGACTACTTCACAGGTAACTCCACACCCGTGAACGTTCGGGGCAGAATAGGTCTTCAGCAACCCACGCTTGCCGTAAAAGGCGACTATGCGTGTCGTAAGAGGCGACTAACGGGTACTGGTGGTCAGACTTGCTGACTTGGTTGATGCATGTCATCGTTTCCCAATGAGTGGATCAAGGCTCATGATGTCAATCACTGGATTGACAGACTCGATTATTTACAGACCGCCGTCATATAGCTGGAATATTGCTGAGTGCGGCGTTAAAGAAACAAACAAACACCAAACCTCTTGGGAAACATGGGGGCTTCAGAGGAGAAATTTTTAAACTTATCCGATCTCACACTTTGCATCTCTACCTTCTACTTCGATCCTGTTTGATTGAAGTGAAGAACCGGTCTTGGATTTCTTAGTTGAATCCTTGGCCTTAGAATGCTGGTCTGAAAACCTGCGACGACATCGCTGAAGATAGATGCAGACGGCAGAATCTGGCAAAGTATGACACTCTGCACACTGTGTGACGACATCGCTGAAGATAGATGCAGACGGCAGAATCTGGCAAAGTATGACACTCTGCACACTGTGTGACGACATCGCTGAAGATAGATGCAGACGGCAGAATCTGGCAAAGTATGACACTCTGCACACTGTGTGACGACATCGCTGAAGATAGATGCAGAAGGCAGAATCTGGCAAAGTATGACACTCTGCACACTGTGTGACGACATCGCTGAAAATAGATGCAGACGGCAGAATCTGGCAAAGTATGACACTCTGCACACTGTGTGACGACGTCGCTGAAGACGTCCGATGTTGGATATGTGTATCCACATTCTTTGCATGCCTGCTGTTGTCTGTTGGCTCATCTTTGTTGGCTGTGTATTTATTCACAGAACAGGGCAAACAAACTTTCTTAGATGTCAAAACTCACCACACAGTGGCGATGAGAAAGAGAATGAGTTGGCAGAGGTATGCACATGGTCAGGTCGATACTGGGGGTGTTCCAGTGAATGTTTTATTTTAGAAGTTGAAAACATGGTTCAAGCACATTTCCACATGGGATCGAAGGAGATGGAAGAAATGCAAAGTGTGTGATAGATATACAATTTATACTAAAATTTCAAGTAACTCCCAAGTACCCTCTACTTTGAGATTCCAGAAGAGAAAGTCCTCAGAGCTGTCTGCTTGTTCTCCTGGCTTATTCCAGTATAGGAACAATCTCCCATACCCCATACTTGCCTCCTATTGGGATGCAAGGCTGGAATATGTCCTAAATACCCCATGTTTAAGATGTAGTTGCCTTTGTATCAGTAAAGCTCTGGTTAATTTCTGCGAATCTTCCTTTTGGTCACCGTCCACTGTTCGTATTCCAGATATGATGCCAGCCCTACACAACTACATCACCGTGGATACGCCAGCCTTCCTCGCCAACCCTTCATATCTTCAGATTATTTACGACATGTGTAAAACAGTCAGTATCTATGCTCACAATGTCCTATCCTCACATTATATGATACATGTAAAGATCCGGGTTAGAATTGGTCTTCAGCTGCTCATGCTTGTCATAAGAGGTGTCTATGGGATCGGGTGGTCAGGCTCACTGACTTGGTCGGTGCATGTATGTGTCGATCCATGCTCATGATGTTAATCACTGGATTGTCTGTTCCAGACTTGAATATTAACAGACTGCCATCATATAGCTTGAATATTTCTGAGTGCTGCGTTAAACATCAAACAAGCAAACACACTATATACACCCTGTGCGGACCTGGCTTAGTAAACGCCCCCAGCACCCCAAGGTTGCTTGTTAAAAAATGATTAAACTTGTGATTAAGTATTGAGGAAGAAGTTGTTGCCAGGCAACCCAGGATCTAGGAATGATGTTCAAGTAAACACTGTTGAGGTCAAGGAGAATGAGGATCTTTATAATGATAAATATTTTATGAATGAAATGTGAAGTTTGTTTAGATATCTGTCTTGTAGCGGTGTGAACATGTGTTGCAGCAGTTGCGTTGTGTTGCAGGTGTTGACGGGAGAAGTGGGCGAGGACCCCGAGTGTCATGCAGCCAAGCTCCTCGAGGTCATTATTCTTCAGTGTCCAGGGAAAGTTGACCATGTAAGTCCCCTGTCCTCACATCTCCCCGACACTTCAAAACCCCTCAAGGGGTGGTCGGGTAGCCTAGTGGTTAAAGCGTTCGCTCGTCACGCGAAGACCTGGGTTCGATTCCCGACATGGGTACAATGTGTGTAGCCCATTTCTGGCGTCCCCCGCCATGATATTGCTGGAATACTGCTAAAAGCGGCGTAAAACCATAGTCACTCACTCACTCAAAACCCCTCAACCTCCTTACGATTTACCGACCCTTATGAGGACTTTAAAATTTGTTCACCAAGTACAGGAAATGTGTCGTTCTGAAATAGAAGGGTGGTCATAAGAGGCGACCTAACCTATGTCATCGTACCCCGACTGCATGGATCACAACATCGATCACTGGATTGTCTAGTCCAGACTTGATAACTTGCAGACCACCATCATATAGCTGGAATATCAAACAACAAGCAAAGTCTTTCAGAGTTCTGAGTTTCAGAGTCGGTTTTGGTGACCTTGATCCCATTTTCAAGGTCACAGCAGGCAAATCTGCTTTTGGAGTTGGAAAACGGTGTTGCCGCGATATCTCAAGAACTAAACACTGGATTGTCTTCATATTTGGAACTATGGTGTATATACAGACTCCGCAGACACCAGTCGGTTTTGGTGACCTTGATCCCATTTTCAAGGTCACAGCAGGCAAATCTGCTTTTTGGAGTTGGAAAACGGTGTTGCCGCGATATCTCAAGAACTAAACACTGGATTGTCTTCATATTTGGAACTATGGTGTATATACAGACAACGCAGACACCAGTCGGTTTTGGTGACCTTGACCCCATTTTCAAGGTCACAGCAGGTAAATCTGCTTTTGGAGTTAGAAAACGGTGTTGCCGCGATATCTCAAGAACTAATCGCTGGATTGTCTTCATATTTGGAACTATAGTGTATATACAGACACCGCATCCACCTGTCAGATTTGGTGACCTTGACCCCATTTTCAAGGTCACAGCAGGCAAATCTGTTTTTGGAGTTGGAAAACGGTGTTGCCACAATATCTCAAGAACTAATCGCTGGATTGTCTTCATATTTGGTACTATGGTGTACAGGCGGGGGATATTTCGTCACTCTGTGACAAATACTTGTTAGTATTATGTTTGAAAGTTTCATTGATGTGAGATTACAAGTTCACGAACAGTGGAAGACTTCGTCCATCATATGAAGTCATGTTGCTGGGAGTAACAGCTACATCTGAAACAACAAAACAATACAATAAGCGTGCCGGCTAGTGTTGAATGTGTAATGATGGATAATTGTGTTTCTGGGTTGCAGGTCGTGCCATCATTTGTGGAGCTGGTCTTGCAGCGGTTGACGCGGGAAGTTCAGACATCGGAGTTGAGGACAATGTGTTTACAAGTAGTCATATCTGCACTGTATTATAACACTCCCTTGTTGTTCGAGATGTTACAAACAATCCAGATCCCCAACATGCAGGGATCAATACTAGCACAGTTCCTCAAGCAGTGGCTCCACGACGCAGACTGCTTTCTAGGGTGAGGACCATCTTCTCCAGGTCTCGGCAGCGGCATACCATGTATCCCAGAGTATTTAGATCAGTCTGTTGCCCAGGTAGCACTGGATCTGTCAGTACTTAGGGTAACCACCAGGTCAGTGAGTGCTCGGGGCAACCAGATCGGGCAGGGTTTAGGGCAACCAAATGGGGTGAGTTTTCAGAGAAACCAAATGAGGGAGGATTCAGGGCAACCAAATCTCGGAGGGTTCAGGGCAACCAGATCAGTGAGTGCTAAGGGCAACTAGTTTGGGCAGGATTCAGGGCAACCAAATTGGGGTGAGTTTTCAGAGAAACCAAATGAGGGAGGATTCAGGGCAACCAAATCTCGGAGGGTTCAGGGCAACCAGATCAGTGAGTGCTTAGGGCAACTAGTTTGGGCAGGGCTAAGGGCAACCAAATCTCGGAGGGTTAAGGGCAGCCAGATCAGTGAGTGCTTAGGGCAACTAGTTTGGGCAGGGCTAAGGGCAACCAAATATGGGGGTTTAGGGCAACCAGATCAGTAGGTGATTCGGGAAACAGGTTCGGGCGGGGTTCAGGGCAGCTGAATCAGGGATAGTTTTCAGCACCATATCAGGGTGTGTTCAGGGCTACTTGGTCCGGCAGGCAGGCAGGCAGTCAGGCAGGCCTTCAGGGCAACCAGATCTGTGTACTAGTCGGACTAGTCAAATCCCATTGTCAATGATAATTTTATTGAAACTTTAAATAGGCTGAGAATTTCATGTCTCAGAATTAATTGAAAGTGTGTAAGGGTAGTCATAACATTGAATATTAAGTTTCTTTTGCAGGCTTCATGACCGAAAGATATGTGTGCTTGGTCTGTGTTCAGTGTTAAATATGCCAACCAACCGCCCAGCGGAAATCACAGCTGTCGCCCCCCAGATAGTACCTGCGGCACTGCTCCTGTTCCAGGGATTAAAACGAGCATATGCAAGTAGGTGTCTGGTGTAGAATAGGGGTGGTGGGGTAGCCTTGTGGTTAAGCCAAAGGCCAAGGTTCGATTCCCCATATCAGTACAATGTGTGAAGCCCATTTCTGGTGTCCCCCGTCATGATATTGCTGGAACTTTGCTAAAAGCGGCGTAAAAACATATTCACTCACTTTTGTTGATTATATACAAATAGGTGTCTTGTGAAGATTATATACAAGTAGGTTTCTGTGTAGATTATTAGCTCGCCTGGTCCGAAACACCAAGGTGAGCTTATGCCATACTGTGGTGTGTGTCAACAATTTTTTCAAACGACTTCTTCTGATGAACCACTAATTGGAAATTAACGTAATTTGACTGGGAGCAACCCTAGGTGTGGGGATTAAGAATTGTGCAAATGGTAGCGCTCAGCCCCCTAGGATACTGAGGGCCGGGGCCAAATAGGGGTAATTTGGCTATACTGCTTTAAACGACTTCTTCTCTGGAACTAAGAGATAGATATCAACATTATTTGGTTGGAAGCATTCTCCAGTGGTGGGGATTCAAAATGGTACAAATCGTGGGGCTGACCTCCCAAGGGGCTGAGGGGCGGAGCCTAAAAGGGGTAATTTGGCTTTTTTGTTTTAAACGACTTCTCTGGAACTAAGGATAGGTATCGACCATATATGGTTGGAAGTGTCCTCCGGTGGTAAGGATTCAAGGTTGTACAAATATAGGGAGGTGTCTGGTGTAGATTATATACAAGTAGGTGTCTGGGGTAGATTATATACAAGTAGGTGTCTGGTGTAGATTATATACAAGTAGGTGTCTGGGGTAGATTATATACAAGTAGGTATCTGGGGTAGATTATATACAAGTAGGTGTCTGGTGTAGATTATATACAAGTAGGTGTCTGGGGTAGATTATATACAAGTAGGTGTCTGGTGTAGATTATATACAAGTAGGTGTCTGGTGTAGATTATATACAAGTAGGTGTCTGGTGTAGATTATATACAAGTAGGTGTCTGGTGTAGATTATATACAAGTAGGTGTCTGGTGTAGATTATATACAAGTAGGTGTCTGGTGTAGATTATATACAAGTAGGTGTCTGGTGTAGATTATATACAAGTAGGTGTCTGGTGTAGATTATATACAAGTAGGTGTCTGTGTAGATTATATACAAGTAGGTGTCTGGTGTAGATTATATACAAGTAGGTGTCTGGGGTAGATTATATACAAGTAGGTGTCTGGTGTAGATTATATACAAGTAGGTGTCTGGGGTAGATTATATACAAGTAGGTGTCTGGTGTAGATTATATACAAGTAGGTGTCTGGTGTAGATTATATACAAGTAGGTGTCTGGGGTAGATTATATACAAGTAGGTGTCTGGTGTAGATTATATACAAGTAGGTGTCTGGTGTAGATTATATACAAGTAGGTGTGTGTAGATTATATACAAGTAGGTGTCTGTGTAGTTTATATACAAGTAGGTGTCTGTGTAGATTATATACAAGTAGGTGTCTGGTGTAGATTATATACAAGTAGGTGTCTGGTGTAGATTATATACAAGTAGTTGTCTGGGGTAGATTATATACAAGTAGGTGTCTGGGGTAGATTATATACAAGTAGGTGTCTGGTGTAGATTATATACAAGTAGGTGTCTGGTGTAGATTATATACAAGTAGGTGTGTGTAGGTTATATACAAGTAGGTGTCTGTGTAGTTTATATACAAGTAGGTGTCTGGTGTAGATTATATACAAGTAGGTGTCTGGTGTAGATTATATACAAGTAGGTGTCTGGTGTAGATTATATACAAGTAGTTGTCTGGGGTAGATTATATACAAGTAGGTGTCTGTGTAGATTATATACAAGTAGGTGTCTGGTGTAGATTATATACAAGTAGGTGTCTGGTGTAGATTATATACAAGTAGGTGTCTGTGTAGATTATATACAAGTAGGTGTCTGGTGTAGATTATATACAAGTAGGTGTCTGGTGTAGATTATATACAAGTAGGTGTCTGGTGTAGATTATGTACAAGTAGGTGTCTGGTGTAGATTATATACAAGTAGGTGTCTGTGTAGATTATATACAAGTAGGTGTCTGGTGTAGATTATGTACAAGTAGGTGTCTGTGTAGATTATATACAAGTAGGTGTCTGTGTAGTTTATATACAAGTAGGTGTCTGTGTAGATAATATACAAGTAGGTGTCTGGTGTAGATTATATACAAGTAGGTGTCTGGTGTAGATTATATACAAGTAGTTGTCTGGGGTAGATTATATACAAGTATGTGTCTGGGGTAGATTGTATACAAGTAGGTGTCTGGTGTAGATTATATACAAGTAGGTGTCTGTGTAGATTATATACAAGTAGGTGTTTGTGTAGATTATATACAAGTAGGTGTCTGTGTAGATTATATACAAGTAGGTGTCTGGGGTAGATTGTATACAAGTAGGTGTCTGGTGTAGATTATATACAAGTAGGTGTCTGGGGTAGATTATATACAAGTAGGTGTCTGGTGTAGATTATATACAAGTAGGTGTCTGGGGTAGATTATATACAAGTAGGTGTCTGTGTAGATTATATACTAGTAGGTGTCTGTTGTAGATTCTAGGCCCAGACTCAGTTATGTACAGGTTGCAAGATTGCAAAGAAACCATGTTATATGCTTTTGTCAATCAATTCTAATGAATGCACACTGTTTCTCACAGGTCGAGCCAAGGAAGAAGAAGACTCGGATGATGATGAGAATGGTCAAGAAGAGGATGATGATCAGGGTGGGTGTACCAGGGTGGATGGGGGTCAGGGTGGGTGTACCAGGGTGGATGGGGGTCAGGGTGGGTGTACCAGGGTGGATGGGGGTCAGGGTGGGTGTACGGGGGTCAGGGTGGGTGTACCAGGGTGGATGGGGATTTTTTACCATGATCATTGATGATGATATTATGCAGTTGAATATGTGTTCCTCTCCTTTTCATCTTGTTCATTGAGAAAATATAATTTCCCAGACCAAATTCTGTTCGGTCCAGTAAGCTCCGCTGATAACAAATCATAATTACACTAAACTATTCTTAAGATGATGAATCGAGACATGTTCGGGCTGGTCGATTCAAACCTTTTTGGCACAGACTGCTTTCCAATTTCTGAATAGCCAGGTATATTAATGAATCCTGTTTTATGTGTGTAAAGTGTGTTCGTGATTACAGATTACTTGCTGCAGTACATTTGTCACTGCATCTAATGTCTTTTGGGCTTGGCTCCCTATTACAAGGAATGTTGAACCCAAGGTGATTCCTTCAAATCTATTGCTTCTGTTTAAGAGACCTGTCCAAAAATGAGTATGCTTGTTTTTGAAGACTGTACTTTCATCAATGAACCATACTATGTTTCACATTACTTTGTTTGTAGGGGGCACGGGTGGCCCAGTCGTCTAAGGCGCCGCGATTCGCTGTGCAGTGTTGTGTCCCTTGGCCACGCCAGAAACCTATGATTGTGGGTTCGAATCCCGGTTCGCCCCGATTATGTTTCTAGGTTTGTCAGCACCATACCCATGCTCGTGGGTTTCACCGAAGTGGTACACGTCTGAGACCTGCATCACTTCGGGCTTTCCTCCCACATTAAGCTGACACGCCGTGATATAACTGGAATAATGTTAAAAGCGGCGTTAAACCCAACTCACTCACTCACTCACTGCTTTGTTTTTATGTCAACAGAAGTATTGGAAAGTGATGAAGACGAGATTGATGAAGATGGAAATCAGTATTTAGAAAAATTAGAAAAAGCAGTAAGTATTTGTTTGATCTGATGTTGTGTAGTGTCTTGGGCTCACTGCTTGTCATGTGAGGTCGTTAATACAGCTGACCGCCTCCGTGGTCTAGTGGTAGAGCGTCCGCCCGGAGAGCGGAAGGTCCGGTGTTTGATCTGATGTTGTGTAGTGTCTTGGGCTCACTGCTTGTCATGTGAGGGCGTTAATACAGCTGACCGCCTCCGTGGTCTAGTGGTAGAGCGTCCGCCCGGAGAGCGGAAGGTCCGGGGTTTGATCCCTGGCCGCGTCATACCAAAAGACGTTAAAAGATGGTACTTGTTGTTACCCTGTCTGGCGCTCGGCATTAAGGTGCTCAAACAAGGACTGGTCGGCTCGGAGTCAGTATACTGTGTCTGAGTGGAGTATTCATGTTAAACTGCAGCATGGTATCTCAGTGAGCTAGCACTATAAGTCGGCAGTCCAGACTAGTATAAGCAGCCACACACACATACATGCACGTCGTTATATAAGTGCAATAATCTTGGACGCAACGTTAAACCCCATTTCACCTCACCGTTAATACAGCTGACAAGCCTGGATACAACTTAATAACCGTGAAGATTCGGGCTAGAATAAACCTTCAGCAACCCATGCTTGTCGTAAGAGGCAGCTAACAGGATTGTGTGGTCAGGCTCGCTGACTTGGTTGATGCATGTCATCATATCCCAAATGTGCAGATCAATACTCATGGTGTCAATCACTTGATACAACCGAAGAGCCTCGATACAACAGACGAGCCTCGATACAACAGACGGGCCTTGATACAACAGACGAGCCTCAATACCGTGTACTAGCCATGATACAACTGACTTTCTGAGAGGTTTAAAAGAGGTGTACGCTTATCTCCAAACTTGTGTTTCCTCTGCAGCGAGGTGATACAGACGACGATAGCGATGCTGAGTTTACGGACGATGGTGCCGAGGAGACGGCGCTGGAGAGTTATCAGACCCCCATAGATGAGGACACCTGTCAAGTTGATGAATACGTCATCTTTAAGCATGTTCTGCAGTGTGAGTTCAACCACTTTCTGGTCCTATATAAATGTCACTGACAACTGGGGATTCCTGAGCACGATAAGTTCCCACAGACAGGGTAATGAGAAGTCCTCTGTCACCCATGTTGTATGTCCTGATATCATACTTGTTTGCCTGGTCTAGAGTCAATGATGTACAGGCAGCGGTGATAATGACAACAATAATAATAATAATGATTAGGAGTGTAACGATATATGGCACTATCGCAATTGTTAGCCCTATGAGTGATAGGAATTTTGAAATACCAATAGTATCGTTGATTAGAGTGCATAACAATCAATAGTTTCAATAGTTGCAATTAGTTATTAATAATACATATTTCATGTGGATTTCAAACCTGCCATTGGGTTGGTTAGCAAGGATTACGATAACTTCAGATTAGAGTTACTTCCCTTTGGTTTAAGTTGCAACAGGGTGGAAAATTACTGACTTTGATATTGTCAGCAATATTATTCACTAGTTACATTGATTAAAATAATTATCAAACCTTAAAGTTTTGAACTATCGCAATACTTTATTAATAATGATAGCTACTTTTGCAATACTGTTCAATAGTGAAAATAGCCCCAATAAGTCACCAATAATAATAATAACAACAATAATAATAATCTGTTCATATCGTGCAGAGTTTCAACATTACTGTTTACCCTGGTCAATGAATCAGTGTGGTCACAATTTCATTATCAGCTCCCTGGGGAGTATACAACCTAAGCTGCCTGTGAGGCCCATGAAGGTTAACAGTCACAGGTAACCATCTCATCCTACCGGGTACCCATTTAGTGCTGGGTGAACAGGTATATTTTGAACATAGTCACCTTGTTTAGGCTTGAATGCTGCCATGATGAATTTGTGACAACTGTGTTCATCTTGTATTTCAGCCATTCAATCTACAGACCCCACATGGTACATGGCATTAACAAGTACTCTCACTGCGCCACAGACAAAAGAATTGGACGATGTTTTCAAACTTTCTGACCAGAGAAAGGCAGCTGCAGGTATTTCAGAGGCTTAAAACCTCTCACCGACCCTACTGACTGTCTTGAAATGATCAGTTTTTGATTATTTTGGCCATGACAAACTTGGTCATGGCAAGAATAGTTGAAGTGAATCTTGACATCACTTCGAAACAAACCTTTTCTTAAAACATGAAATGTTTAAAAGATTGTTTAGACAATTATTTTTTTCTTATTTCCATATATGTTATTACACAAATAATTAATGGAATGATTTAATTTCACAAAAAGTACAATGATGACTGTTAGTTTCAGTAGACCTAAGGAACTGTAACGTGTTAAGAACCGGCTTTCGACCACCATGTTAAAATTCTCCAGTGTATTTGACAAATTCTGTGGCAGAAAAATGAAAAATTGACATTTCTGCACAGAGTGGACATTCCAGCAAATATTCCAGGACCCCTGTGTTTAAAAGTGCAATATAAAATGTGTGGGACCTGCATGAGCGAGTCGATCATTAGTAGCTTCTCATTTCTGACTTTAATAACAAGCTGTAAAAGTCGTATTCTAATGCTAAGCAATGTTTCATTGTCGTTCTACTTTATATCTTTTCGAAACATTTGCGCCGATGTTAGGCTTTGGACGGTGTTCAACAGTGGTTTTATGTTGGCCAGTAAAACACATAGCTTTTTTTTTCCTATTGTCTTGGAGCACTTCATACGATATATATCACTAGATACAGCGGGAACTCTAAACAAGAGTATAGTTTAGTATATGATTTCTGTGCACCTATGCATCGTGTCAGCCTCGGTACAAACAGATTGATCTCCATTTTCTGGTTTGCATTGTGGGATTCCAGGGCGAAATAGGTCCACAGCATCACTTGCCTACTAAACTGACCTCAGTGTGTTCGCATTGTTTCCTTGCCATGTGTCCTGATGCTGTTGTCATTGCTCGTGCTGTTGCAAGTTTGTCTCTCACTCACAGCTGGTGGGGTAGCTGAGTGTGAGGTACATTGTGTGAAGCCCATTTTCACTGTCTTATCAGAAGGGGCGACTAATAGGATCGGGTAGTCAGACTCGCTGACTTGGTTGATGCATGTCATCGTATCCCAAGTGTGTAGATCTGTGCTCATGATATCAATTACTGGAGTTTGTGGTCCAGACTTGATTATTTACAGACCGCCGTCATATAGCTGGAATAGTGCTTGGTGCGGCATTAAACAACTCACTCACTCACTCACTCACTCACTCACTCACTCACTCACTCACTCACTCACTCACTCACTCACTCACTCACTCACTCACTCACTCTGTTTCAGATTCCAAGCAGATAGAACAAAGAGGGGGTTACATGTTCACAACCAAACAAGTTCCTGCATCATTCAATTTTGGAAGTATGGGATAATTCTTTGCTTTGCTTAAATACACTATTGTGCAACAGTGTCTCCTTTCACCCCTATTTTCCACTCGTGGACTCAACCAGTGCTCAGCTTCATGTGACGAAGCAAGTGAAAGGAAGGGGTGATGGATAACATTCTAGATGTCTGCTCACCGCCATTCTCCGCGTGGAAGTGGACTTCATCATTTGTCTGCTAATAATGGGATTCACCTGTGTGACTGCTTTGGCTTTCAAGACGACCCAGCATTTCTCACAGAAAGCATAAATACTTCACAAATCTTGGATTACACACGTCGTGCAAGGATGTTTGAAAATTGAAGCAATGCTACTACTTTGATTCCAGTGTGTTTGAAACTCAAGACAAGGAAGAGAAGTGATGCTGTGAACAACCCTCATTCTCTGGGAATCCTAATGATGAATATTTGTGTAAAAAATTGTGTACGAAACTTCCTTGAAAACCATTTTTTGGTACAAATTGAAAATATTTTGTTAGGTTTGTGAACGTGTCTGTTGGAGTTTCTTAGAAAAAAACCTTGTTGGATTTTATACTGTGACAGAGTGTCGGTGTATATTTGACCGTGTTAATAGTAAACATGTATTTGATAACGTCAACTCTCAGATTGGACGGCCCCCCACTTCCCAGCCGTGTTTTGATCTGTGATAGTATGTACAATGTGCAGTAAAGGGGGGCGGCCACTGACACCCGGCTCCACTCGGACCATGGCTTCAAGTCTCCAGCAAGTCCTCCTTCACCATGGTTATCCATTGTTTCTGTCAATCAAGTGTTGTGAAGTCAGTAAGAACAAGCTTATTGTCCTCCAATATTAGAGAAAAGGTGAAAAGTGTCAAGGTTTCAGATCAGTCCAGTTTCTGGGACATGGTCCAAAATGTTCTCAAGATTCAACCTTAATATCAAATGTCTTGTCAAACGTTGATTCAAGCCTGGACAGTCCTCATGCCGTGTGCCTCTGTAACATCACTGATTGGTGCAAGGTATGACCCTGATTTTGAAAGATCCTCTGGGTATTTTGTTGATTACCCTATTTTTATCAATATTAATTTGTGTATTATAACAGCATGGCTATTGGTCGCAGAGGTCAGTGATGCTGCAGATGCAGCACTGGTCACAGAATTCGTTTTTATGAAGCGACAGCAACACCTCAAGTTTAAACAATTCCATTAATAGTCACAAGGATCTGGTTGTCGACCTTGTCTGTCTTGATTTGTTTCTATTCTGTCTCTTTCTTCTAGTGGGCGGTCGGGTAGCCTAGTAGTTAAAGCGTTCGCACGTCACGCCGAAGACCCGTGTTCGATTCCCGACATGGATACAATGTGTGAAGCCCATTTCTGGTGTCCCCCGCCGTGATATTGCTGGAATATTGCTTAAAGCGGCGTTAAACCATACTTACTCACTCACTTTCTTCTAGTTTTCTTAACAGAGTAAAGAAAGTGGTTTCATGGTTTCATGACAGACCATATTGATTTTGTATGTCAGATCCTTTTGTCAGACACCTTGATCTTGTAAAATATTTTTTGATCTGGTAAACTTTCCCTACAAAAGTCTGTATTCGGTTACCATGGTTACTTGCCAGTGAAACAATTCGGAACGAAACGACAGGGCAAGTACAATTAGTTTATTTTTTGTTGTAAGGAATGTGCTGTTATAAGATTACTGTCCTGATTAAAATGTACTGGCCTTAGATGACTGAGGCCTGTGTCTTTATCTTTGTAACCTTGGACTGTTGTGGAGAGGAAGATGTGACACTAGGTTTGCAAGTCATTTAGAGTCATAAACAGGTATTAACGTAGCTCATGAAGAGTCAACCATGACATCTTGAAGACATCTTGAAGACAAGAACATCTTGAAGACAAGAACATCTCGGTTCAATATTTATTAAAGAAATTATCTGATAGCTTTTGAAATTAATCTGTGATTATCATATGATAAATGGTGTGAATTTCTTTCTCTAAAGTAGTTTGGGTAACGTTTAACTGATGGCCATGGGAAGTATGTCTTTATTTCATAACTAGCGGTAGATCATGTACGTCCTGACAAGCCTTTGTAGGATAAGATCAAGGTATTTGTTCGTGCGGAGGGGTGTGACAGGGACGTTATTTACAGACTGTCTTGTCTTCAACTATGTAACAGGCCAAGTCCAGGGATTTATTTAGGATACTAAACCAAGTGCCATTGGCAGGCAAATTGAGAAAAAATGTTATTTATTTTTTTAAATTGGGATTTCTGGGTTTGTGTTTTCCTTAATTCCAAGTTATTTTAACTTTGAATAATGTAAAAATAACCATTAATGCATCTTACTCTTCATTGGTCATTTTATCAGTGATGTAGAGTTAATTACCTCTAAAAAGACATAACAGTAGCTATATCAGTATGAAATGGGACATTTTTAATTCCAATTTGGACGAATGTTTGCTGACGTTTGGTTCAGGCTTGGATCCAAATATCGGCTTCTGAGCAGGTCTAGATGAACCCCTGATGTTTGACTGTGGTTTGAGAAGTTGGTCACCACTGTGCACCGGTTGGCTTGCCGTACTTGCATGTGATTGTGTGGGTCCTGCTTGGTCAAAAACACTTTTCCCTCCCCAGCCCCAAGTCCCCCCCCCTCCCCCCCCTCTCCTGACCACTAGCACCCCAGCTGGTGGGGTAGCTGAGTGAGTGTGTAGTACATTGTTTGAAGCCCATTTTCACTGTCTTATTGACTAATGGGATTGGGTAGTCAGCCTCGCTGACTTGGTTGATGCATGTCATCGATACCAATTGCGTGGATTGATGCCCATGATGTCAATCACTGGATTGTATGTTCCAGACTGTTATTTACAGACCGCCTTCATATAGCAGGAAAATTGCTTGGTGCGGCGTTAAACAACAAACAGATAAAACACTGTCTTACGCCGTAAATTAATTAATTGCTTTCATAAGTACCAAACTTAATACAAAATTTGTGATTGCTGAAATATGGCCGTGAGGGATGTGACTGATGAGGCTGTTGTTCCTGATGTCCAATTTTCAATGTTTATTGATTGCGTTGATATTCAAGTTTGAGGTTTAATCATATTAAACCATTCAGATGCAAGTGGAATCTGCTTATTTTATGATTTTTTTATAAGTATTTTTCAAATAATAACGCTGTCATGTGCAGCTATATTTATAGCATCAAGCAAACATGGCAGACAGGTGTCCAGTAAAATACGTGTGTATCTTGACCCTTGGTAAGGTATTACTAGTTCTGTAGTAGTTGTTAGTTGGTGGGGTAGGGGGATCTAAGGGAATTTGAGGTAAAACAGTCTTCATCATTTTGTTTGAGGTATGTTCTTTTCAGGTTTCTAGTCACAATCACAAGGATGACATTACTTCGTAAGCGCCAGTTGAGGTTAATGGTTCTAGAGGTGCCCACTGTGTGAATGTTAAAGATAGAACCTTCATACAGAAAGGTCTGGGGATCTACTGGATCGGTAGCTTTTGATCAACAGCATTTGTATGCAGCTATAAAGAAACATTTTATCATGATTCAATCATTTGATCCAAGCAAATACTTTATGTAACAAAGCGTTCACACTGAAGACCCAGGTTCGATTCCCACATGGGTACAATGTGTGAAGCCCATTTCTTGTCTCCCGCCGTGACATTGCTGGAAAATTGCTAAAAGCAGCTTAAAACCTACCGGTACTCACTTTGTGTAACAAGAAAGCGTCATCCTCTGTGAAGAATCATTTGTCTGAAAGTGGCGAGATTTACTTGAACTTTAAGAAATAGTACAGTCAAGTCTTGTTAATCCGACACTCGTTAATCCGACAATCGGCTTTATCCGACACTAATGATGGGAACCGATTAAATCAGTGCTGTTTAGATCTGTTAATCCGACAAGTCTTGCGCTCAGACTTTGCAACAAATTACTGAAATCACTCATTAATCAGTCTTGTTAATCTGACACAGTGATCAGCATACTCCGTGGTCATCTGCCCGCGAGTACACAGCCAGTGTTTAGATGCGAGACAAGTCGGCTGGTAGCTGCATATTACAAATCTGCAGCGATAAACTTATGCTTAACAATAAACAGTTAATGCTTTAAATACAGAAAACAAGATTAATCACATGCTTAGATTACCTCAATCTCATTAAAATCAGATACAAGTTCTCACTATAGCCTAGGACATCCCATTACAGGTCACGTCAGAAGAACCTTTCGTAAACTTTGACTAACGAACGTTGGTACTACTTAATTTTGTTTATCCGATATACTCATTAATCAGACATAATCATATGCAACCAGTCATGTGGGATTAACGGGACTTGACTGTAGTTTGTTGTTAGAACGTAACCCGACTGACTTGACCTGATCAGAATCGTTGACTTGTCCCTGTTTCAGAAACTACAGTTCCATCTCACTGACAAGAAATGTCACAAATATTAACATCTTTTGGTATATGTCATGTCATCATGCTCCTTCAGAGAACAGTCGTAGTTAACAAATTGTTCTGTGATGAAATAAACTTTATTAGATATGTGAGACCAAAGTTTCTACATCAGATGTTAATTTGCAGTTTTCATATTTTTATTTTTTACCAGTGCCTTTAACAGTTAAAATGGTAGCTATTTTACATATCAAAAACTCACCTGAAGTGTTAGGTTCTCAAGCTTGTGTTACTGTCTTTCAAGTTAATTGTCCGTATTCAATCAGTAAGTATCTGTGATTTGTACTGTGCAGGATGGAAATGTGTACATGCAGTTACTCCTATTTGTGAACTTTACACCTGAAACTATTTCACTATTTTCCAGGGAGGCTATTTTCATTATGTACTTGTTTTATTTTTATTTTTCAGTGCCCAGTTGCGTCATGTTGAAATTACACAAATATGATAATAGATAACATTTCATGCTTAAACGAATTTATTATGAGAATATGATCATTCAAGTGGGATGTTTGAAGTGTCTGCATGCAAGAATGGTTATCTAATGTTTGACCCTAAAAAAGCCACTTGTCTCCCTTGATACCATTCAGTGTAGTGAATTTCTCTCGGCTACCAGTGTAAATCCTTGGCAGCACTGGAGTGGTTATATCACATAACTTCACTGTCACCTGTTCCTGACAACCCTCTACTGTGTCACATGACCGCAGACTGTTTATCAGGAACTTGGTATTGTATAAAGCAGCAGTTATAGATTTGATTCCTGGCAGTGCTGGCCTTGGTGGTAATGGGCCACAGTAGTGTCCGAAGCGATCTGTTACCAGGCCTTGTATGTTAGTCTGTCCATATAAGCCATCATACAAAACAGATTTACAGTCCTTTTGAATCATTTGAAAGTCTGAACTGGTGACCTAAAACTCGCCTGTTAGCTTATCAAATCTGCAGACTACCCAATTCAGCAACTGTCACCTACAACATTGTATGATCCAACTCCATATAGCAGATCACAAGACTGTCACTTCAGCATGTTTCATGTGTTCCATATTTAGTTGTTGGAAACTGATAGAAATACTCTCACTTTAAACCTACAATGAAAGATAATTTGGAAATGTCTGTTATCATTCTGTGTTATTGTGCTCAGTAGGTGGTGTTATTGGTGACACATGTGTTTCGGAGACTTTTGTAGCATTAACTTTACAATTGTGTGAAGGTTTTTCGATGATTATCAGGCACCATTCCAGCCAAGACGTCAATTAGCCAAAAGCTCAAGTGGAGCCATTTATTCTGAGGGTATTTCAGAACTGATACCCTCATGTGATAAAAGACAAATTTATTGAAACTTGATCTCAGATATTTTTGGGAATTGATAAATGTTTCTTGGCAGAGTGAATCTTTCAAGGCCAGTAGTCCAGTGTGAACCTAATGCCCCCCACAGGAACCTCCATATATATGCTGCAGGACTGAGAAACCTGATACTTAATTTATTAAATGTTGCTGCCCAGAAATGCCATGGTTACTCGAGTGGGGCGCCTCCTCTGGTTGTTTTCTTGTTAATAGGCTGGAACAATGGAAGGATGCAATCAGTGACACACAAATAAACTTTTAAATTTGGAAATAAATTCTGGTGTTTGTGTTTTGTACTGTAAAGTTGAAAATGGGTTGTTTTCCACTGGCCTGGAATCCATTGCTGGTTTCCTTCCACTGGTCAGAGGACCGCCTCCGTGGTCTAGTGGTAGAACGTCCGCCCCGAGAGCGGAAGGTCGGGGGTTGGATCCCCGGCCGCGTTATCCCAAAAGACGTTCAAAGATGGTACTTGTTGTTACCCTGTCTGACGCTCGGCATTAAGGGGCTAAAACAAGGACTGGTCGGCTCGGAGTCAGTATACTGTGTCTGAGTGGGGTATTCGTGTTAAACTGCGGCATAGTACCTCAGTGGGCTAGCACTATAAATCGGCATCAGTCCGGACTAGTACAAGCAGCCACACAAACACACACACACACACACACTTGCATGCACGTCGCTATATAAGTGCAATAATCTTGGACGCGACGTTAAACCCAATTTCACCTCACCTCCACGGGTCAGACAGTAGACTTGTTTCCTCTTTCTGGGAACACTCCAGTTGGTCGGGTTGTCGATGGCCCCAGTCGTGTGAGACCCTGCAATTTGCCAGGTCTTGGAGCTGGCTGCACTTTTCATCATAGTCCGCTCCCAGGTCCACACACTTCAGCTGACAATGCTGGAGTGCCCGGCTCCCACTGGTGCAAAATGCTTCCTCGTGGTGGCGTAAAAAGTCTTCCAGTCTTCCTCAGCAGAAATAACGCCATCACCATTTGCATAATACTTTCTTCAAGTTTGGGAAGATGTGGAAATCTGACGGTACCAAATCTGGTAAATAATGAG